TACCGCTTCACAGGTTCAAGGCCGAGCGGAGTCGAGCTATAAATATGTATGGCAAGACAAAGATTTGTGTGTGTTTACATTGGCAGAACGAGCAGAAGAAGCTGAAAGTGATACGCGTATTGTTAGCCAAAATTCCAAGCCTCAGGCCCCCTCCACCCCCCACCCCACCCGAGAGTTGTTTGCCAAATCGAATAGCTACCTTCGGACGGAGATTAATTGGGAGGGTAAGCTCCAAGTGAGGCTTTATCTCTAGATTTGAATATACTTAATTGAGCAGTTGGACGTACCCTAGTCGGCTGGGGGCTGCTGCACCTAAATAGATGGATATGGATACGAATGTAAAACAAACTTCGCACCTACAAAAGCTGCCTCTACCAAAGCGATTTCAATTGCCCCTTCTCTGGGTGGCATCTTCTGGCCGTGCCCGGAACTGATCGGCGCATTGAGGCGTGTCCGAGGGTTTGGTCGTCTTGTGCCAAAGGTTGCTTGACAGTCGATCGGACGCTCGAATCTGAGCAGTTCAAACAGCAGCCAGACAGCCAGACAGCTACTGAAGCCAAACGACAGCCACGCCCATTCCATTCCATTCCATTCCACTCAACTTGCTCTTCCTCTGCCTAAACATACAAATGTACATGTATGTACAGTCAAGTGTGTACAAACGGGAAGTACATACTACAATAGTGATGAAAAAATAATAACAAATTTAAAGCTGGAAATGTTTCAAATAAATGTATTCCCTTCTGCAATACTATTCCTAGTGTGTCTGCTCTGCAAAGAGACTTTGACACATATGTATTATTAAGGGCTTAAATATATAAATTGTTGGTTCCCTGAATCGATTCTATATTTGACAATTCTGCTGCTCCTGCTCTTCGCCTTCTTATTGTTATTTATTTTTGGAATGATAATTGTAAAACATAAAGAATTATTTCTGTAGGCTTCATCTCTTCTCTCCTTCCGCTTAGCTCGTTGGCTCTCTATTAGCAGACGTTGCTCCAGTTCCGGGTACAGACACTACACTTCGAGATCCCGCTGATGGATGGTGATATACCAACAGTCCCTGCTCGACTAGAACTTGCCACTTCATCATAACTCAGACCCCGCCCATTCTAAAAGAACTTTACAGAAATTATTATAAGCTGTGAGAGGATGCTGGGATACTGGATACATAAGTGATAATACTCGACTTGCGAATTCCAATTACGACAGATAGATAGATAGATAGATAGATAATTGTGCAAAGTTTGTGTTATACTCTGTCAGTTTCAAGCTGCGTGTAGCTAGACCTATAATCATAATCATAGTCATAATCCTCTGTTTTGTTGATCTACAGCTATGTATTTTTTGTACTGCATTTGCAGTTTCGTTGACCACAACTAGACCAGCTCCGATGCGAATCGGTCCAAGGCGATCTTCGTTATCTCAATGCCAAGCCGAGTGTCAGTGGCGTACTCAATGTGATACTCGGACAGGTCTCAGTGCAAAAGCCAAAGGGAAATGAGAACTGGAGCTGCAATGCAATTACTCTGTCAGAATTAAAAATAATACGAGCATGGAGAGTGTGGGCAGTGGGCAGAGTTGGCAGAATTCTTCCCATAGTATTCCCATGGCTATGCTCGCAGCTCCGTTTCCAATTAGTTCAAGGTGAGACTTCTTATTTGCTCAGCGAATGGTTACTCCGTAAGCTACACGATATGAGGAGCTTTTCCTTGGGTGATTTCGTGGCATACCGGGTCCAGGTCAAGCTCGAGTTGGACTGCGACTGACAGCTGGGGTAAGAGAGAGCCAAAGGCAGCCCATCCAAATGCCTGTCGCGGGTTTGCGCACTCGGACGTGCCCGTTTGGACGACAGGTGATGGCCAGGCCAGGCTGTGTGTGTGGTTCACCCTTAGATTAGATCAGCAACACCCAAAACTGTCATCACATTGGCTAAACTGGCTTAATCGAATGCAGCCAACAGAACTTGGCCAATCCGATTGCCAAATATTTCGACTGTCAGCATGCCCTTGGCATGCCAGCACCAGCACCAGCACCATGGGGGGCTAAACTGCTGAGGACGGCACAAAAGCCACCAACCAAAAACAAGCCCAAAAAATGCAACCTCATAGCACACTCTTTCTCTCTCTCTCTCTCTCCCCGCTTCGAGCCCCTCCTCATGCCATCCCACATCGTATCTAAAACTGTTTGCGATCAGTTCTTAAGTCACCTTTTGGCTTGATGCCGTGACTGAACCTGTTCAGGCATAGATTGTTCCCTTACATGGCATTTGGAGGGGCGGGAACAGCACAAACACAAACCGGAGTGGAGTCCAGAAACAGAAAACAGAAATTCCGCCGAATGTGCTGTATCATTATTTGTGGACAAATATTGACCGACTTGTTGCTGAAAATGTGTGCTAGCAGCTAGCTAACTCCGTTGACATATACGATTTTTAAGTCGCGTCTCCGCCGCCTTCAGAACTATTACTTAGGGCAGGTCGACGGGTGTTCCCCTGCAGCATTATGGGGATGCATGGAAACAGTCCAGTCTGTGCCTTAGTCATTACTTTTCATTCAAGAGAGTGCTGACAGGCACACAGGAAGGCAGACATGAGTACATAAAATATTTACAGATGTACATACATACATACATACATCTATATTTATCTATTATCCATTTATATTTACTTCTATAAATATACATATTTATATATATACTCCTAGCATTTGGCATACTCCAAAAGAAAGCTCTACATACATATGTATGTATGTCTCTTTATGCATACATACATATATCTAAATCGACTCCATTAAGCTGACTGAGGCTGAGCTTTGGCAGCCCATTCGATTGAATTCAAATTTCCATCATTTAAATAAAACCTATTTCGTTAAATATGTACCATTAAAGCACAAACAAAATAAATGTGTCAATGACTTGAGTCAACTTTTGCTAGCCAGAGAAAAGCACAAGCAGACAGACGAACGGATGGACTAGAAATACTCTCGGGGATGACTCTGCGCTATGATGAATCAGATGACGTATTTTATTGAAATATTTTAATTAGCATTCGATTTATTTAAGAGAACTGCAATTTGCATATTATTAGGTACTAATTAATCATCGTGCTAATCCTTAGCTTAGCCTTAGATTTCTTTCCACAGAGGCGTTGCACAACTCAAATCTTGATTCCTTCAAGGGCAGGCACACGCGAAAATCCATGAGAAAACTACTAGGTCCTGGACCAACTGGACACTGGCCAAATTGAAGTGGAGAACCACCTGGCAATTTGGTTCTACCACAGCGTAGCGTATTCCAGTCCAGTCCCGTTTTTTGACTTGTTGTAAACAAAAGCCGAGGTGTGTGACATCGCAGACTGTATGTGTATGCATGTGTGTGAGTGTCGAGCAAGAGCTGGACTTTGGACAGCAGCGAATCGATAAGTTCGTGCTGGGCAAATCAGCGGTGCTGTGCGTGTTGATAAACACCGTTTTGGCACAAAAAATGCAACAGGCTCACCGACTGACTGTGCACTGTGCACTGTTCGCACGGATGCCGTTAGAGTTTTGTCTCATTCTATCCTCTATCTCTCTCCTGCAGACTAGATGGGATAGATACACTAGAAGTGTAGCGTATACCCACAAGACCATGCGGGCTGGTAAGGCCTGTGGATACATACATATGTAACTACGTATGTATGTATTTCGAGTGAATATATGACTATGATCTGGTTGAGTCTTATCTGCGACGATCTTGAATCGCGACAATTGAAGTTGCAGTGGCTGATAAGAGCGGGAAACTTGAACTGAAACTTGAATGTGCCAAAAGGGTCGCAATATCAATTAAAAAACAGTCAGTCATTGCCCCTTGAGTTTCCCCCGGCTAATGAATGAACTTTGAGACGAGACATTTTACGTGTTCGATAAGACAAATGCAATGGCTTAAGATCTGTGCCTAATCGGATGACTGCAATTTGCATAAATACATACCCCCCCCCCCCCCCCCCACTATCATGAACACAACTACATACATATGTGTGTGTGTATAATTTGTTGTCTGTAACGAATGCAATTGAAGACCAGACTTTGGCTCTATGATAAAGCCACAGACGATGGTCGTCTCAACATGCCATAAATATCTACATATATTTATATGTAAATGCATATGCATTTATGTATGTATGTAGTTGTATATTATTTGTATGTGATGCACATATTATATGTGGGTCAACGTCAATCTGGTTGCTGTTTTGCTGACGCACAACTCGTTTTTGGGCCTGGCAATGCAGCCAGATCTGATCGCGCTGAGCTGCAATGATAGCCCCCCCACACCGCACGGCACCGCACCACCCCGCCCAACGCCACGCCGCGACAAGTGTGCACCATCATTGAGTTTCCCAGTTTGACAAACGGCTGCTTTCGGTTGGCTTACCTACACCTGGTCGGGCATAGGCGAATCTCTGCGGTGGTGCAATCTCAAGTCTTACGTCTTCGGTGCCCCGTTCCCGTCACTCAATGTGCAGCGATAAACATTATCCTGATGATAAGCTTATTTAGCAATAATTAATTAATTACTTTTAATTGTTTACTCTGAACAATTTACTGCAGCGTTTCCCTGTGGATTTCCCTGGATGTGAGCCAAACTCCTCCCCTCCCCCATTCCGCCTTCAGTGCTTCCAATCTATAGTTGGGATCGGGCTCCACACATGGGAAACAGCAATGCGAACACATCCATCGGATCAGCCTTGAGTGCAACTATCTGCGCCTCGTTGCCTCGATGGGGGGGGGAAAACTTCCGCCAACCCAAGGGGAAATCGGACATCACATCACTTCCGTGGCTGGAGTAGCAGTGCGATAAGCGGCGGGAGGGCATCCAGAGTGCTTTCCAAATCGTGTCTGCTGATGCCTGATCGCACGATTGGCTGTGGGTCTCGGTGTGGGTCTGGTTGTGGTTCTGGTTCTGGGACTGCTATCTGCCGAGACACAGCTGCGGAGTAAAGTCATTTAATTTGTTTAGTTGCGTATTAGTTGTAAACGAGATCGATTGCCGAGCAGTTCGCCAGCTTTTCCGAATAACAATTCAAGTTTTATATTCTTTTTTTTTTTTAATTTTTAAGTTGTGTTTATTTGTTGTTGTTTTTAATAGTGCATCAGTATCAGTTTAATTGGGTGAACTCGAGATGAATACGTGGGCACTGGTGGCATTCGCCCTCTGGGCACTGTTCCTGCGCTACCTGCCGCAAATTCTCAATTTTCTGAGGCTGCAAAGCTTCTCGAAAACCCTGCCCGGACCGAGTGTCGGCGAGCTGATAGCCAATGTGAAGAAGGGCGGTGAGTCCGACGCTTCTCAGACGCCACACAGTGAGCTCTAATCCTTACACATTCACCCTACCCCCGTAGAGATCCTGAACTGGCTGAAGGAGCTGCGTGAGCGACATGGGCCTGTGTTTCGTATTTGGTTCGGCAAGGATCTGATGGTGATGTTCAGCGACCCGGAGGATGTCAGACAGCTGCTGGGCAACAATGCCCTGCTGTATAAGTCGCGCAACTACGCACTCCTCGAGCCCTGGCTGGGCAAGGGCCTGCTCACGAATGGCGGCGAGTCGTGGCATCGTCGCCGCAAGCTGCTCACACCCGGCTTCCACTTTCGCATACTCAGCGAGTTCAAGGAGCCGATGGAGGAGAACTGCCGGATACTGGTGGACCGGCTGAAGGAGCGTGCCAATGGGGAGGCCTTCGACATTTATCCGTACATCACGCTCTTCGCCCTGGACGCCATCTGTGAGACGGCCATGGGGATCAAGAAGCATGCCCAGCTGCAGAGCGACTCCGAGTATGTGAAGGCTGTTCAGACGTGAGTACCGCATCCCTACCCCTCCCCCTCGCCCTGTGTGTGGCTTAAACTAATTCGACCCTCTACACCCCTCACACTAGCATCTGCCGAGTGATGCACAAGCAGAGCTTTTCCTTCTGGCAGCGCCTCAACATATTTTTCAAGTACACCCAGATGGGGCAGGAGAGGGATGGCGCCCTGCATGTGCTGCATGACGAGACCAATCGTGTAATTCGGCTGCGGCGGGAGCAGCTGGTCAAGGAACGCCAGCAGCAGCAGGACAGCAGCAGGATCAGCAGCAGGGGAACGAGGAGCGGAACGATGTGGGCAGCAAGAGGCGTTTGGCCTTCCTCGATATGCTGCTGCTCACCCAGCTGGAGGGCGGCGCCGAGCTGAGCGATCGCGACATACGCGAGGAGGTGGACACGTTCATGTTCGAGGGCCACGACACCACCAGCTCGGCCATTGCCTTCGCCCTGAGTCTTCTGTCCAAGCACTCGGAGGTGCAGCAGCGTGCCTACGAGGAGGCCCATGATCTGGAGGGTCGCGAAAAGGAATCCATGCCGTACCTGGAGGCGATCATCAAGGAGACACTGCGGCTGTATCCCTCAGTTCCGTTCTTCTCGCGCAAAGTGCTCGAGGACATGCAGGTGGGCAAGCACACCGTGCCAAAGGGGGCATCGGTCAACTGCCTGATCTACATGCTGCATCGCGATCCCAGTAACTTTCCGGATCCAGAGCGCTTCGATCCCGATCGCTTCTACCTAAACGAGAAGCAGATGCATCCGTTTGCATTTGCCGCCTTCAGTGCGGGTCCCCGAAACTGCATAGGTAAGATCCATCGATCCATCCATCGATCCACTTGGGAAAGTCTTATGTTTGGCAATTTCCTGTTTTGCTTTATTCAGGTCAAAAGTTTGCCATGCTGGAGCTCAAGTGCTCGCTGTCCAGCCTCCTGCGCAGCTATCAGTTTCTGCCCGACGAGGATCACCAGCCCATACCCCTGGCCGAGCTGGTAATGAAGAGTGGCAACGGCATCAGGCTGCGCATACAGCCGCGAAGCCGCAACTGAATCATCTGGATCATCGCGCCCCATTGATCCCCAGCTCGTACTTGTTCTTGTGTATGCTTAAATATAGTCTAAAATAAAACGAAAATCTATAGTCTAATAATAGGCATTCAAATGCAAATAGCTCGCGCTTATCAGCTGCCGTGAGGGGCAGATCATGTGACGCTGTTGAGGCGTTACCCCCGGTACTGTGAAGTGGAACTTTTGGTGGATGGGTCAGGTCAGTGGGGTATCAGTGGCCAGTAATAGAGTCCGTACCCAGAACCTTGGACTAGAGGAAATGATTATTGAAATTATGTTGTTTTGTTTAGCATTGTTTTTTTCTGCTTTTTTGTTTATTTCGCTTTGAACTATGGAAAATACAATCGATCGATCGTTCGATCATATACATACATACACACAGATAGAGGCGCTTCCATGCATATGTACATGTATGTATGTATGTATGCATATATATTTTTATGTTTATATATGTATATGGTGTAGGTTTCAGTTTTTGTATTTATTTATTGTTAACATCCAAAAACCAACAAACAGTTTTGTCCTTTCGGAAACAAAAAATAGATATATTTACTTGTATATTAGGTATATATATAGACATACTTATTGCTCTCCAAGGTTCCTCCTCTTTCTCTCTCTCTCTCTCTCTCTTTTTCTCTCTGTCTCTGTCTGACTGTTTGTGTTCCCTGACAATTCCTTTAGCTATTTTACCATCCAGACCGATCCCAGCCGAACCGAACTGGCACCAAATCTCGCTTTATGCCAATATTTTTGTTATAGCATAATAATAGTAGTAGTTAGGTATAACAATAAATAGATTTATCTGTGTGTGTGTGTTGATCATTCAATTAGTTATTTGATTTGTAGCTATATAGTAGCTACATACACACATAGATAGATAGATAGGTAGATAGATAGGCCTGGTATTTATCCGTTTACTCTTTCTCCTTTACTTTCTCTACCTTAGGTTGCCGATTGCCGAAGTGAGGGCTCACTTGCCTTTTTAGTTTTTTGCTTAAAGTTTAGCCTGGTACTTTGGTTCTTTGCTTCCCAGTTCCGTACCCATCCTTCTGTTCTGTTGTGCCCACAATATACAAATCTATTCCCCGCAAGGAAGTCAAGTCCTCTATGTATATATATATATATATATTTATGTCTATATATAGGTATCCAATAGCCTCTGGGTATTGTAAGCGAGTTAATTTCTGTTTTTTTTTGTTTTTTTTGCCTTAAAGCTGAGCAGGAAACAATTTGTGTCTGTGTATTGGCATAGTTAGTGGCGGCTAATGATATGATCCGTGGCTACAATAATCTTCAATAAATACAGTTTACATTTGCATGGGCATATATAATACATCTGATGACACCTATGAACGGTTCGGTTCTCTCTGAGGCTTTGCAGACTAAGCTTAAGGGGTTCTTTGATCTATATTTGTGATCAACAAAATTCTGGAACATTCGGAGCGCTCCACATCGGAACTGTATGGTACATATATTAAAATTATTTAGTTTATAAGACTTACTATATCCGTGCAGATTGTGGAAAAGGCTTGAGAAACCTTAATCCGAGAAATTGTTGAAAATTAAGCTGATAGTTCTTCCCTTTTTTTAATCTATCTGAACAGAATAGTTTTGGAACTTATGCGAGAGGAATGGATGATCTGCAAGGATACTTTGGGATATATGCCATATAATTTCCGTTATAAAAATACATATATTCGAGCTATCAGTGTAGCCTAGCAGCAGCATGCCAAGGAATGAGATTTTTCCTCAACTGTGAAAACCCCAGCTACTACGTTTGCTCTAGCTCTCTCGATCTAAGCTATCCTGGCTGGCGGATCACAACCAGGGTATACATATGGTGCGGCACACATCGCGTCTGTGCGGGTGGGGATGCGGTTCCTCGCCCGTATGTCCACCTCCACCGCCTCCGTCTCCGGCAGCTGCAGCCACATCGCCCTTGCCACCACCACTGCCACCGCCACCGAATTTGAAAAATGAACTCCTTCGTCAGTGTTTGCGGTGGGCCTGAGGCGAAGGGCCCGCAACGGAGCCAGAGCCGGAGCCAGAGCCAGAGCCGGATGGTGATCCGGGACCAGATCCAGAGCCACAGCCAGGGCCAGCCTCCGCCTCCGGCATGGACTGCAGCACAGCGGCGACGCTGCCATAGCTGGCGCGCTGCTGCGACTGCTGCGCTTGCTGGTGCGAGCTGGACTGGGCCCCCGTCAGCGTGGAGGCGCGGGCCAGCCCGGTGTGCCGCTTGGGGATGACAAAGGGCGGCGGCGGCTGGGGCGTGTACTGCGGTGGCGTCGAATTGGCCGAGGCCTGGCGCACAAAGGAGCGCGTCGCCTGTTGCTGCTGCTGCTGATGCTGCGGTTGAGCCTGCACGGAACCGCTGCGAGCAATGGCACCCGTTCGGGGTGGTATGGCCGGCGGGGGGCCGGGCGGCGGTCCACCCAGTCGTTGCTTGGGCGGCGGTGAGCTGATCGACGCCAGGCTTTCCGTCGACGGCTGGGAGGGCACACGGGGCGGCAACTGTGGCAGCTTTCCATGTGGCGTGGGACTCAATATGGTTGTCGCCGTCTCAGTTGCTGTTGCTGTCGCTGTGGATGTGGTGGGTTGAATGGGTGTGGGAACTGCAACTGCAACTGGAGCTGGAGCAGGAGCAGCAGTTACTGTGACTGTGGAGGGCAGCCTGGCCTGTGGCTGGACTGTGGACATGGTGATGGTCGGCTTCTGCATGGGCACCGTGTGCCGAATGGTGATGTTGCCGCCCTGCTGCTGTTTGCCGCTGCTGCGATTCTGGCCAGGCATTAGAAGATGTAGCAGCCGTAGATGATGCTGTAGATTGGTGATGCTGATGAGATTGGTGATGCTGCGACTGCTGCTGCTGATGTGACTGCTGCGATTGCTGTTGGTGTTTTTGCTTCTGCTGGGCGTGTATGTCCTGGATTTGTGGCGTGATTACAACGGGATTCTTTTTCTGATCCTGGCCAGCGGCCACGTAAGAGAAGACGCACAGCACCGAGTAGCAGATCTGGTCGGACTGCCAAAATGTTTGTGGCGGGGTGGAGGGGGCGTATAAGTTATATTTTAGCTTTTTCTTCTAGTTGATTGGTCTGTGGTTCTTGTGTCTGTGGCTGTGATTTGTGGTGTTTTTTCATGAACAGTGTCGTTTGTGGGTTGGTGGGTTTGGAAGTGGCACAACGTGCTGCTGGCACGACACAACAAGGCACAAACAAACAAAAAGGCTTCCTTCCCCAAAAACGGAAACGGAACTGGAACCGGAACCGGAACTGGAACCCGAACCGTAACCAAATGCATGCGATTTTTGGAGCAACGAAAAACTCAACATAATAATTGAAACGAAAAGCCAAAAGTCAGAAATCAGAAATAAAAATTCATTGAACTGCCCCCCCCCTCCCAAACATTGTAATACAATACTGTGTACATATGTATGTATGTATGTATATATGTGTGTGTGTGTGTATATACTGCTCTTGTGTGTATGTATGTTTTGATTGGAGGAGGATTTGTTTTGTTTGTTTTTTTGTTTGTAGGAAGTTACAAATTAAACATAAATGGAATATAAAACGATTGTTTGTATTTATTTACATTCGATTTTTGGGTGTTCTGCATTCAATGCACATTTTCACTTGGGGTTTTCACATTCCACATCCCGTTGGCATGCATCCTTTGGATCCGTTTGTCCCTGAGCTGCCAGCGTTTGTCTCGAGCGGGGATCACAATTCTGGACGGCAGCGGCGGCGGCAGCGGCGGCTTTACCTTTAGGAGTCCCCTTCAAATGACAGATGTAGGCAAACTGCACGGAGGTCACGCGATGAAAGCTCAGGACTATTTCCGACGCCTTTTTGTGTTGATTCATTGGGGAGAGGGTTGGGGGGGGTTGGGGGTTGTTGGGTTGTTCGGATTTCAGTTTTACATTTATTCGAGAGTCCGGTGTGTGGTGTGGTGGGGTGTGTTCGTTTCGATGATGACATTTTTGATGAGGTGTTTGTTGAGCGAAGTTTTCAGTGGTTGGTATGTGTTGTGGTTGTTGCAGGCATATTGTTGTTGTAGTTGTTGTTGTTGTAGTTGTTGTTGTCGTTCACATAGAAATATATTCACAAAGAAAACGAATGCAAAAACAAACGAAAGACGTGAATGGAAAGTTAAAAAGTAAAAAAGAATAAAAAAAAAAAAAAAATCAAAAAGTTTATCTTAATATCGTAGGTATATACATATATACAAACTCTGTTTAAGTGCATTTCAATGTGCAATATTATTTTATACAGTGAACAAACAACAAATTTCCCTCCTTCGTTGATAAAGGATGCGAGATTGGATGATGCTCAAGCAAGTTTATGTACATACGGTCGATCAATAAACAAAAGTTCGCATCAAAGAACATAGTGCATAGGTGAATGTGGAGGTGTGGTGATGGAGGGTGCTGTTTGTGGTGAAATATGTTGGGAAATTATTGGCCGCTTACCATGCTCGACTGGTACTTCCGCTGGATGAGATTGCGCGTCTTGGGATCTGAAAATGAAAGAACAAAAAGTTTGGTTAGTTGGATGGGCGGGGCGGCACAGGCTTGCGCAAAATACAGTACTTACTGTACTCCTCCAGCACGAAGATGCCACCCTTCTGGGTGAAGCACTTGCGGATGTGGTCCAGGCGCACAAAAAACTGAAATTATGGGCGGGAGAAGGCGGTTAGTTTAGCGTTGCTGATTCACATGCTGATGCGGTTCGGATAAAGGCTCCGTCACTGAACAGAACGGAAGATTGGAACGTAACGGAAGGGAACGTAACGGCAACAGAATGAAACCAAACCGAACCGAAAATAAATACACTAACCGAATCCAAATTATAAGGCGGAAAGCCAAAAAGCTTTCACACAAAACTTTGTTCAACAAACAGAGACAGAAAGAGAGAGAAATAGGCAGATATGCAGAGAGAGACAGACAGAGAGAGAGAGAGGTACAGACGATAGAGGTAGCGTATACGCGTGATAAATTATAGCATTGGGGGAACGTTTTTCGTTTTTCTTTCAATTGGTTCTTTTATTTGACATGTCATCATCATCAAACGTACAGCTACGCAACGAAATTAAACGGAACGGAACAAAACGGAATGAAACGCAATGTAATGTAAAGAAAACGATATCAAACTTTAAGCGGCAGGCAGGCAAGCAGGCAAACAGGCAAACAAAAGCACAATGATAGGCAAGCACATGGGTCACGTCACTCATCGTCATGCAGGGCGTGAGTAGTAGCGTTATCTACATCTACATATCTATGTACAGAGCATGCATCTAGTGTAGTGGCAGTTATCAGTGCATAGGAGATAGAGAAAACGGAATGGAACGGAACGGAACAGAACAAAAGGGAACACAAGGGTCCAAAACAGAAGAGCGATCGACACGGGTGGAACGCAAGAGGAAATGAAACAATGGAATGGAACAAAAGCGAAGTCTGAGATGCAGAGAGTGAGAGCGAGAGAGACAGAGAGAGCGAGAGAGAGAATGCAGCAAAATCAAATAAATTTCTTGTTCATTTGTTTGGTTTACTGATTTACTTTTAACAAAAAAAGAAAAAGATTTTTTTTCCACATTTCGCTTTACTATGCATACATATATAAGTATGTATGTACATATGTATGTATGTATGTATGTATGTATGTATGTATATATATTTATTTATTACGGAATTTTTATTATTTCTCGAGTTGTTGTTTTTTTTATATTTTGTTTTGGGTTCTAATTAGCACTTGTGAGATGGTCGCATACGAAGCCATACTACATAGATATGTAAGTATATACAGAGGCATGTACGAGTACGAGTATATACTGTGGCACATACACATATGTGTGAGAGAGAGAGAGAGGGAGAGAGAGAGAGTACAATCCCTGCCCTGTACAATCGACACTAATGGAAAGGAAACACAAAATCATCTAAACTTGACTACAGTCTGTGAGTGTGTGACAGAGTGTTACGGAGTGTGTGTTCATGGTGTGGGGTGTGTGTGTGTCACTAGAGATGTTATGAGTACGAGTACACAAAAGATATCGAAACACAATCAAAAGTAAACCAAATTTTTGTTTCGTTTCTAAATGGATTTCTAGCAGGGGGAGGGTAAACTTTCATTTCAGGCTTTTCAGGGAATGGATTGCTTGGCATTTAAACAGTTGAACAGGACTTCAAGCTGCTCTCAATCACCCGGGAGCCTTCACCTGGGGGGATAGATATAGATCGGAAGGCAGAAAAAGATATAAGGGAGGGGGGGGGGAGGAGAGATCGTTGGGTGCAGTCGCTCTCACAATCCGTTAGTCGTTGTCCAAACGATGTGTAGGGCTGAATATTTGGGATTGGGATATGGATACGGATAGGGAAGAATGTGGGGGTGTAAAGGAGAAGCTGAAGGGTAACACATTTAACAGCATGCAGCATAAACTTCTATATATTTGGATGCTTATTATGGAAATGAAAGTGTAGCTGTGGCTGTGGCTGTAGCTGTAGCTGGAGAAGCATGTAGCACATGAGCATTCAAAATCAGCTAAAATGCAGCTCTAATGCAGCAAGACACTGACTTTCGAAAGCTAACGAAACTGGGAAGGAAACTGGACGAAGATGCAAACGCAAGCAAAGAGGCAAAAGTCAAGAAATGAGTGAAATAGAGACAGAGCATGATTAGGTGATTAAAGTTACACAGAGTTGGAAAGAGTAGAGGAAACCGCATTGGACAGAGATTGCCATAGTCTCCAACGGAGTTAAAATCATTTTGTGACTTTTTTTTTTTTTTTTTTATTCCAATACATATTTAAGGGCTTTCTAAGATAGTTATTTGTTGTTTGTCTCTAAGGATACGATTTAGTTTTGGTATTGGTATTATTTTTTGTTTTGTTTATTGGTTTTGTTAATTTTTAAACTACAACTACAATTGATGTTCAACTCGTTGGTATACAAAAAAAACTCTCTACACAAGCAAACATAAATCAAAATCAATACAAAGGAACTTTTGTTTGTGCATGGCTGGTTACTCGGGGAATTGTGTGACTGGCCCGGCCCACTCTACGACACGATTCGACCCATCATAAAATCGTTCTGTCTGAGCTGTCCTTCTCCAGGACTTGCTTTCACATTCGTGTCTATTCCAATTTTAAATTCTCTGCATTCTTTATAAATATTCACACAGCACCCACAATGAATCTCATTCTTCTCAGGGTCATTCTTAATCATTTTCGTGCTCCTTTCCATTCATGAGAAGAACGAGAGCCCGACCTTGCCCGAAACTAACGGAACAGAACAGTACATAAAGCATCTCAATGGAATAGAAGGTAATGAAACTAAACGGAATGGAACAACACTACGAATATGGAATGTCAGGGATCGAACTATGAATTGTTGACTGGAATTGTTTTTGCGTGTTCCTACAATTTTCTCATCAACAAAATATCACATAACTAAAAAAGCGTGAAAATTATATTTTCTGTTCTGGGACCGCCATGCGGCGGGGTACAGTAGGTGTGTGTGTGTGACAGTAAGGACAGTAAGGACAGAAAGTTGTGTGTGTGTGGTGTACGTGCCCAGCTCTAGGAGGGAATATTGGAATCGGTGGTACAGTTGTGAGTGTGGCAAGTGCTCTTGGCATGCGAAAGCTCAAAGACTTTGAATGACAGTGTACGGCCCTGGTGAGTGTGTACCATGTGCGTGTGCGCTGAATATCACTAAAAACTAAACGACAGCATGTTTCTATTCTGTTGGAATGGGTAGAAAAAAGCAAACTGAAAAGGGGGTAATCACAAAATGTTCATCACTACTTCGGCATTACTTTGGGTATTCTAATCCGCATAAGGCCTTACAAAGAGTACGTACGGCTCAGTGACAATTCAATGTTCCGTTCAACACAATCAAACCAACTAGCCAACCAACCCACTAATTAACCAACAGTTCAAAAATTAAGTAGAGAGAGAGAGTTCGAAAACAAAACAAAAACAAAAACACAAAATAAGATACATGTAAATAATATACATTATGGTATATACCGTATATTATTTGCGGTTTAAAGTTTAAAATTCAATATCAACTACTAATTTTTGGTTTTATTTTTAACTGTTGTTTTTCAACTGTTGAATGCCATATCAGATGTGTATTTTCGTATACTTTTTTTAATTGGGTTTTTTGCTTTTTTTTTTTATTACTTTTGTTGTTTGGTGGGTGAAAGTGAAGGATTAAATCAAGTGTATTTCGAACACAAAAAGGATTCCAAGTTAAAAATTATGATGATCAATGAAAAACTGAAAATATCTTGTTTTTTTTTTCTTTTTGCAAGGGTTGTCAGGAGGGTGTAGGGTGTAGGGATGTAGGAGCGGGTGAGGGGTGTGGGGTGTTGGGTGACGGCGTTGTTGGGCGGTGGTGGAGGAGGGCATTTAAAGAACAATAGTTGCTTATAAATTTAAGTTCAAATATTAGAAGAAATTTGTTCATTGCAATACCTCGAAATCCTTTATCGTATTTTCAGACATTTTTCAGATCGTATTTTCATTATAGATTCGTTTGATTTTTACCGTTATCGTTTCGATTTTTAGAGCGATTTTTTTTTTTTGTTAAGTTTTTTGTTTGTTTGAGAAGTAGACCAATCATTGGAATATTTCAATTCAAATTTCAATTCAGTTTCAGTTCAGGTCGGTTCGGTTCGGTTCGAGACGGAACGTGATTTGGTTGGTCCACAAAGGAGGAAGAGCGAGCAAATGTGCAGCGTTCCACGTTCGACAGAGAACATTAAACAAACAACAAAGAAAATTATAAAAGGAAAGTTGAGAAAACTTGTTTTGTTTTTCGTTCATATAGTTTTGTTGCTTTTGTTAGTTTCTTTTCAATTTCTAATTTGCTGGCGAATCGGTTTGGGAATTTAGTTATTGTGGTGTTCTATTTTTTTTTTTTTATGGATAGATAGTCTAAATAGAAACGATATGAAATGTGGTTGTTGTTGTTGTTATGTTAGAGTCGTTTGCTTAGACGGGGGGACAATCGTGGGGGCTTGCTTTTTCAGTTTCTGTTTTTTGGGTTTTGTTAAGAGTTCCATGAGAGATAGAGAGAGAGAGAGATATATAGTACATATCTTATGGGTGGGACATGGCTGCGGGATCTTAAAATACTTTTGATGCTGTTGTAGTTGTGGTTTGGTTATCATACTTAAGAAAAAGATGGACGAAAATCATCCAAAGAGGAGGAGAAAAAGAGAGAACGAACAGAGGAGAATCGATACGGATACAGAAATAAGAACAGAACGAAATGGCAATGGAACAGAAAATGGCGTACGGAAGATCTTTGCTGAGCTTACGAAAAAAAAAATGTTACGAATATTTCGTATGTATAGCACGAAAAAGAGAAATATATTGAAGATATAGAGACAGAGGGAGATATTGAGAGAGGTTTGCATATATATATATACATATGTAGGTGTATATATGTATAAAAAGAGAGAGAAAGGGAACAAGAAGAGTGAGAGAGGAAGGGGGAGAGGGAGAGCACTAGCGAGATTTAAATCAAAGACGTAAGCAAATCAGCCAAAACAGAGTCGAACCAAAGATCGAAAGGAAAGGGTTTTGGAAGGATTGTACACAAGGACCATCTCAAAGGTAACCAGCTTAGAACACCTTCTGTATTCTGTATTCTTATATTTATTTTCACAATATACATATAAATAAATATATATATATATAAGATTTTGGATCCAAGGATGAAGTTCAACAAGGAAATAAAAAAGCGTTGGAAAACAAGAAAACTTCACATTATAGAAAAACAACAAAAAATCGCGATGGGGCACCAAGTGGTTCGTTATATACAGTTAAATAATAGACAGGGAATGGGAATGGTGGAAAGGAATTTGGGGTAGTCATGAGGGTCAACTGATCTGAAAATACGTGGTACATGACAATATGCAGTCCCTGGTATCTTGGGGACAGACAACGCAAAACCGATGAGGAAAAAGTATTTGCACTATTTTTGTTCTTTTGTTTTCTATATTGATATATTCTATTGGAATTAGGGGGCGTGGAGGTGGTGGTACAGGGGCGAAAGGGTAAATGGCAGTACGCTTACGAAAGATACTAATCGGTAGTCGTTAATCGAGTTATCGCTAATCAGAGCAATCGTTAATAGAGACAATCATAATGATAAGGCGAATAAGAGATTATTAAAACGGTGGGTGAGCATTATGTAGGCAAAACGAAGAGTTAGGATCGAAAGAATGTCAATCGTAATGAAAAGAATAAGGAGAAACGGTTTTTTTTTTTTTTTTGTTATCATTTAAATTGGTTAGATAATAAATAAAATAGAGAGTTTAATGAATATAGCATTCAGTACATTCACTAGCACAATATATGGGTATGATATAAGTAGATGGATTTTCTGGATATATGTATATACATATATATTTTTCTGTTTTTTTTTTTGTTCTTTCATGTATACTTTTACTTGATCGATAAAAGATTGGATTAGATAAGAGATTCGGTTGATTTTTTATGGATTTTTCTTTTTTTTTTTTTTGATTATGACTTAGGAATAATATAATGTAAGTAGATATATAATAAGGCGAGTCAAAATAAAATGGCAAAACCAAAGCCAACAAACGGAACGAAAGAGAGACAGAGAGCGAGACAGACAGAGTGAGAAGTAGAGATATAAAGAGAGAGAGAGAGGAGATCAGAAAAGTATAATACGTAGTTAGGGTTAGCTTTGGGGGGTAGTTGGATTGGTGGGGTAGTATGCGAAGTTCGGATTCGGGTTCGGGTCCGATTTCGGTTATGATTCTGGTTCTGGGTTTGGTTCGGCCCAACAAAATAAAACACTCAAAAGGAATGGACAATCAATGAAAAATCCGCTAATCCAGACATATACATCTCCAGCCATGTGATCCATGGGCTCAGAAGACTGAGATTACGATTCAGAGAGACTAAGGTGCTCTGTTCCACTGAACTCTAAATGTCTGTTCTGGTTCAATCAGTTAATGTTTTTTTTTATTTTTACAGACATATTGGAAAAACATCAACTGAAAATCAAACAAACTAAATATATATGTATGTGCATATCAATACATATTTAAGTGTATATATGTATATGCACGTATATATATTGAGAAGGTCCTTGATTTTGATGCAATCCTTTCATGAAGATTGACGATACACACATACAACAGGGAAATCATCGGAAATCAAAAGAAAAAAAAAAAGAAAAAAAGGGGAAAAATAACCGAAACCGAAATCGATACTGGAACACAAACAGAAACGAAACAAAACGTTTGGAAATGAAACACGGAAACGAAGGCAGTGGAGAAGATGCATGAGTATCGATATCTTGATAGATAGACGAGTAGCACGCCCAATATGAGGTACGCGGGTATGTACACACAATACACACATATATCCTGCATGTGGAGTTTTTACTGTACTGTAGCGACGATGAAATAGCAGTGTCCCTTATCGGCTTTCGTTTAGGTTTCGGCTGGCTCAAGGTGGATTTTTGGATGGAGCAAACCAGCCCTAACGATTTTTCCCCAAATCTTAGTCTTAGTCTTATGCAAGATCATTCAGTGGCAAAAGGGGTTATCATGCTGCTTAATTTAACCCATTGAGTGAGTGGTCAATGGCCTGGGCCTGGTGGACGCTGACTGTTGACACAGACAACCCCATGTTCCGGTTAACAATGTCCTGTAGTGACGTCTTTCATTTTGAGTGTTGATTCGGGGTTTGGGTGTGTGTTCTTAGGGGGAGGGAGGGAGAAAATTCTTGGGTCTGGTCGGGGTACATATTCAAAGACATAGTTATATACCATATAATATATATATATATATATATGTATATATAATATAATATGTAAATATATATATATATGCGGAGTGTTTGACATACAAAGAACGAGTAGTTAGCGGAGAGTTCGGATATCGGATATATCTAGGGGCGGGGACTTGGCGTATATGGATGGTGGTGGTGGGGTGGTTTTGGCTTGGGTGTCTGTGTCGCGTGTGGATTCACTGAGTAGGAGAGTTCGGTGTGGCCATGTGTGCGTTTCTGAGTGGGTGTGAGTGAGTGTGTGGAGATTGAGTTAGAGGAGCACTTACCTTGCTGTTGGAGAATAACAAACCGACACCCTCAAGGCAGACCTGCAACAGGCCACCCTCGCCCGTATTCATGTCCTGCACGGGAAACTCACCGCCCAGCTCGGGCACATTGGTGGGCGTTCCACCCCGCTCCATGGCATCTTTGATGCAGTTATACAGCTCCTTGCACTGAAAACAAAACAGAAAAACACCTCAGTTTGGAATCCCGCAGGCGATCGATTGCACCTCGGACTCACCTTTCTCGTGTAGTACTTGTGCAACTGGGTCTGGCCGCCGTTGCGCCGCCAGAGGCACAGCAGCTTGGTCTTGGGCGAGTAGGTCATATTGACCAGCCGCTCGTACCACCAGCGCTCCACAATGGTGCCGTCCACAGATCGCAGCACCAGACCATCGTCGCGCACCTCCATGAAGCGCAGCGGTCCGTTCACATCGGTGCCCTGGTGGACGGTGAAACTCTGGCGATGCAGCAGCCTCGAGCCCAGTGGCTTTAGGTCAATGTCATTTCCATTCTGTGCGGAGGAGCATTCAAGAACTTTTAGTACTTTTAGTCGTCAATTTCCGTGTGGGGGCTTACCAAATTATTGATTTGATCGACAACATTGTGCACCTCCTGGGAGTAGACCAGGCCAATGTGACTTTTGCCCAACAGGCGACGGATCTTGCGTCGAATCTCGTCCTTGCCCACATTCAGCATCACAAGGATGGCCGTCAGGTTGTACAGCATTGTGGAGAGCAGACGATCCTCGTCGTGCTCGAGACGCTTACGCTCCGATTCACTCAGCGACTTATAGCGCTCCATCATCTCAATGGGGCCCTGCGCATACAGCGATAGGCGGTAAGGGATCGCAGCCGGGCAAAGCGATTATTTTGATCTCACCTGATCCATGCCAATCATGTCACGCTCCTGGCTGACAGCATCGAGGAAAGCATCTTCCCAGAACTGCATTTGGTTCCAGAGATTCAGGCGGTCCTTGCCCAACAGCCCCTCGAAGAGGTACACCCGCGGACTGTCTGGCGATGGGGATGAGGAGGTGTTGATCAGATGTCCGCCCGTGTAGCGGAAGCCGGCACTAAGCGTTGACTTGCCCGACCACAGATTACCGCCGCTCTTCTTCGAGTCCTTCGACGTTGTGGTCTGTGGAATGTTCAAGCGATTATGTCAGATGGATGGATGGTTCGTTTTTCGAGGTGCATGGGGCCAAAATGGGGCATGGGCTGTGGGTAGCCAGAGAAAATCGAGGCAGCTTTCCAGAGTGACAAGTCATACCATAGATTGATTAATCTATCTGGGGTGTAGGATCTGGTATCTGGCATTTGGCATCTGGTGTCTGTGTGTCAGATCAAGATCAGATTCGATTCGGTGCAGAGGGCTCAGACCCGGTGGTATCGATCTTTCGATGCATGTATTCGGATTACTTACATTTTCGTATTCGGTGTCTGAGACCGTGGACCGGCAGCTGGAGGGCATGCGAATGCTCAGACTGCCCATTGGTAGCAGATCGCTGACCACGGAGAGCGCACCCGTAGAGCCAGCAGCCTACGGATTGACATAACACACGGAATATTAAGTGCGAATACAATTTGGAACGGATGCAGAGCGGAGCGGAGCGGATCGGGACAGAAAAGGACGCGGGGAACTGGGAACAGGGAGACGCAAGGCGCGAGAAGTGCGATATAAGTATATGGGGGTATACAGTATATGCATAGATATATATACATATATATATATATGGACATGGCATAGCTACATGCGGAGTGGCGGATATGCGGATAAGCAATTCTACGATTTATACACTGAGCGATGCACAATTTGGCATTGTGGTTAATATTAATAAGCTAGCTAAACGATTGGCTAAAGCGCTGATAGCTGATAGCTGATTGCTGATTCAATGGATTCAATGGACAATGGCTGGACACACAGGGACACGGGGGCCATGAGGTGAGCTGCCTACTCACATCCGAGTCGAACGAGGTGAGCATATTCTTCAAGGCACTTCTCTTCTGTGACAACATGTCCTTGAACATCTCCGTTGTCGACGTGGTCGACTGGCCATCCTGGCTGTCTGCTGCCGACAGGCGTCGCGATGCCGCCGATGGTGTGCCACCCGCCTGGGACGGAGGCAAGGCCGCGTGGTGGGTGGAACTTTTGCGCGATTCCTGGGGCGAGGCCCATTCACTGCCCAGGCCCGAATGCGAACCGTTGGGCGAGCTGGGGGAGCGTAGATTCTCACGGCTGCCCAGGGGACTGGCAGCGTGGCTGGAGAGCAGACTGGAGGACATGTCGCTGCCGTCGTTGATCTCCTTGCTCCAGTAGTGTGTGTGGGCCACCTCCATCAGTTGAAACACGGAGGCCATTCCACCCAGACCGAAGTTCCCAAAGGTGACATCCAGGCCGGAGGCTATGGCCTGCACACACTTGAGCATTCCCTTCCACACGGGCTTGGTCACACACTGAAATGGATACCAGATTAGCTATGCCATGCCATACCTCGCTCCGGTTTTCTCTGGTTGACTTACCACATCATCGATGTGATCATCGGGCGCTATCTTCCTGTCCAGCGTCTTGTTCAGCTTGCTGAGCACCAGCGTCCGATAGGATTCATCCTCCATGAGTTTCCTGAAGCGATTCAGCTTCAGCCAGCCCACACCCTCGCCGGCCAGCACCTGATTGGTCACGTCCTTGAGGAAGGTCTGATTCTCCGCATTGCTGTGCGAACGCTCCTGGTTCTGCTGCCGCGTCAGCTCCTCCTGCGTCTGCCGCGGGCCCGAGTGCTTGATCAGCGGTGTCCGCTCCACAAGGCCCTTGCGGCTGGGAAACGGATCAAAGTTGATGCCCGACTTTCCCTTCCCCAAGCCGGCGCTAGAGGGTCTTTGCTGAACTGCAGCCTGCTTCTGTTGATTCTCTGTGGAGTGCAAAGGAGCGGCTACTATGAGAGGCTGTTGAAGATTATTGAACGCGGTGGGCGGGGGGAAACTTACTCTTGCCCCCAAACATGCCCGAAAACATGGTGGATGTGGAGGAGGCCAGGCCATTGAAGTCGGTGCCAATTGATGAGAAAAAATTGTTGCCACCACCAACGCCATTGCCTCCGGCCATCTGTTGCACCTGCCGCTGGGTGGCGATCTGGGAACCGGGTGGCTTGGCGCCACCGCCGGCTGGCGGCATAGATCCTCCGGCATGCTGCTCCTCATTCTTGATGATGCCCTTTTTGGTGGCCGCCTCCTTGGCTGTCTTGGTTAGATCGCCCAGCGTCGATTTGCCCACATAGGTGAGATCCTCGAGGGTGTTTTTGCTGACGCCAGCCGCCTGCTTGGACACCTCCAGGGCCTGCTTGGAGGCCTCGCCGGCCGCCTTCTTTGCATGCAGCGTGAACTGTGGATCAGCGTATGAGACGTGGATTAGTGAAGCGAATCGAATCGAGTGGCAAACAGAAGAAAACCTCAAGTCCCTGGCAAATGATCTACGTTCAGGCATCTACGGATGGCACTACGAGCAGCTGGGGATGGCTATGGTCAGTACATGGCGAAGTACATGGGATTGGATGTGGGAATGTGTGGAATTTGTAGTGGAATCAGTGGAATTTGTAGTGGAATGAGTGGAATTTGTAGTGGAATGTGTGAAATTTGTAGTGGTTTGTGGGCTTGTGTCGAGTATTACGGCTATGTAGCGAGTGGATGTGGAATTTGAGTGAATGAGTAATGTAGTGGAATGTGTAGCGGAGTATTTGTAGTGGTGGGTGATTTAAATGTGGATTGTGGAATATGGGATATAGTGGAATGAGTGATTTGGTTTGTGGGGTACGCTAGTAGAAGTAGTATCTAACCGAGTATAATGTGGAGAGATATCTTTTGTGTGGGTGTTTAAATGTGTGCGGCATATCGGGATATGTACTGGTTGTGTGTGATGACGGAAATTTCGGTTGTTTTTTTTTTTGGTGACGGGTGACCAACCTTTTCGAAGGTATGACGCATTTTGTCGTCAAGATCTTCGTCCAGCGCATGCTACAGTACAGTACAGCGCCCAAAAAGTGAACAAAACGAAACGTAAAGCAAAAACGGAAGCAAACGGAAGGAAAGACAAACAGAAGAACAGTGAACCACAGAAGGGAAAGAACAGAAAGACAAGATAACAAGATCAAAGAACACGGCACAACAGCACATCGAATCAGTCCCCCACATTGAAAAGAAGATTTGGGCTGGCGGAAAAGGAATCCAGCAGAATCGGAACACGGAACCCGATTCTTACCTTGTCAACGTGGGCGAGGAGTCCCTCCTGGCTGCTCTGGCGCGTCGTCTCGCGCACCAGCTCCTTGGCATGCGAGGCAAAGTTCTCGAAGAGCGAACTCTGCGAGCTCTGGCGTCCGGGGCTGCTGGAACTGGATCCCGAGCTGCCGGTGCGGGCCAAAATGTTGCTGACGTTCGGCTGCTTCACGGGCGGTGTCAGTGGCGGCTGCAAGGGATGGGAGTATGGTAAAATTAGCTCTAGCAGCGAGGGGACGGAGGCTGTGGCTATGCCTACCGGTATCTTCTTATCAGGCCTTTCCACGTCGCTGGGGTGGCGCTGAAGCTTGCCACTGGCGACTATGCCAGTCTTGCCAGTCACCGTGGCGGCGGCGCCTGTGTCCGTCTCCTGCTCAACGCTGGCCATCTTGATGGTGGCCTCCAGACGCATGGCCAGCGGCGTGGCCAGCTCAAAGGCCGCCTGTCCCGCCGGCTGTGGCTGCACCTGTCCCGTATTCGGCTGGAAGTCAAACTCCGAGTCGCGGTTGAAGCTGGGCGAGCTCAGATCCGAGCGGCTGGAAGAGGACGAGACCGGCGAGTCGGCGCGCTCCTCATCCTCCTTCTTGCTGGCAGCCGTGTCGCTGAGGCCCTCGGGATACTGCAGCTTGCTGGGCGGATGATAGACCAGGGCCGGGTCCAGGTTCGAGGAGAGCGTCTGGGGCACCACGTGGGGTCGATTGTAGGAACCGAAGACGTCATGCACGCTGGGCGACAGGTCCGAGGAAGCCATCTCCGAGACAAAGTCGCTCAGGGAGGAGTACGACGAGCTGCTGCTGTCCGCCCCCTCCGAGTCCGAGCCGCTCTCGTCGGTGGGCTGGCACTCGAGCTGCTTCAGCGAGCGCAGGGCACCGTTCAGCGAGCTGCCGTCGTCCCACACCGAGAAGCGGATGGGCGTGAGCGAGTGGGCAAACCACTTGGGCTTGTCCCCCACCTGCATGGGATCCATGACGCCCGTCTGCACCCGCAGGAAGGCCACATTCGTCGGTGTGAGCGACCACTCGGCCAGGAACTCCACAGCCTGTGTCCGCGCAAACTGATTCAAGAACTGCGAAGCCCTCGGCCGCGACCTAAGGAAGCTGTTGATCTGGAAGGCCACCACAGGACGCGGATACAGACGCAGGGTACGCGTGTGCTCGGCGAAATTGGCCAGCGTGTTCTGGGCATTGAAGAAGCGCACCATGGCCACCCGCGTGGCCACGTCCACCGAGTCCACGTCCGTGCCGTACACAAATGGATTGAGGGCCGGCGAGTTCATGGGACTGGGCTGGCGGGAGCTGATCATTGCTCCCTGTGCGGACATTGAGTTCCTTTGGCTGGCCTGGGCCGAGTGGGGTGGCGTCTGCAATGGCAGTCGCATCTGACTGACCCTAAAGCAGGAAACACAAAAGGTAATTGGGGTACTTGGAGGAGTGCCAGTGCAGTTCCTCCTGAGGAGGAGACTTACCCGAGCAATGGCGGCTCCTGGAGGCTGTCCCTCACCGAGGGTAGCAGTTGCTGCGAGGACACGGCCTGGTTGCTGGCCGTCATTGAGGTGAGTGCCTGTGGAGGAGTTGAAATAAACGAATTAGTGCATTGGACCCACGCACTAAAGCTCTACATTAGGACTATGAGGGAGGCGGGTAGGGCGGTTAGGTTGGGGTGGGGTATGGGCTAGTAGAATGCTCTTAGGGAGCGCAGATTAGGATACGTTAGTTAGTTATAGATACACCGATAGAGAGAGGAGAGAGAGAGAGAGAGAGAGAAGGGCTGGTAGGGCATGCACGTAGAACACGAAACACTAAAGAAAGGGACGAACGACCATAGTGTACATATATCAAGGGGATATATAGATATAGACATAGATATATATAGAGCTTTGATTTGCTAAATTTGGTTCCATGGAAAGTGGAGACACTCGCATCCTGCCCTGGCGGCTGGGATTATGCCGATGAACCCCATTCGAGTTCTGCAGTTTTCGATCTGTGTATTCTGCGAGTTTTTTTGGTATGACTGTACCTAATGCATGCATTGTAGTGCTACAATTGTGATGTAAATATGTACATATGTATGTACTATGGGCGCCGGGCCCCGGCCAAACTCTCCCCTATATTTTTTCCGGTCAATAAAAGGTAACAAAGCACTTAACCCAAAACCACGCCGGGACTGAACGCACACCCAGGGTGCCTCACACCCACCCGCGGGCCCCCCCGCCCATCGGTACGTCCCCAGTAACGCGCACCCCAACAAAGGAAGACAAAATTAAATTACCCACAATTACCACAAAAATTTTAACAATAGCTCACCAATTCGCGGCATTTGACCCCAACCCAACCACTCTGTTAGTAACCACTTTAGGTCATACTGGCTTATATCTTTAAAACTGACCTCATTATTCCGACTGGTCTAACCAATTTTCCGGGTCTCAATGCTTTTGCTTCACTGTCGTACGATGTACGTAACGCCAGATAGGAACTGCCCATATGTATGTGATGTATGACCTGTTTAGCCTTAGATATATGTACTTATGGCAGTAGTTGTATTTTGTATTTTATAAATGATTAATGGTAGGCATAATATCGAACTGAGGAAACCAAGAACGAACGAATAACGGGCCAAAAGCGATAAACGAGAAAGGATAAACCGAACATAACATTTAACATTTATGTGAACGATATTTACACCAAGTCCAGCTTCATCCATTAGTAGCATTGCCTGCAGAGATGTAGGTAGTTGTAGGTAGTTGTAGGTTGTTGTAGTTAAAGTTGTGAGTTCGAGTTTTAGCAAGTTTCAATATAACAGACAATGCAGATGAAGTGTCGGAATATAGAGCATAGGAGCACACACACAAAGAGAGAGAGAAAGAAAGAGAGAGACAATAGAAGATATGTATATGTAGAGAGCATAGATAGATGTAGGGGAATAATAATATATGGGATAAAAAAACACACACAAAGAATGAGACAGAAACAGAGACAGAGAGAGAGAGAGAGAGAGAATGTGACAATAGAGATATGTATGTAGGGTAGATCAGGAGAGTTTTATATTGAGAGTGTTTAATTGGGGTGGGGTGGGTGCTCCGCACACACCCACACAAAAGATGTACACACACATTCATATACATATATATATATATTGTAGACTGAATATAGTTGAATATTTGAATGCAGAAACGATAACGATTATGAGAGCGATAACGATTACTGCGTTACATGTGCCAGGCTACCAGAGATCAAGGTGTCAAGGTATCAATTTCTCCAGACAGCCAGGCACCATCGTTTGTTAGCTAGAACACACACACACACACACACACCCAGCAGCCCCAGCTATCACGAGTATTTGTCAGGTATTAATAAATAATATTCACATCAAGCGAAAGGATTGAGGTGAGGCTGGTTTTGATTTTAAGTTTGAGTTTCAATTTTAAAATGGGGATCAGGCTCGCTCGGATTTTGTGTTCATTTTAAACGTATCTTGTCCAGTTTGTGAACAGTGTCCGTTCCATAGCAGTGCCATGTACTGTCCCCACATAGCCAAGCCACAAGCCAACGACAATCCAAGCCGCCCAGCCAAGTCCCAGCCCAAGCCCAAGCTCCAGCTCCAGCAGTCCCATCTACAGTCATCTACAAGCGGCTGCAGTGCCTCCGACCCTCGTCTCGAGCAACTGGTCGTCTACCGCTCCCTGCTCGAGCACTTGCTGCACCAAAAGATGCACTTCGATCGGGAGCTGCAGCTGGAGGAGCAGCGTCTGGAGCGATTTCGGCGCGAGGGCCTCAGCGAGCAGCGCCTGAAGGTGCAGGAGCGGGTTCTGAAAAAGGTTCAGGCCATGCTGCCGGGCATTGTGTTTAAGATGCGCAACGAGGTCGATAGGCTGCAGCGGCTCCTGGACACTGACCAGCAGCAGCTGAGGCAGCTCGATCTGGAGCTCTTCGAGCAGTGCCGCCAGCTGCTGGACGCCTCGAAGCAGAGCCTGGACCATGAGCTGTGAGACCCCCAGAGACCCAGAGACCCAGAGACCTAGCTCGATTATCCCCTTCGAAAGTACACAGTCTACAGTCGATGGAGCTGCCAAAATTTCAATGTAAAACCAAAACCAAACTCAGACCTCAATCCCTCAATCCCTCAGTTCGAACATCCAAACCGCCCAAATATAGTATATACAAAGCTGAAAGGGAGAAGAGGATAGGGGGGCATGGGGCTGGCTCAGCAGGCGCCTCACCTGCTTCAGGTGATTCTTTAGGATGGTGCCCTCGGGCTCTGGCAAGGGCGGTATCTCCTCGTAGCCGCCGGTGGGCGGTGTCAGCTTCGTCGAGTCCAGGTCCACCACCCAAATGTCATCGGGAAGCCTGTCATATGAATATTTAGAGATTATCTTATGGTCTGGCCTGATCTGTGGCCTGGCACTCACCTAAAGTTCTTTTTGTACACCAGAAAGGAGGCCGGCACGCCGATGACAAAGGGCGTGGGGGCCAGCAGCAGCTGCTCGGCACAGCTGAGGCAGGTGGGCAGCAGTGGAATGACCGGGAACATATACTCCAGCGGATAGAGCATGGTGACAAAGGCCATCACCGACATGGATAGGGCGTTGTAGTCGCGCGACTGGAACAGAACCTTGTTCTCCTGCATGATGAGGGTCCACACCTGCAGGCAGGTCTCCACGCCGAGCAGCTCCAGCGGCAGATGCAGCGGGAAGTCCACCAGCGAGAAGCGCGTATGATCGGGCAGGGCGAACAGCAGGGGCTCATGAACCGTGGGCGACAGCACCTCCACCTGGTAATTGATTGCACCAAAATGATTAGTCAATGCCAGTCCCAACAGGGCATACCCGAAGGCTGCTAACGTACCTCCACGCGCGTGGAGCCTGGCACTGGCACCGGGGTGGAGAGGAGGCGCAGTATCCACGTCTCGATCTCGCGCACATCGTGCAACACGATCGAGGGCGTCGCATCGCTGACATGACCGGTCAGCACCGTCCACACGTTGTCCCGATTGAGCTTCTGGGAGGCGCCCACACGCTTGGGGGAGGAGGACTCGTTGCAGGCATCGATCAGCTTCTTGAGTATGAAGAGGCACTCGCGGAAGGTCGTGAAGAACGGATGGTGCGAGATGATGCACAGCGAGGTGAGCGACTGATTGCGCAGCTTTGTCCGCTTGCGGGAGGCGCGCGGTGACGGCGAGTGGCTGCCGCCGGACTCCGAATCCGCCGACGGGGCCATCAAGCCGAGCTTTGGCACCGATGTGGGCGCCGGTGGCTGTTGGTGCTGCTGCTGCTGCTGGTGGTGGTGGTGGTGCGTGTGGAGGCGCTGCTGATCAGAGTCGCGACGCGAGGTGAGTTCACGGTCCGAGTCGCTGGGCGCTACGTTACTTCTGTAGTCGCTAGAAGTAGTTAAGAGGCCGTAACTATTATGGAAATGGTTTGAAATCTATTAGACTGAGACGGAGCTGATCCCTGGCCCGGTCCACACACCCGGGGCCAAGCACACAACACTTGCCTGCTGAACGCCGAGTCCGAGCTGCGCTCCATGCTCTTGCGCCACGACTCCCGCCGGAAAGCGGAGGAGCGTCGTCCGCCCCGTCCGCCGCCGCCAGGGCCGCCGTTGCCCGATCCACCAGCTGCATGGCCGCCAGCACCCTGCCGCTCGCTGGCAGCCGCTGCCGATCCCGCCACAGTGCTGGGCCGCTCGATGGGCCGATAGAAGTTCACACAGATGCCGTAGCGCGTCTTTCCCGAGTCCTTGTCCGTCAGTGCGAACACGAACGAGGTCATGTCCCGGATGGCCGAGCCCGTGCGACGCGGCCCCACGCTGGTGCAGCCCTCCGGCTGGCAGAAGTACACCATGTCCAGGGGCAGGGGGAAGTCCGCGTGGTCCGAGGGCGGGTAGCGGCGCAGCAAGTCGGGCACCTGTCGCACACAACTCAATTAGATGGAACCACTCAGGGGCGGATGGTTCGCCACCCCAGCTTACCTGCACCGGCGGTGCCTTGAAGCCCTGCAGTCCCTTGGGCATCGGCGGCGTCGTGTGTGCCCCCACAATGGCCATGTAGTCGACCAAGCGTGGGCAGAGTGAGGCTCGCTGCTGGTCCGACATCCTCGCTGCAACAATAACAACGACAGGTTAGACTCAACAGACTCCATAAAAGCTCATAAAAGTGCTGCTGCTGCTGCTGCTGCTGCCGCCATTAAAACTAAGGCCACGACGTTCCTACAACACGGGGGGAATCCTTGGGTTGGGGCACAATCCAGCACAAGCCATTAAAACAGAGAATTAATACGCATGCCGCCATTCTGATGTAATTAATTGCAAAGCATTGCAGGATGCCAGGATTCAAGGATTAATCCCCATTAAGAGAGAGAATTAATACAATTAATTCCCCATAAAAATAAAAATATATTTTCCACATTTTCTTCACAATTGTTCGAAGTTTAATTGAACGTTTGCCTTTAAATTTGAACGATTTTTGCGGCGATGCTGAACTCAAATTGTGAATAGAAGTTCCAGAAGCAGTGCCAAGTCAATAGCTCGAGGCGTCACCCAGCAAGAGCTCCTTTAATGTGGTTAGCCCCATCGTCCAGATGATCCTCCACCTTCTTTCAACTACGTGCCACAACCTGTCACTGCCACAAGAGAGGGTCAAGCAAAACGCACTAATTGCAACGATTTTAAAACTGAGAGAACAAAAGTTCCAGCGATTCTTAGACTCCACAAAATTAAATTTTATACCCAAATGTTACGTTTCTTAAGAGAATAAACTGGCTTGAAATTATATTCCCTTGTGACTCTTTATCCCCCTTAAAGGTCCCATATTTTACGATCCCATTACGATCCACTGCGCTCACGCTTTCCTGCTCTGCAACTGTCTGCCATGTGATATACGTTTAAAAACATATTCAAAATATAAAAATTAGCCAAGTAAATAACAATCTATAGACATTTATGTAAGTAGTAAGTAAATAAACTCTTGCAATGCACTCTGGGCATGAGTCCAATTTAAATATCAATAAACGAGAAGGAACGTGTGAGTCGCTTCTGTGGTCCGTTTTTTGGGGCACTCTTCGAGAGTCTTTTAAGTGGAAATTGTAGTGGAAACAAATCCTGTCGATCGATTGGTGCTGCTTCCTCAGCATCCCAACCCAGCCAATTGGATGATTTCATTCCTTAAAGCAGTCTCACATCAAATGTGCTTTACAGAACAAAAAAACTCCCCAGCGCCGTCAAGGATGCTCCGTCCAAGGCCTAGTCAAGTCAGAGTCAGAGTCAGTGGCCTGCTCTTTGTTGGCAGCCCAATGATGAGCTTGAAGCAGTTGGGGGGCGGCCGAAGGACGCCTGGAAGACTGTCGTGCAGCAAACAAAGCGGATTGGGGGGTGCTCAGCTGGGGGAAAAATTGAATGTCAAAGCTGAAATACTTTAAAGCGCCCAATCAGAAATTGCAAATCCCATTGACGTCAGTCGAGTGGGAGTGGGAGTGGCAGTGGGAGTGGCAGTGGGAATGGGTAGGGGCTAGGGAATGAGTTTGGCGTATTGGTGGGGCAGAGGAATGCAAGGGAAACGAAACGAAACGAAACTCAGCAATTGCTCAGTGGAAGTTTTCCTCAAGGCCATCGCCAAAGCGGTGATGGGGGGAGGAGGAAAGCAGAAAAGAGAGAGCAAAACGCGAACCAAAGTCAAAATCAACATCAACATCCACATCCACATCATCAGCGCATTCATCACGGCTGACATCCCCCCCCCCAGTGCAGGGGGAGGGGGTGGGGCAGGGGATGGGGATGGGGACCAAGTGGAGCGTGCTTGCAGCTGACAAGCTTGATTATGTTGGAAGGAGGTGTAAACGCAACCTCCCTCTGGTCAGCCGTGGCCGCATACACAGAGCCGGGAGGGGACGGGACGGGAGCTACAACAACATGTCAGGGTGAATCATGTCAAGGCTGCAGCCTTACAGCAGCTACTGCAGGGCCCCGCGCACCCAGCCCTTGCCCGCCCGTGTTGCCCGCCCACAAGTAGGACTATAACAGCATCCAAGGGAGTCCACTTAAAGGACCCCAGCAGACCGCAGACTCAGCAGACTCCGCATGCGGATCCCATCCCCGCCACTTCGCGGAATGACATCAGCATGGATGGATATGGCTGTGATGCCTGTCACTCTGTCACACGCTGGAGCTTGCGCCGACCGTCCCGCCCACACTGGTCGGTCGGGGGTTAAAAATAGCCAACAGAATGCCAAACTGTCATTAACCGAAAAACCGTCAACGTCGCGCTTTGCGTACGCGTATTATGAAATCATCCTTGCAGCTGGACATGTGGCGCTTGGAGCTGCTCTCCGCTCTCGTCCCTCGTTGGGGAGTGTATCCGTTGAGCTGTTCCACTTTAAGCTGCTGAATGGTTGCAGGATTGTGAGTGATTGCTTAATGCCCAGAAGTACATAGGTACATCTCTGTGTAGCAATCCTCTAAAGCAACCAGGAAACAGGCAACCAAGCAACGCCGCAATTGGTGGCCGCACAAGAAAGAAATCCTCCAAGTGACCAGGAAACCAAACCAAGGAAGGAGAAACTCAGCTTAGCTAAGGCTTCCGCCAGAGCTGTTGAATGACGCCTTTTACACGTAACAATTAAACTGAAATGAAAGGAAAGGAAAGGAAAGGAAAACAACAGAACAGAACATGCCACAAATGATTCCACGACAAGCAACGGGGGAGAACAACATGCAAAGAATTGCAGTGTGCAGATCGTGAAAGGCTCCATTCAGCCATTCATAGAAAATGGATTGAAGAAGACAAAAACAAAGACAAAGACCATGGTGTATGCCACAAGTGAGAGAGTGAGAGAGAGAGAGAGAGAGAGAGAGAGAGTGAGAGAATTGTGCAAGGAAACCCAGGGGAAAATTGCAAATGAAACGCATCTTGCGGTGTTGTCTGTGGCTAAGGAATGCCACGGATCTTTTGCAGTCAGCTTGTGCAATGGAATTTCTCGACTGAATTATGTACGTGTGACGCTTTGAAAGTGAAGCGAGACGGAGACGGGAAGGTTGGCTCTCTCTCCTGTCACCACTCAAGCCACTTAGAGCAGAAGGGCAGGGAACGCAAGCTCTTCAGTGGGCGGCCATAGACTGGCAGTCTGTCTGTCTGTCTGTCTGCCTGTCTGCCTGTCAGACTGTCGGTCTACTTTGCTTCGCAATTTCCATTTGCGCCATAGCTGCCATTCCATTCCATCATTCCATTCCTCTGCCCAAGTCCTTATACGTTCTGCATGTGGTGTGAATGACTTGTTGTTGCCCCATGCACGTGCCTCCCGACCTGGTGGGTAACATAAAATCAATAAAGGGCTCGGCAGCTGCATTCCCTGGCCACTGGAGTCCACAGCCCAGCCACATCATCAGCCATCAGCCATCATTAGCATTGCACACGGCCGTATCATCAAGGCCACAAAAGGTTGGTCTTATCAATTCCCCCCCCTCCCAACCCGCACACAGCCACACACACACACACATCCACTCGCAGTCCCCCGCCCACTGCCCATGCTCTCTACACATTCCTATTTAGGGAGCAAGCAATATGCCAAGTGAAAATTCCTGGGATATCGGCGGGGTTCTCGTAGCTCCCGCATAAATTCCAACTGCGCTCCAAACCATGCTACGAAAATGTCGGCCCCAAAAATGTATATGCGCAGAAAGGAAATACATACACACACACACACACACAAGCGTATGTGTGTGTGTGTGTGTGTGAAAAGAGGAAGGCAAAAGCAGAATGTGGATTCTGGTTGAGGGGGCCGCTGGGCTGGGTGGGGGAGTACAAGGCTAAGCAGCAGCACTGACACACACACGCACACACACATACACACGCAAAAACAAATTTGTACGCTCTTGCGTACGCAACAAGGTCACTGGAAAATCGTTAAGCACAAAAAAAATACACACACACACACATATACATACACGCAAACAAACATACAACAAAACGGCAGCAAAGCAGAAAAAGCTGAAAAAGCAGCTCAGCTCAGAACGAGGAACGAACCAGAGCACCACCAACAAAAATAACCGTTTCTTATTATATACACACATACATATGTACATACACAATGCTGCGGCAGGCCAAAGCGTGTGTATGTATGCGTATAAAGCGAAATTCCATAACTTACCTCTTACTTTTATTCACCAAACTATTGTTTTCAGCCAACTTTTAATTATTGCAAATGTGTGTGACAATTTGTTGCTGTTGCATTCTGTTTACATCGCGAGGTGGCTGGCAGCACGCACCGTTCAGGCAGCCCACAAGCAACGCAACGGCAGCAAAATGTATTTACAAATTGTAGCGCAGCACTTGAAGAAGAATTTAACCAGCTACGGTAATCACTGAACAGCAAAAAAAAACTACAAAGCAATTTAACAAATTAGAGTAACTGTTCTTTTGCTCTCCTTTTTTCTTTTTGAACCTCTCTTCGCACGTAGGCTGCTGGTGCAGAGCGGTTGAATGGTTCAGCTTGTGTGTTTGTGGTGTGCTGACTGCGCGCTGGTCGTAGTGTGACTGACTGTCCGGAAAGGACGCCAGCGCCAGCAACCGAACCAACCACACACATACCACCCCCCGCACACCCTCCTTCGACCCACACCACCACCAGCACTTGTGGGTTGGTGTTGGGTTGGATTGGCTATTCCCCTGTCGCATGTGGAAATTTCTATACTGCTGGCTGTCGGCTGGAAAAGTGTGCGCACAGCGCACATCCATTGCCATTTCCACGCCGCACTTGTTGGATTCTCGGTGAATTCCAATCTGCGCATGACCGTTGCAAAGCAAAAATCGATGCACCATCGATAGCACCGATAGACCATATACAATCACAGACAAATAATAGTAAAGATACTGCTTGAATAATACAAATGACCTGCCGATGCAATAACTATAACTATGATGAGCAATTCTTGGAGCAGCAAAATACACTGCAGGATACAGATCCGCATCAATACTGGAACGACCTATGATGGTTAATCGTTAATATTTAATTATTTTTTATTTTATTTAATTAAATTTCATATTAAAAGCAACGGATAGCGCTGTCCCAGTGTGGAGCCTTCTCTCCGTTCCCAACATTGCCTTCAATAAGAACATTGGCCTGGTCTGGGATTGTTGCTGCTTCATCTGCATCTGTCAAGGATCTTAAAATTATCTTACACTTTTTGGAAGGTGGTGGCAGAAGAGCGGCAGAATCGATTGGCCTGCCAAATTTGTATCCCAGTGTTGGTCTCATCGATCTTCAGCAAGCAAGGAGGTTGATCATCCAATTGAAATATACTTTATTCACTGAACACATCATTTGGAATTCTGATAAGAAAAAGCTTGAACAGACGGGAGCTTGTCCACTAAAACTGTTTCACATTTAATGAAAGAAGCGAACACTGGTACCAGCCTGTACCTGGGAAACCAGATACATATCTGCCTGCCTGCTCTGAGGCAGAGCTACTATATATATATATATAACTCGGCATTGGTGGAACCAATAAGAGCACCCGAAATCCAAAGTACACTTCTCCCCGCATGATACTTGCTGCAAGTATCAAGCATCATCTTTCTTATAGCAGATAATAATACCGGATGGAATGACTTAATTGCTGGCTGGAATGTATCCAAAGTGAAATACCAGCAAGGAATATACATAAACCGATTTGATTTTTAATTGGACAAAGCTTTCTAATAATTGCACACACTACAGTTTGACTGTAAACGGAACTGACCTGACAGCTTAACACACTAAGATTGGCTATGGGCTTAAAAGCGGGCAACAATTTAAAAGAACTCATGGGCCAGGGCAGAGACCGTGTGCCAGCCACAAGCTTAAAGCTATCGAGGAGCCGCTCAGAGCAGCTGCCTCCTATAAATGCACATTTTGGGGCGGGGGGAGAGGGCGGCGGCACACGGTTGCCCAGACATGGCACCTCTAATAATAAACAGAATTAAATGCGTATTTTTCTAGATAAATGCAACAAAACAGCCTCATCCGTTGGCCAGACCAAAGCCGGAGCTAGCGATGGCCGAGGCCGAAGCCCGATTTAGTGCAGCAGGAAGAGAGCCGGCTGCTCCAGGTACTGCTTCCAGACGTTCGAGAACGATGCCATGGTGACGCCATCGATGACACGATGATCGGCCGACCAGCTGACGCTCATGATGTGCGCCTTGACCACCTCGTCCTTGTCGTTGAAGCGAGGCACAGCCTTGGTACGGCCCATGGCCCCGATGGCCACCTGTGGTGCCATAATGCAGGGATGCGTATAGGTGCCGCCAATCTGTAAGACAATTCCGAATAAACATGTGCGACAGCTACCTCCACCTTCTACTCACAATGCCAATATTGGACAGGGAAAATGTGCCGTCGGCAAAGTCCGAGGGTGTCAGCGAGCCGGTGCGTCCCCGCTCCACCAGCGCATTGAGGTCCTTGGCTATCTCAATGATATTCTTCGATTGGCAATTCTTAATGTTCGGCACCACGAGGCCCTGGGGCGTGTCGATGGCCACACTTATGTTGTGGGCCCCCTTGTAGACCAGCGACTCGCTAGCCAGATCCAGCGAGCTGTTAACAATCGGATACCTGGCCAAAGCGATGCTGGCCGCCTTTATGCAGAACGGCATGAATGTGAGCTTGGGCACACCGCTCTCCTTGGCCACTGCCTGCAGCTGGGCCCGGAACTGCACCAGATTGGACATGTCGATCTCATCGCTGTACGCAAAGTGAGGAATTTTCTATGGGTGCCAGTGAGAAAGTATATCATTGGTTTGTCTTTACGATTTGATGGCTCCGCCACTCACCAGGGATTCGGTCATTGCCTTGAGCATGGCCTTGCGCACACCCTTTAGCACCTCCACACGATCAGCGGGAATGGCGGCGGCTGCTGTAGCAGCAGCAGCAACAGTCGACGTAGCTGTCTGAGACTGTAGCTTGGCGGCAATCGTGGGATGAGGGATATTCGTGCCGGGTGGCACCTGCCCCAGATACTCCAGTATATCGCCCTTGAGGACGCGTCCGTTTTTGCCCGTTGGCTGTACATTGGCAAGGTTCAGCTGATGTTCCTTGGCCAGGCGGCGAACGGCAGGCGTGGCTGGGGTGATAACGCGGCCACCACAGATGGGAACAGCCTCACCTGCTGCGGGTTTGGCCGTCTCCGCTTCGCTGGAGGAGCTATCCGAGGAAGAAGAGCTGGATTCGGTGCTACTCTCGTCACCCTCCTCGTCGAGGACATCAAAGTCCAGCAGGGGCTTGCCCACCAATGCTATCTCATCGATGCTGTGGTGGATTTTAGTGATTTTGCCATCGTAGCGACTGGTAATGGTCACCGAGGCTTTGTCCGACTGCACCTCGCATAGATTGTCAAACTGCTCCACGGTGTCGCCCACCTTAACGAACCATTCCTTAACCGTCACCTCGCGGATACCCTCGCCGATGTCACTCAGATTGAACGAAACGGTCTTGTCCAGGCTAGGGGTCACATGCAGGCACCGCTTCAGCTGTAAAAAGAAACACCGACATCAGTTAGAAGCGTGCAGCATGCATTTTGACCATTTAAACACCACTTCTATTGCTGTCTCGCTCGCGCCACAGGTTGTGCGAATGCGGAGTTGATTACATAACACTATCTTGTCTCTGTGTGCACGGCGCTGGAGGGAAAATAGTGGACGGCAGCAACAAGTGGAAATCTGATTGGATCTCAACTCACTGTGTGGTGGCGGGAGAGACAGTTCCTGAGCAGCCAGCTGGAAGCTCCATTTCGGAGCAGGTGTGTTGCCATTTAGCTGGGATGGGGAGAGAATAAAGGGGCCTGGAAATGTTTATGATTTGTCCTGGGCTGATCGTGCAGAATGTGTGTGTGTTTTGGGGACAACACAGACAGCAGATGGTTCTAGATAGTGCTCGATAGCTGGCACTATCGATAACAACAGATGATCGCTCGATGGAGAAAAATAACTGCCAAAGATTGCCTAATTTGTATACATCAATATCTCTATAAAACCATTTAAAAATTATGTTATTTCATAGCAAATTGATGAACACCCGTTGAAAATCCAAAATTTATTTTCAAATTTAAATTTGAAGCCTTGTGGCGCTAAACATTTTTCCCCCACCACCAGCTGATCGATTGTACTTGTACATGTGCCTTCCTTGCAGCACTAATCAACACTTAGGCCCAAAAAAACGTGAATAGTTTATTTCTGCAGCAAAATGGCAAGTTTCTTGTTAATAACTCTTAGAAAAGCTTAATAACTCGTTTCTCGTTGCACAGACGAACTTACGCAAGGAGCTGGAGAAATGCAAACACCCGAACAGTCGCAAGACCAAGGCCCTGGGAAAGAAGGCGCGCCGCCAGAACAACAAACATAAAGTGCGCTTGGGCCATGCCATCAAAAGCAACATCATGGGCGAAAAGCTGACCTGGTTCTTGGGCCACATCGCAGAGGAACGTACCACCCCGCTTAGTCCCCAGGAGTTCCAGGACCTGATTGCCCTCTACATGCAACGCTTCGACGACGAACTTGCCCAGATTGCCCTGAAGCAGTCGATTGGAAAGCATCGCGCTAACCAGCATGCGGCCCGCAAAGACGTCATTACAATTACACTGGAGAAGGAGCGGAACGAGTACCAGAGCGGCGGCATGGGCAAGCATATAATCATTTAATAATATTAAACAAACATTCTAACTGGGGTTTTCTCCCATGCAGAGCTGGTGAACCTGTGCGATCCTCTCAAATTGAAAATGGTGCGGGATTGGGATGGAAGTGCCCTGAGTGTTCAGCATTTGAAGTTGGATCTTGTCTCGCATAACATGCTAGAACGCTTGAAGAAGCAGGGAGAAAATCTTACAAGCAGTAAGGCGGATGAGCAGATGGAGACGGCATAGTAAACTAGTTAAATAAAATAAATAAACAAAATATCGCTTAAATTGAGTTTGGGTCTTTTACAATACTGCTTTTTTCGGTAGGTAGCTATCGATAGGCAACAGCTGTTGTGCAACTGTGTGTGCGTGAACTTGAATTCGGCGACAAACAGAATTCTGGTGAAATATCTTGAACCGTGAGTTTTATTACATAAACAAAAGCTATCGAAAGCGAAAGTAAGCCTCCATTCACACACTCTTGTGTTCTAAGGTCTGTCCCGACATACAGCAATCTCGTCAGCAATGGGCAGCAGCACATCCAAGGTAGTCGAAGTCGCTCAAGCCGCTGCATCAGAACCCGTCGCCGCAGCTGGTGGCGCTTCCGGTGCCAAACCAAAGTGCAAGGCATGCTGCGCCTGTCCCGAGACCAAGCGGGCACGTGACCAGTGGTAAGTGTTGAGGACACACCATTGCAGTTGTGCCTGCAGGCGTCTAGAATGACGCAACACTTCTAATGAGTTCCATTCTCCATTCAACAGCATGGTCGAGCGCGGCGAGGAGAACTGCACGGCACTGATAGAGGCGCATAAGAAGTGCATGCGCGACTCTGGCTTCAACATCTAAACAACTTGGACGCCCCAGTCCTAGTCGCCCCTACCCTCCCCGTGTTTGTTTCTGTTGTTTCTCATGATAATTATTATAGTCTAATTTAATTGAAAGCCAAATCAGTTCATGCCAAATGCGTTCTTGTCTAATACAGAAAGAGAGAGGGAGCGAAAGGGATGCGCTACAATCAGATAAAGCTAAGGGTGCGCAAGGCTACAACGGCGGCCATGTAAAAAGTGATGAGCAGCATGCTGCCAAAGGCGATTATCCGGGATGGCTGCGGCACTGGATACACGGCGTAGACCAGGGTGTGCGCTATGCGGGCCAAGGAGGCCACTCGGAACAGGTTGCAGGCGACTGTGGCATCTGGATTGGTGCTGATGTAGATCAGGGACATGATGAAGTATGGCAAGATATTCTCCATGTCGTTGCGATGAGCTCTGCGGGTAGATGAAGTGAAATTATAACCAGAACAACTTATTAGTATTCTGGACTGCACCCACCTGCGTACGCGCTCCACATGTGGATCATTAAACTGCACCTCTGTGTTCTTGAAGAAGAGATCCTCCTCGTTGGGAAATATCTGTAAGGCGGAGAACGAACCAGACACTCTTAGAAGCGTTCTCAGACCACGTGTGGTGCCCCCAAACCGGCTATGAATATTCTGATGACTTTACCTTGCGTCTCAGTCCCAATGGAACCAGACCCAGAAGCTGTGAATAGTCGATGAGGCGGCTTGAGCAACTGCAGCGGTAAAACGCTGCCATCTCATCTCATTCCACTCACCTTGTACCGGAAGCGTTGCAGGGCCGTCAAAAGCGACATGAGCAGCATCTTGACCACCAGCACCGTGGCCCAAAAGAGATAGCAACAGAAGACGGGGTTTTCCAGGTTGTACAGCACCTGGGGGGACGGCATTGTGCTGCCATTTGTGGACATTTTGTTAGCGTAGCTGTCGGAGTGGAGGAGTGGAGGAGTGGAGCCTATAGGTGCGTTCGTTTCAAGCTGACTAGAGCGAGTGCTCATCTAGCGACGACGCTCAGCTCCAGGGCCTTCCTCGTACATGTGGTCAAACTGGTTATGAATTGCGTCGAATCATGCAAAGTTGAGCGGTTTGGTTATCGGTGGACAATGGCTGGGGGGGGATGGGGCGGTGCGGTGCGGGGTCGCTACTTAATGGCGCGTCGGGCAATTTGCGTCTAGATATACTTGATGCAGCAGACAAGCACATAGATCGCCTCAAAGCAGGTGATTAAAAGGGTGGTGGTAAATGCCAAGATGCGTGCCGGCTGAGGAACCGGAACGATAGCGTAGACAAAGGTGTGCAGCAGTCGGGCACTTGCACCGATGCGTATGACCATCCGGGCGACCATCGGATGCGGTCCGGCGGCCACATAGCCCAGGGACATTAACAAAAACGGCAGCACATTCTCCAGATCGTTCCGATGAGCCCTGCAATATGAGCCCAAACAGTTATGACCCTGGGAACCGTCGCAGCAGCTCACCAGCTCGGGCACTTACCGACGTACGCGCTCCACATGGTCATCGCCGAAGCGCACCTCGCTGTTCTTGCTGAGCCGAAGATCCTCGGGATTGGAAAAGATCTTGGTCTTAATCCGCTGGCGGGCTGTGAGCAGCGACATGCACAGCATTTTCAGCACCAGCAGACTCATCCACACCAGGTAGCAGGCGAACACGGGATTCGATTTGTCTAGCAATTCCAGGCGCATGGGCATGGTCACGGCACTGGCAGTGGGAGTAACCAGTGTATGGTTATCCATTTGGCAAGTAACGCAATTACTCGAAGCGGGCCAGTATAGGCCTGTACTCGGCAAGTTTTGGCAGGCGACTATGCGGTCAGGCTGTGTCCAGCGCTGGAATAAAAACTGAGCAGTTGCGCCGATTCCCAGGACCGGACCGGACCGCGCCCTGACGTTAATCTATATTCTATATATACCTAATTGTTGGAATATTCGAAACGGGCTCAGGTACATAGCCATAGTCGGACCCTCCAGCTGTAGGCGGTTGTAGTTGGGGAGAAGCATTCAAACTGGAAAAAAGAAGCAGTTAAATGGGAAATTGAAATTGCGCCGTTCATCGGTATTCAACAACCAACCACACATACAATATATATGTACCAAGGTCACAAAAATAAATGCAAAGCAAAAATAACGAGAAATAAAATGAGCGACAATAAATATCAAAACAAAACCGGGCAAACGGACTAACGGAAGCGCGCCCCCAGGCCAGGTGATTGTTTGAGAGAGGAAGCACCTAAGCCAAGCCAAGCGGTGGAAAAACGGTGGGGAAGAGAGAGAAAATTAATGTAAATACAGGGATACTTATGTACATACATATGTAAGTATAAATTCCATAAATATTATATTGATTGAACTTGCTGTGGGACTAATTGCTTCTTTCCACCTTCCCTTTCTCATGCTATGAGACCGAGCCACGTTCCCAGTACACCGCGGGGGAGGATAAGCTAAACTATTACAAAAAATGTGTGTGCATTAAATATCTAACTTAATTAATTAATATTGATTGACTATTTCTATAACCGGTAACTAATTTATTACTAACGTAAGGGGAAGAAACCAAATTTGGTTTCTCTAGCTCTTATAGTCTCTCAGATCTAGGCGCTCATCAAGACGGACAGACGGACGGACGGACAGACGGACATGGCTATATCGACTCGGCTATTGATGCTGATCAAGAATATATATACTTTATGGGGTCGGAAACGTTTCCTTCTCTGCGTTGCACACATCCACTTTTACCACAAATCTAATATACCCCTTAACTCTTTTTTGAGTACGGGTATAAAAACAGCCACTCCACCTCAGAGAACTGGCACAGTTTATAAAAAGCGCTAATATGGACTTTTAAGCATTTTGTGATAAATCATTTTAGATTAATAAAGTATAGGGAAGGGACTTTTTACAAGCAATATAACGCCTGTCAAGCTCGCTGACAGGAAGTCTGTGCAGGCCAAATTTCAAATAAAATAAATAACAATAAACAACAACCAAACTACCAAAAAAATACAAATTTTACAAACAAGATTTAAACAAAACATTCGGAGGTTTACACACTTCGATCTGTTTGTCAAACTCTCAAGATCTCACTAAACACATATTTCTGGAGACACACCTTGGGCCCATCAAGCGTCCGAACCTGAATAATCGGACAATAAGTCACACACTAATTACACCCAACACAAAATCTGGAGATATAGTTTCTTCCGTCTCATCCAGGTCCTTTCCTCAAGGACAACAAGTCACACACCAGTATCTGATCAATGTGGCAACGCAGCTGCGATCAAACCCCTGTCATGCGATGATTTAATCAAAAAAAAATTAAAAGCGGTACGAAATAAATTAAAAATAAGATTAAATTCGTATTAAATAATTTCAACACTTTCATAGAAAATGAGCGACACGAGCGGACCGGGCAAGAGTCCGGCGCCCAAGGCTAAGCCAGAAGGCAGCAAGTGGCTGGATGAAGGGTCCAAGGTCGTTTTCTTTGACTTGGAGGATGAAGATGAGGGGATCACCAGCTATTCGCAAAGCAATTCGCTGTCGCATATTTGGGAGCAGGGACTCCAGCAGCAGGCACAGATACACAAGCTCAAGAAGATGATAAAATCGAAGTCGCACGCGCACGTCAAAGTGGCCCAGCGGGCCGCAGAGACACGCAAAAAGTTGGAGGAGGAGCAGAAACGTGCGGGCAGCATGGAGCAGCAGCTGAAGCGAGCCTGTCAGGAGAAGCAGCAATCGAAGGATTTACTGGCGGACACGCAGGTGATACGCCGGAGTCTGGAGAGCCGCCTCGATAAACTGAGCGAGAAGAAGAAGTGGGCGGAGCAGTGCAATACCCAGCTGGAGTCCAAGCTGCAGCAGACCCTCATCCAGTGCAAGCAGCTCGATGAAAAATGCGCCCATAGCGGCGAGCTGCTGGATATGAAACAGATCGACTTCGATAGAATCACAAAGCGATACAACGCCCTGGAGTCGGACTTTGAGGCCATGGTGCTGAAGAAGGAGGTCCAGATACATCAGCTGAAGGGCTCGCTCGAGCTGGCCCAGAATCGATGCCAGCAGCTGGAGCCGGAGAACGTGCGCCAGCAGCAGTACATCCAGCAGCTGGAGGCCAGGCGGGCGACCTTGGAGCACGGCAATGCCCAGCTGAATAGCCACATGGAGGAGACCCTGGCTGAGCTCAGTTCCCTCGATGATCTGTTGCTCAAGAATAATATGTCTCGCGTGGGCCTCAGTCGCGCCGATCGCATTGGCAAACTCAATGAGGAGCTGCCTCGGGCCATGGGCAGTCCCCAAAGCCTGACAGATGATCTGCAAAAGCTACTGGAAGAGCGGAACAAGGAGCTGCTCCTGCTGCGTGAGCAGGAGCAGGAGGCACTACGTACTGTGACCACATTGAGTAAGGAGAAAACGCGACTGCAGCTGCGCCTTGTGCAAATGGAAAAGGAATTGGGCGCAGTGAAACAAAATTTGGCGACAACCTATTCGCAGCTAGAGCAGAAAATTAATCCGTTGATAGCTGAACGGGATGCGCTGCGCAATCGCCGCCAGAAGGCCGACAGCCAGCTGAAGAGCATTCAACTGGACATGCTGCAATTGAGCGAGGAAAACAAGCATCTCAAACAGGAATGTGATCGGCTGAAGGAGGACAACTGGCGCATGTCCACGAAGCGGGAGACAGCGGATGCGCTGCGCCTGGAGCTGGATCGGCACCAAGGCCTCTTGGTGGCTGCCCAAACGGAGGTGGATCGGCTGACCCAGCTGCACTCAGAGACCTCACACGAGAAGGATGTGCTCAGCTACGAGCTGCAGGAGCAGCGCGAACAAATCGCCAAGCTCGAGCAAAGTCTACAGAGCGTAGAGTTCAATGCAGAGCAGCAGGCCAAAAGGCTGGCGTCGGAGAAGAAGAGTCTGCAGAGCGAGCTGCAGCAGTTGCAGAGCGAGCTGCAGCAGTTGCAGGCGAAATGTGAGCCAGAGAACTGCAGTAGCTGTGCGAAGAAGTTGGCTGAAATTCGAAGTGCTGAGATTCAAATGAGCAGGCTGCAGAAGAGCAACAAGAGGCAGGCGAAAATCCTAAAGGAACAGGAAGCTGCAGCTCACGCTGCAGAGCCCCTGCGCTCGCACCCCAGCTATGGACATTTCCACCACGCAGCAGAGTCTGCTCATGGCGCTCAAGGAGAATGCCGAGCAATTCAAGGAGTTTATCAATCAGCAGGAAAAGCAGGACACCAGTATTGATGCCACGCCCACCCATTCGAACATGAAACATTTTGGTTAAATTTGCTGCAATTGTTTTTGGTTTTTGTTTTTGATTAAATCAGCCAACCATTGGCTGATCAGAGATCAATGTCTTTTCTTGTATTGAGTGCAGCTCAGTCTTCAGTCGAGAGGTATAGCAGGCCGGCTACTAGGCCCAGTCCGATATATCGTGGGGCCACGCTTGAGTAAGCTTTTCGGCTACGAGTACACCATTATCTGAAGTATCACTTTATCACTCACTCTTAATAAAACGTTCGTCGTGTTCACATCGTTCGTCGTGTGTTCTCATTTTACAATTTCACTGTGCAGGCAATTTCTCGCTAACAAAGACGAGTTACACTGGTACCTTAGAAGAATTTAAAACTTTCTTATAAACACATTAAACATTAATTATAAACACTGTAAAAAGATTAATGTAAGAGAAAAAGAAATGACAAAGAACAAAGAAGAATACTCGGGGGAGGAAACACTACTCAACACGATTTTTCCTCAAGGAACAAAACCAACTTTTTCTTAAAGATTTGGGGCTTAGTTTGGTTTGATGGTTTGATGATATTTTTTTTTTCTATGGCAGAACTTTTTTTTTAAGAATTTTTGAAAACTGGTATTTTTTTTAAGCTTTTTTCAGAGGTAGCGCTTGTTTTTTTTCACATAGCTCTAGTATCTTACGTCTGGTTGTAAAGAACTTTGCTTTTTTGAAAAGACAATTAAAACAGCTAGACACACTTTGTGATTTCTGCTTACCGTCTGGGAAATATAAAGCATTGAAATGCAAAAATGATGATTTTTGTGCGGTATTTTTTACGAAATTTTGACTTTAAAAACTCAGGAAAAGTCGAAAAAAATGATATCCTGTATCCTCTATTTTTTTGTGTATAGGTGCATTAATTTGGCGTCGTTTAAGGTATCGCTCATTAAAATCTATGGAGAGACTTTGGAGCTAAAATTCGTTAACCAAACCTAAAAAATGAAAAAATTTAACAAAAAATACCTTTTGGAAGGTTGCGGGCCCAACTTACCCAGACGGTAAGCTGAAATCACAAAGTTATTGGGCTTAACTTCTAGCTGTTTTAATTGTCTTTTCAAAATAGCAAAGTTCTTTACAACCAGACGTAATATACTAGAGTTATGTGAAAAAAACAAGCGCTACCTCTGAAAAAAGCTTGAAAAAAATACCAGACTTCAAAAATTCTTCAAAAAAAAAGTTCTGCCATGGAAAAAAAACCATAATTCTTTAAACAATTTTAAAGCCCCATATCTATCAGAAAAAGTCGGTTTGGATCCTTGAGGAAAAAAAAGTTGGATTTTGTCGAGTAGTGAAATCAGAGCCAGATTCTCTGAAATCTTGGAAAAATATTCAAAAGAAGGCTGGAATATTCTGTCCACAGATGCATCGGTCATGTAGGACAGGTGTGGTATGGGAATTGTAGAGTTACCTAGTGGTAATATATATAAATATAGAACAGTAACTAGGCTTTCATCAGTAGGGGCCGAACTGATAGGTATAAAAAAAGCGAGTGAGATATGTGCCAATAATGGATACAAGAAAGCCGTGGTCTAGGAGCGATAAAACTAGTAAACAATAAACAAACAGACTCATACATAGTAAGAGAAATTCACAATATTATCGACACATCAGGCGTGCAACAACTGGATATTCTATGGATTCCAGGGCACAAAGGGGTAACGATAAAGATGCCATACGAGAAGGGGAAATCATTTACATACAATTTAGTGTAAAAGAAGCCTTAAGGGAAATTAAAAACTCCTTGGAACACAAGTGGAACGAGGAGTATAAACAAAAATGTACTAACAAGTGCACCAGCTTAATCGAAATCTTTCCAAACATACCCAAAAAACCATGGCACTATAATTTAAAATGGAATGCAAAAAGCATAAAGACAATAAACAGACTGATGACAGGACACACGTACGACAAAGCCTTTCTATACAAAATGAAAGCGATTGATTCGGATATCTGTGAGACATGTAATGTCACAGAATCCGCTGAACATCTGCTTTTTAAATGCCAAAGATTCGTCCGTCTCAGGGGTAAGTATCGAATTTTTAAATATTATAAGGATCTAAATGAACTCCTGATCAAACGAGAAGGAACGTGTGAGTCGCTTCTGGGGACGCGACTCTACTTATACCCGTACTCAGTCAGTATATACATTTTTGAGCTTATGATTTTTAAGAAATTAAAAAAAAAAAAAATTTTACATTTTACATTTTTTTGCTACATATGATATCTACATCTACATATACAATGTATATTATACATCTAACATGTAGATTTTACATGTTCCAATTAGATTCTACATCTCCTCCGCTAGGGGTTGCTCGCGCACTGAACGCGGCAGAATGTGCGGAGGGGGAAGGGTTTTTTGGGGGGGGGGGGAGGGGGGGGAAGCAACTGAAAATTAATTTCTTCATTCTGGCTATAATTATGATCCGATCTGATTCAGATGTGGCAATCTGGTAGATATGGGCATTCTCTACGATACTGCGTTTTTAGTTTTATCGTATCTTTAAAACTGTGCCTGCCACAGATTTTCGTCCTTTGTGTGGGCGGAAGGGGGCGGGGCGAAATTTTGAAATACACTTGTAGCAGTGTGATATCACATGAGTCTGGAAACCAAATTTGGTTTCTCTAGCTCTTATAGTCTCTGAGATCCAGGCGCTCATCAAGACGGACAGACGGACGGACGGACAGACGGACATGGCTATATGACCCCGGCTAATTGGTGCTGATCAAGAATATATATACCTTATGGGGTCGGAAACGTTTCCTTCTCTGCGTTACACACATCCACTTTTACCACAAATCTAATGTACCCCTTATTTTGGGTTAAAAACTTGGCTAATTTTCAAATTTTACATGTATTTTACGCTGGTATTCAGTGAAATAAATGTCACTTCAACATGCTTTTTACATGCAAAACAGCGGCGAAAAGAATTTAATTGAAGATTACATTGAAGTCCGCTAGAGGCGCCCTCGTCTTCTTTTTTCTTGAAAAATATTTAGCCGGGTTTCACACCACCATTGTAGTTGCTTTAAAACACTTCGCAGCACTGGCCAAGCAGCTGTTCCGCTAGAGGCGCCCTCGTCTTCTTTTTTCTTGAAATATATTTAGCCGGGTTTAACACCACCATTGCAGTTGCTTTAAAACACTTCACAGCACTGGCCAAGCAGCTGATCCTTCTTCGTCTTCTCGCTTATTTGGAACTGGCGCCAGATTCAATTCTGTGCGACGAATGCGCAAAAGTCTTCAATAGCCCTGCCCCAAAATGCCACACCACACCGGAGTTGACCTGCAGCTGGAGATTCCCTTGCATCTCACAATTCACACTATAACACCGACTGAAACTGGCAACAAGCCAGATTTTTTGGCGGCTCTGAAAGGAGACGACGGCCAGAAGCTGTTCACGCATAATCTGGATCGCCTCCAGCAGTCGTACGACACCTGCTAAATTAAAAGTTCAGAAGGGTAGCAAGGGGAAGCCCTTGCTCACAGTTCCCCGGTTCATTTCTCTGTAGATGTGTATTATATTACCTAGTAATGGTAATATAATATTAAATATACATATATAATTAATTAATTAATTAAATGTAATATTAAATAAATATAATATATATTCTCGTTAGAAGCTTAAGTCAAATTACAGTTTTTCTAAACATACTTTCATGTGGCATAAAATATCAATAATAAGTTTATTTATTTGCGGCAACATCTTAGGCATATTTCTATTGAGTGTAAAAAGAGCTTTTCCTGCACGGTCTCAGTTTGTATACAGATCGATCCTATGTCGGCTTTATGACCCATCCATTTGTATGCATACATATGTACATACATACATATGTATATTCCCTATGTACATACTTATTCATAAATATTTACATGGGCAGATTCATATTTTTAGTGTCGGAAATCCTCTTTTGATGTCCATCCATCGTCACCATCTCCGAGTTCTGTTTATTATTTACAATCAAATGAAATAATAAGCCGTTTGGGTAATCATTTGATGGAGCACTTCAGAGATATGAGTATCACATTTCCGATTTGTGTTCTTGGCCTTTGTACGATTATGAGTATCCCCCCCGCCCCCAAATAATGTTTATTACTGACTCTTGAATGATAATAAACATTAAAAATTCAGACTAGAAGATACAAATTCCAGGCAGCGCCACGCCGCTGGAAGCTTCTCTTCTTTCTTTGTGTGTACTGGAATATTCCAGTTTCCAGTTTCCAATTTCCAGTTGCCGTATTGCCCTACCACTTGCCATGCCATGCCATGCCATGACGTATGCCCAAGAGTTGGTCTTTGGTCTCGTCTAAATTTAGTCAAAGAAGAATCTTGTTCGCCTGTATTTCTTGTTTCCTTTTCCTTCATCTTCTCTCAAATAAAACACGCGCTCCAAAGTCGCATCGAATTTTGTTTTTGTTTTCGCCCCACAGCTGCGGGAGTTGTCGTTGTCGTCGTCGTCGTCGTCGTCATCGCCCAGACGTAGAGCGTTCAAAGTCCAAGCTGCCGGATGACTTTGTTACTTTTGTTCCTCGTTTTGCTTTTTGCACTATGACGAATTAATTTTAATACTTAAGCAGAGCACCCATAGGGGACCCATGTACCCACGCCGTTCCACCTTTCTACCTCACCCATCTAGAAGCAAAGCAAAGACAGACAACAATCTCAAGGAACTTGACCTCAAAAGAAATTTCCAACACTTTCTGGATTGCACGTGAATGAGTCTCAGACAGTCGCTGGCGGGTACACTCAGTTTGAACTTTTACGGCAATTGGAACCGAACCTCTCAAGTGTCACAATAAAAAGCGATTAGCACAGCGAACAATGTTTAATGACTGGCTTAAGGGTTTATTCATGTACATAGTGTGTGTGTATGCCTCCATAACGATAACCGGCGACACTTATAAAACAAAGGCATTAAATGATTGAAGCAAACAAAACAGCAATAATGAAAGAGTATTTAAACACTCTTATCAGCCGCCGACACGGTCTATCTGAAAAGCAAATGCAAAAAAAGAAAAGAAAAAGAGAAATACAAATTTAATTAAATAAACCAACGACTCATTCGCCTTTCATACTCGCATATAGCCAGCCCAACTCATGCCGCCTGATCCAAAGTCCACATGAGTATATCATTACGAGTACTACTATAACCTGAATGGAATGTTTAGCCCCCGCTCTATATATAGAGCACGCCCGGGCCTCTGCCTAGGATGCGTCTCCTTACTGGGACAGATTGTCAAAACTATAAAAAGTCTATGGAAATGGAAATGGGTTCCAAAAACAACATTGGAACGGATAGACAGTTCTTGTCTGTGATAACGGAAAGCAATAGATGTACATAAATATATATAATATAATATAAACAAATAAACATATGTATGTGGTCTGGTTTTCTAGTTCATTCTCTAAGATATTTAATGGATTCATTTTTTACGGCTATTTGAAATTATGGGATTAATAATTAAGCGTACATAAAGGCAAGCCTGATGTAATGTAACCTGAAATACATATATACAAATGTACATAGCCATCGCAATACCGATTAACCAAAACAATTACCAATAATTCCCTTACATGGTTTATACATACATACATAGTCGATATCTGGGAATCGTCACTGGCCCCCAGATCCCAGGCAGGCCCCTACAGCACCAGACCGACCCCCATGCATAGCCACGGCCAGACCAATTTGCGATAGGCAATTGACGGAAGACCTGGCACCTGGCCATGGTTACAACATAAACAAGTCATGACGACAGTACTCGATCTGGACTTTGGAGTCGCAAGATGAATGTGATGATGCGTATACCAATCTACCCAGTACAATATACGCGATCGTCTGGCTTAAAGCTTATCAGACAGAGGCATGTTGTACATTTGTACATATGTACATACTGATTTTATTATGACGACCGAGGGCGCCATTTAGCTGGACAGAACAGGGTAGGGCAGGGCTGGGCAGGGGCATTGTTTCCCTCATATTTCACGTAATTTGTTTTCGTTTTGTCATACACATCGATGCCGGACTTTGGAATCCGGCGGAGAATTACACAGCACTTAGTCAAAGTTACGTATGATATCAGCCAAGACTTCACAAAACAGCATAAAAGTGTGAGAGAGCGCTGGATAGAGAGAGAGAGAAATGTGCAGTGACCGTTATCAATGCGGTGGGGCTGTGGAGGCCCGCAGCTGGTCAAAGGTTCCACGAAGCATTTGCGTGGTTCGCATTGCCCATTGATAATGGAAGTGCCCCCTCATATACACACACCACACACACACACATTCATACAACAATCATTTTGAAATGTACTTAAATCTTGGTTTGTAGCACGGCGAGCAACAGAATTAATCTAGTTGTCAAGCATAAGCATGAATGGCCAACAAACACATGCTCTCTCTGGCTTCTCTGACACTTGGAGACACTAATACACTAATTTCGCATACAAAAGACATGTTTAATGTTAAATTTTTGATACTGCTCTCTATCGAAAACCCTATTAATCATTATTTAGACTTTTTACATCACCTTCTTGATTATTCATAGATCTTCGGGCACATGTTTCATTTTTGCAATGCCTCAACATTCTACATACCCTTGGGAGAGATATACGATAAAAATCTCAGGCTCCAATTTTACAAAACTAAGAGTTTGGATCAAGTTACATATATACATATATACAGGAAACTAATTTAATACATGAATGGGTCAAAAAATGTCAATCCATGATATATGAATTTTTAATTACGTTTCAAAGCAGCTTGGAAAACAGAATTTTAACATTTATTAAGGAAAATAGGGTATACAAATGTCTCATAGTTGAATCGGGTTGACCAGCAACAATGACGTAGCATTCAAAACTCATTTTTTTCACCTTTTTTGTTTAAACCTTATTTTAGACACAATTAAAATAAATAAATATAAATAAAAAAAATAAATAAAATATAGGCATGCAGAAAATGTATTATTCAATCGGATAAAATGATGTGTTCAGTGCTGAAGGCTAGCTGGCTAGTAATATTCAACGGAATATCAAAATCGAGGAATATGATTGCTGATCATAGATAGAGACATAGACGATTAACCCATTGTCGACCAGAGGGTATTAAAATTCACTCCAAGAAAATGAAAATTTGAGAATTCCAGGCTGTACGAAAAGGTCTGTAAGTCGCTAGAACTCAAAAGCGAAATGACACCTTCGTATCGTGTAAATTTTTTTTGTAAGGAAACAGGAAAGAATGATCGACAATAAGAATTTACAAACAATGTTATTTTCCGCGGCTTAACGCAAGTTGATCACCTGTTGAAATAGAGGGGGTCAAGTGGGTTAAGTTGCGCGATCGCTCACGAACGAAGCGCAAAAATGAGTCGTTTTGGTGATATATAGAGGCTGTGCATGCCGCTTTTAACATAAAAGTAGAAAAGTTGTTCGTTGACACATCTCACACAAATATCCGTATTGATATTTGCGCCAAATAAATATCACCTAAAAATATTTTGTCGAACAAGAATTATCTATAACTGCACAAAAAGCCCTAGCGAAGAGACGTGCCTTAAATATCGCATAAATTTATTTAGTCTTCCGCACCTCGCCATCATCGAAGTTCTTGAAACCGGTGGTGTGAACGCTGAACAAAAAGAAGCACAGACACACCAAAGCTAAACTGTTTTTTTTGTGCTCCTCCGAGGAAAACCAAACGAAAGAAAGAAGAAAAAGTGCCGCGCCAAGCTAAAGAGCTAAGAGAAAGAGTGAAAACTAAGAAAAGACCAAGAAGCAGAGAAAGAAAGAAACATGGCCAGTGCAGAGCAAAAACAGGCCACGGGCAGCAACGGCACAGCCAAGAGCAGCAACAACAAAATCAACAGTGTTCCCTCAGAACAGGAACAGCAGCCCAAGGATGCCAAGGATCTATTGCCTCATCTGGAGTCGCTGGAGCGCATCATCAAGCTGCCTGTGGTGAATGCAGCCTGGGACAAATCGCAGGATGTCTACGGCAAAGTTAAAGGTATGTGAAAATCTTATAAAAATGTGCTTGCAATGCCCCTTTGCGGGCATTGAACTCTCGGCCGGTCAAGTAACGGTGCCCTGCTTTACGGCGTTGCCAGGCCCAATGACACTACAGCGAATAGAGCAAAAGCAAATGCAACTGCAATTGAAACCGAAAACGAACACCGTCCCGTTGCTTCGACTTTCGAGTGCATTGATCGCCATTTTGAGTGCCGAAATCGAGCTCGAATTCGAAGGCGGGCAGAGCCAAAGGCGAAACATAACTTTTTTTTATTGACCGACAATGGGCCAAAATTAAACTCAATTGATGTTAATTGATTGCTAGTAGCCAATAATCAAAATCACAGCCGTCGTGACAGCAACAATAACCATGACCTAGCAAGAACAAAAAGAACAAAAAAAAAAATAAAAGAGCGAGGTAGGAGGTACAAATATCTATTTTTTGTGCGGCACTTTGCCCTCGTGACGCTTTCCGATCAAAGTTCGCTGAAATAATTTACATAACAAAACTTTGCAAAATCGAAAAGAAAACGGCAAATAAAATCCAAAAAGCGAAGAGAGAAGAGGCATACAACACGTAGTCTGAAACGAACACACAAATACGAACAAAAAGGGCATGCACATGTGTGTGGGTACACACATATTTAATGATTTCAATCAGAGTCGCCTTATTCGATAGGGGCTAGGGGCTCGTGCTCGTCGGTGCCCACGGCCTCTGTTTGTATCCTTATTTCCAATGCCATGTCTCTTTCGCACATTGAACTGCAATTTGAGCCGTCGTCAGACGCGATGGGGGCTCGTGCAGTGGTACACGCATGTGGTCGCGCAGCCACCCTGTCGGCCCACGCCACTGTCTTGCCCCCTGTACCTCCATCTCTTTCCCACACCCCACACCGAACTGTAGTTGGACTTTCGACTTGTTTGTTATATTTCGTTCGCTATTGCACACACTTACACACAGCAGAATTAGTATTGCGGTGCTTTTGTGGTTTTTCTTGGCGTTGTTGGTGGAATGATGATGTTTTTGCTGTATGACGAACTATCAAAGTCTAAACTTGTCAGACGAATAGATAGACAAATACATACACACACACACAACACACAAATAAATAGATATAGATAGAGCGAGCCTAGTTCCAGGGCAAAGAGAGGCCCTACAAGTACATACTGCGCAGTTGCTTATCAAGCAAAAGTGACATTCCTCCTGCTGTTGTTGTTATTGTTGTTGTTTTTGTTGCTGTTGCAGCGGCTGGTGATAAGTGGCCGGCTTATCTCACATACCCTGGCACTACGCGTACATACATATGTACATAAATATATACATATCTACATTATTCCAGAAGTTTCATAGGCAAAAAAAAAATCTCCAATTGATTTATTTATAGGCAAGAATCGCGTCTTCGAATGGGCGCTGACGGCAGCCGAGGATTGCGTGACCCGGGCCGTGACAACGGCGGCGCCGTTTGTGACCAAATTGGATCGCCCGATCTCGTTCGTGGACCAGACCCTCGTCAAGGGCATCGATAAGCTGGAGGTGAAGGCACCGATAATCAAGGACACGCCCCAAGAGATCTACAACCAGGCCAAGAGCAAGGTGATCGATGTGGTGCAGCCGCACCTGGAGCGTGTGGTCAAGTTCAAGGCAGCCGGCCAACAGAAGGCCGCCTCCCTCAAGGACCTCGCCTGGCAGAAGGCTAACGAGGTGCTGGCCACCCAATACGGCAGTCTGGCCGTCAACGGCGTGGACACCACCACAGCCCTTGCCGAGCGACTCCTTGAGTACTATTTCCCCAAGAGCGAGTCGGATGTGGAGGAGGATAACGGTGAGTGCTGATGACCTGATGATGTCTGCGGCTTGATGTCCGATCTGTCCATCTGCTCATCCATTCATTCATCCATCCATCCATCCATCCATCTGTACATTGGTGGTGGGTTCTGGCGGACAGGCGAACAGACGACGACAACGAAGCCAAGTCTTTTGATATAATATTTATATCGATGCATGGCCGGCATTTTGGCTAGCTTCCATTTCCATTTTGCCCCAAAAATAAATCTGCTTGATTTGTTTTTTTTTTTTTATTTACCCCATGGTGTGTAAACAAAATGCTAAATATAAATCGTAAATATTTTTAATTCTCAGATGATAAACAAAAAGCCGTCGCGCAAAATGGCAAGAGTTCCGAAAATGACAGTAAGTCTTGTTCCCTACTGCCATCGCTTGCCTGTCCGCGATCAATTTGATCGTTTGATCTCTGTTCGTTTGTACCTCTAATACTAACCACTTAGTTTCAACTAAGAAGCAATAAGCATGCATAAAGACTAATACTACACCCTCAAAACCCTACAACCCACACCCCACAACCTACAACCCTTACTCTCTCTCCCTTACTCCCTTGTCATATCAAAGGATGAGACAAATATTTATAAATTACGGTTTGGGGAAAACTTTTGTATGGTTAGATTTGATTACCAGTCCTGGTCCCAGTCCTAGTCCTAGACTCCCCAACCCACTCAAAATTTAATTTAATTAACTGTTGCACAGATGACTAATTTTCTAAATTAATTTTTCTCTCTATCTCTCCCTCTTTCTCTCTCTCTTTCTGTGCTGTTTGTTAGTTGTGGTTGTTGGGGAGAGCTACGACTACGATCACGATCGTGAGATTGATGATAGATTCTTAGTGGCCGCCTCCACGGTTTTCCTATCCATGTCCCTGAAAATCATAACCGAAATTGTTGAGTACGTTAGAAGAAATCCAGAGATCATAGGCATTATCGATAGGGAACTCAACAAGTTTATGGTAAGCAAGCAACCAACCCCACACCCCACAGCACACCCCATCTATGATCTAACCAAACCCATCCGATGCACCTAAATCCATCTTCCGACCCGAATGTGTGTCGTCAAAAGAGAAGTGAATTGAAACCCCCGCCCAAACTAATGTTGTCGTATTTCTTTAATCATTGCAGTGCCAGTTTCCGCCAGCGAGGATCCAGTCTTACACACAGTCCAGACCGTCGGGCGACTATCCAACAAGATCTCTCGTCGCGTCTATCGAAATGTCTCCCGACAGATCAAGCAGGTCCAAAAGGGCAACATCAACGACTATCTGAGCTCGCTGATAGCCGCACTCAAGCTGCATCAGTACATTAACTTTATCAACTCGTCGATGGGCACAAATGTCGAGCAGTCGACACTAGGGGAAACCTGTTCGCCCTATGGAACAAGCAGCACCACAACGGCCGCCACCACCAGCAGCTCGAACTCCAAAACCAATGCGGCGGGGGCTGTCTCCAAGCCCAAAGTTGCCAAGAGCAAACCAGCGTCCTCGTCGATTCAGTAAGGCAGCCGCCGCAGATACTCCGGAAGACCGACCCTTGCTGGAGTCCAGTTATTTGTATATCTATATATGCTAGATATTGCATATATTAACCACAGCCACGCCCCAACACCCTCACACACACCGCCCATTTTTTGTATTTTCTATTCTTTTTTTTTTTGATAATTTTTTTTTTTTGTAATTAAAAACTTTAAGAAAAAAGTGGATAGTTGATGAACAGAGAAGGAGAAGGTTTTTACTAACTAATTTTAGACTGTTGCCCCCACATCCACCAGCCCTAAAGAGCCCCCCCCACCCCCTTCCCAACACACCAATGTTTGCTTTGTAAATATTTATTTGAAGTAGCCCTCACACACACACAATACATATATCTATATAGATATATGCTCTATATAAAGGTTAAGTTATAGTTGTTAAGGAACAAGCCCCAAGAAAGAAAGAAAAACTTTTTTTTGTCATTTTAGCTGTGCTAAATTTGAGAAGGTAACCCACCCACAAAGGGCGGCCTCTAAGTGCCACGTATGCATTGAATAAAGAATAAATGATACACATCATATATAAAAATCTACCATACAGAAGATACCTATACCTATATATCTATATATATATATATACGCCTGCACGCACCACTCCCCCACCCACGATATGTGCCCTAGCTATACGTACTCGTAGTATCTAATTCTACATTTATTTAAATTGTACTGCATGAGTGGTACTGGCTGGGAATCCAGCCAGATGATGCCTAATTAATAATGAATTATGGATTATGCCTCAGCACAGACACACACACACGCGCGTGCATATTGTCACCATGTATGGAGAATGTAGCCATAAAGTCCGCTCTTAATAATTATGATAATTATAATGTTAAATATTAATAAACAAGCAACGCAAAACTGGAACGAAGAACAAGAAAATCTTCCATTTGTATTTGAATTATTCTTCCATTTCCTTCACTCTACGCAGCTCAGCGATAAGCGTTAGAGCCAAGGGACACATAAATGTTTATACTGGCAATCTTACGAGCCCGCCACATACATACATACATATGTACAATAAGTTTTGCTCCCCTCTGGTATATGATTTTCGCCTTATCGGGGCAGCTGGCTTCTCGTTGAGTGCTGATTTATATGAGATAGTGTGGTGCGCGATTCAGCCAGCAATTGCTGAAGCACTGCATCGAATCGAATGAATTTATGGAGCAGTACACTCCGGTTGGTTCCAGATCAGATGACTTTCCATGGGTTCCATGGGCGTTTCAGAGCGGACTATAAGAATACTATAAGAATATCTGTAAATTCTGGTCGAGAAATTTGGAAATTTTCTGCTATGGCGAGAGCGTTTAGGTATTCATTGGGTTATGGCAATGGTACTGTTTCAACCCGATCCCCGATCTTGCCCTGTGTGGACTTTCCATGTCGATAATGACGGCGTTAATGACCCCCCCAATTAAATGTTTTCTTTTTTTTTTTTCCAGACTGGGGCAACCCGTCGTCGGCGTCTCTGAATTTCCTTTTCATTTCTTTTGTTCCCCTCTTCACCCCACAGTCTGCGTCTTTCTGGTTTGTCTGTCTGGTTGCCTGCTTGGCTCCAACTTTGTCTGGTGAGCCTCTCATTTGTATGCTCGATGTTTGACTGCTTCGATCAATTTAAATTGTGCCCCCAACAAGAACGTGGCATGTCTGCGTCTCCCAGTTACAGTCTGCATGTGGAATAAATCGCTTCCCATCAATGCCATCGATCTCATCCTTGACATACTTGGAATAATTTTGAGCTACTACGGCCAGAAATATTTGTGAGTTGCATTTAAGGCACAGAAATATTCATGAGTGCAGAATCACAATATACATTGTACAAGGAAAGGGGGGACGGGACTACCAGAAAGGGTAGTCGTCTGTGGTTTTGTGTATTTCTTGCCCAGAGCCAAACCCAAAGCGAGGCCTGTAGAACGATGTCTGAAACCAGTTCCCGAAACCGCAGCTTAATGATCATAATGGTCGTGGTCGTAATGGTGATGATGGAACCTGCACACTGCAGCTATCAAATAAATACATATGTACACATATGTATGTATGTACATTTAGAGTTCTTGTATATACCCTTAAAACTGGTATTCCCACACACTCGAATTCAAAGGTAGAGTCTGATGTCCCCCTATACAATGTAAATATGTATGTGCATACATACGTATATACATACATCAAGAATATGATCCACATCATTTTTAAAACATAAACAAAATTCTAAACCGTTTAACTAAGCAGCAACTGGCATCGAGTCTTGACTAAAAAAAGAAGAACCGCTCAAAGCAAAATGGAGATCCGTCTGGCAGCACAGATTTTGTTGTTAGTAATGAATGGTTCGTTAAATTAAAAAACAAAAAACGTTTCTCCATTCATGGCATAAAAATTAAGCTCGAAGCGGCACTGGCATCGATGATGGAGCACATACCCACATGAAATTCAAGGATTCAAGAGGATAATTGCCTTGCAAGTTTTTAATGCTTTTAGCCTATAGGGCATGGAAATTCAGGAATATATTATGACAATAGGAGAACTTCGTTAATAGCTCAATGCAAAATATTAATTTTGAATTTATTTTACGATATAATCGTACCTACAAACGAGTAGCTATAGGGCTGCAAGGGTGTTCGAAATTTCGGCACTTAAAGTTTAAGCTATTATTTTCATCTACACTTGAGCTTATAATCATCATAATGGCACATCTGATGATCAAGTGATGGAATTACCAACCGCAAAATGTGCCAATGGATGACTGTAAGTGTACAAATGGCTATGGCTATGGGCTTCGACTTTGGATTCATTCTCCCTTTGCCAACCCAGCGATGACGATGCACGAGCATGTGTGTGTGTGTGTTGTGGGGCGGGGTAGGAGCCAGTTGGCAACCACATCAGCGACATTTCTTATCAAATAGTGATAGAACGAAAACGGGATCGTCAGACACATAAAGGCGCTCCAACTATAAACGTAATCACAAATTTTGACGTTGAAGCAAAAACAAAAAGAAAAACATTATACACCCAAAGAGCGGCAATGGTGAGGATGACAGGGGGGGAAGTGATACAGCATCACTCAGGAGATGAGCTCTGGCCTATACTGGCTGTTGGGGTGCGCACTGAGGCAGCGGAAGAGGCGTTGCTGCACTGGGCAATCAGTAAAAGAAAGCGAGTGAGTGAGTCTGCGACTGCGTCTGCGACTGCGACAGAGGGCAAAGTACAGAAAGTGGCGTGATTCCTATGATTCTCTCTTTCTTTCTTTTTACTGTTATTATGTGTGTGAAATTAAATATGTCGGCAGGAGAGGAAGCGTATCTTCATCAATCTCACTCTCTCTGTCACTGGCTGGGGAACAGTTATAAACAGTACAGTGGCCTCCTTCCGACCTGTTCGGTTTGAAGTCGAGCAAGTAAGAATATATTTTTTTAACTGATTTAGTATTGATTTTGCAAAATCAAATCTGGGGTAAACTTCTAAATTGGCCATTATTCAAGCTCTAGGTAAATTTGTTGCATACAAAATTGCTCTTTTATTCATATTTATTATTAAATGTACATATATGTAAATATAAATGTAAACATATTTTTGCATTTATTTTTCTTTATTCATATTTTATGGTGTCACAGCAGTGAGCTTTCCCCTCGAGCACAGAATTGAGAATCAATACAAATTATTATACACATATGTACATATGTATGTACATACAACTATCATATCCAAGCAGTTTCACAGCAAGCAGTCAGCAATTTGTTGCTCTTCTTTGCACATTTGCTCGTTGTACTAGAAAAGAGAGAAAGAGGAAGAGATACATACATATGTACATACTCGAAACCGGATAATCACAGAAAATATAAAACAAAAAAAAACTTGAGAAATCCTTTAACCCCCGGTTAGAGATCACATCACTGATAAATCGATTGGAGTCCTAGTCTATTCTGGCGAGGTTTGTGTCGGGTGGGAGACAGAGGCAGAGACAGAGCTTCGTATACGCTCACAGTGACCCTTATTCCGCTCCCATTTCTCGGAGTCCAATATTTGTGGAAACTTGATTCTACCGGTGTCAACGTTATCGCTTGACTGTCGTGTCCGAGTCCGTGGCGTCGGCGGCGGTGGTGGTGGAGGCGGCGGCTTCGGAACTACAGAGTTGCAGTGCATCATCAGCAGGCCGAGATCAAAGTGCGGCTGCTCGCATAACGTCAGCGAGCGGCTGAGGCGCCGTCCGATCATTCGGACGATTTGACTGGCCAGCGGCGGAGCGAGTCTGGCGACAGCGCTGAGCAGGGCGGAGGGCATGCAGAATAGGTGTATGCCCGACTGCGGATGTGAGAGCCACCGACCGAGTTCCTTATTGGCCTGCTCCGTGTAGCCGTAGCCGGCGATGGTGTCGCGCACCGCCTGCGGCAGATGGTGCTCCTGGCACTGGTCCCACTCCTGCAGGCGTCCGATGAGATTGTTGCGATTGAGGAAGTACAGGGCGTCGTCGTAGCCCTGCTGGCAAAAGGAGGAGAGGAACTCGGCCCGGCCCGGTAGTACGATGCGCATCATGCGTCGCAGATTAGGCCGCGAGATGCGGATGCAGGTGTTGGCCCAGTTGAGGTTCAGGTGGAACAGGTGCGAGCTGCGGTCCCGCGGACAGATGTCGCTCTCCCCGCAGAAGGGACTCACCGTGACCGTGTGCTCGTCCAGCAGCGGCAGGTTGTCCGAGAAGGCGCCGTCCATGTAGCGGACGCCCCGCACCTGTGGCGGTATCAGTCCGGAGAGGCCCGGAATGAAGCAGGAGCAGAGCAGGGCCTGGAGCAGCTCCTGGCGCGACCCGAACTCTGACATCACCACATTGCACCGATCCCGCACACGCGTCAGTGAGATATGCAGGCGCCCGCTGACCCTCCGGTGTGCGTCTTCGGGCAATTCGCGCTGCATCCCCTCCAGCAGGCATCTCTGCAGATTGAACGACGGACTGAAGGGACCCAGCGGGTGACGACGTGCCTCGCCCACCACCCGCAGGAAGTCGGCGGCCATTGTCTCAAGCGGCAGGTCACAGAGCAGGCAGCAGGCGGCCAGTGCTCCGGCCGAGGCGCCACCAATCCGCTCCAGGAGCAGCTGGGGCGCGTGCTTCTTCAGGCACACGGCCACGCCCACGTGGTAGATGCCCAAGAAGCCGCAGCCGGCGAAAGACAGATTCATCCTCCGCTCCATACGTGTCACAAATCACGTGGTGCTGCCTGTGGGGTCTTCCGATTTGGTTTGAAATTTTTGCTCTTTACTTTTCTTTTCTGTTGATTTTGCGCTTTTTCTGTCCCTCTTTTGTTTTTATTTATTCGTTCTCTTTTTTTTTTGTTGCTTCTTTTGGTTCGTCCGATCTTGGCCCTTGTCTAATGTGACCGTTCGTCGGACACTCCACCTGCACTAAATACCAATTTAAATAATTGCAGTGGGAACAATTGGTAATCAGATCGTACCGTTCCGATCAGCGGTGTGCGGAGGGGGATAGATAGCCCTCGTATCAGGGAGCTTTGCTGTCACAGGAGCTAAACAAGAAATGAAAACAGACACTGAAAGAAAGTTTCCCAGAAAATATGATTTGCTGTGGAGTTTAATAATGCTAATAGGTTATTGGCGCAAGCATAACATATCAGAGAATACAGCTCAATCGATCCATTAATTATCCATTAACAGCTCATTGAAATCGGAATATATATATATATATATATTATGGCTTCTGAAAGTATCTCAGTGAGATATAGCAAAAGTATTTGATGTTATTACATTTCAATGCTGGATATCAGCTTTCAAGTGAACATCAGCCCAAATTTGGAAAGCATCTACTGCTGGCTCCTCTTTCAGCTAAATTGTTGGAGTGTTGTGCTTTTAGGACAGCAATATCATCTGCCCTGAGCATTTGACCATCGAATCGAATTCAATAACTTTTATTCAATCATTGTGAGTCAGGATTTAAACTAAGCTACAAATATCTGAATAGATGTGAAGCACATATGTATCTATAATGCATTCATGTGGGTATAATAAATATGTTAGTTTGTAAGCAATTCGTTTCATATTTCTACTCCTATCGAGACGCTTGTCTTGCCCGCGACACACACACACAGAACCCTCAACAAAATTCAATTAACATTCAGTGGTGGGGCTACAATTTGAAACGGGTTTAATGCTAGATTTAGTATAATGTACTAGGTATATAAGTAGGTATATATAAGGTATAATAAAATATATGATTAATTAGTTATAAACCATTCTGCAGCTGCGAGCACGCGAGCCATCCCCACTATATGCATCATTTTTATATATATATATATATATATATATATATATATTCCATCTTTATCACAGAGGCTCCAGCACGGATTTCGGATTTCGGATATCGGGTGTCGGTGTTGTTTTTGTTTTGATTTCTTGGTGTTTACAGTGTGTTACTTGGTGTTGATTGACTTTCAGATTAAAGTAGGTAAATGGATACATCAAAATTAAAAGCCAAATCAAAGTTATTTAAAGTGCTAAATTTGGATAGTTCAGTTCAATGGGTACGGGCCAGTCCGTGACAGTTATGCCCTTCCTTCCTTCCTTCCTTCCTTCCTTATTCTGTTTTCTTGGTTTTGATGAGGAATCCATAGCGTTTCCAGTGCGTTAGTACCAGTAGTCATCCTTATCTGTCCTTGGTGTTTTTGGGTGTTCATTTCTGTTGCTTGTCTCTGCGTCCCGCGTCTGAAGCTTTACCCTCTCTAAGGATTGGCCACCTGGGCAATGCCGCCAATAGGTGCGGCTGCGGCCGGCTCGGACGGCGACTCTGGAGTGCTGGAAGTTGTCTTCTCCAGAATTTTGAAGAGCTGCTCCCCAAAGACAGCATGATTGTAGGATATCAAGCGCAGCAGCGACGTTATAAGTGCAGTCAGCTCATCCTCAAACTCTTTGAAGCCGGCTGGCGGTGGTGGAATGTGGTTGTCGGCGCGCAGCGACACGCGCACAAAGAGATCAAAGCGCTTGGCTGGGGAATAAGAACAGAGCGGTGAGGGGGGCGGTGATCTAGCGGATCGAGCCATTAACTTACCCATGAGACTGCGCACTGGTGAGGTTTTGTTGCTGAGCTGCATCAGCTGGCTCTTCAGGCTCGCCAGGTTGCTCTCGTCCATATCCGGCTGCTGCTCCTGCGACAGGGCGCTGTTCACAAGGCAGCGGATCTGCTCGTAGCAGCTCTCCAGTGCCGCGGCCACTTGCCTGTAAAAGTTGAACGGGGCAAAATGCAGTCGCAGTCGCAGTCGCAGTTTGATTGTGTATTGATTTCGGGTGAACGACTCACGTTTCATCCTTGACATCCTGCATTATGATTTCCAGCTGCTTGGCCAGTTTCATGCGGTTATTGGGACGCTGCGAAATAATTGGTGGACTCTGGGCAATCGAGATAAGTGAGGCGCACAGGATCAGGCGCTGGGCCCGCCAGCTAATGCTCGCAAAGCGCTCCTTGTCAATACGCAGAAGCTCGGGGAAGTCCTTGTCAGCCGGATAGTCGATCAGCTCCATGTATCCATTGTAGATGGTCTGATTGTTGCTGACATCAGAGCGATTACGCTGCAGCCAGTCCTCAGTGGCCGGGAAACCAGCTGGGGATTCGATCAAATAAGCAAATAAGCGATTGGACGGGATCTTCCACATCTTCCACTCTGCACGATGTACTAACCTTTGCCATGGAATTCGTGCAGATATTTGCTGAGCTTCTCCTTCTCGTACTGCACCGAATTGGCGGAGATTTCCTTGCGGGCCAGCTCCAGCATGAAATTAGCCATGTCCAGCTTCATCAGCGCCATCAGCTCCAAAATGCTGCGGAAGGTGTCCACCACATCGTCAATTGTGCGCAGTTCGGCCACCGCCTCATCCCGGGCCGCGCTGCACGATTGCGACAGAATGAGGATCACAAAATCGGCATAGGACTTGAAGTCCAGCACGCCCTGCTCCGCCTGTTGCCTGATGACATCGGTGTCCAGCACCTCGTTGATGCGCGCAATCGTCCGTTCGTTGGGTGTCACCAGCTGGGGTATGCACTCCTTGATCTCGGCCAGCAGGCGTATGGCCTGATCGTACTGCGGCGGCTGGCGCTCCAGCTGCGTGCGCAATACATCCCAGTAGGCCTTGTAAACCATGGCCTTGACGCGTCCCTCAAAGCTGCAATGAATTTTGGGTTGGATTAGCACTGGGAACTGGTTGCACCAATTCCACTGCTCACCTGTGCGTTGGCGGCTCATACTGCTTCAGCTTGTAGTCCGGATTCAAGGCAATCTCGTGGGCCAGCTCCATATTCCGGAGATCCTTGAAAATGCCAGACACCTCCTCAATGGTGACAATCTTCGGCGGGCTGCCATCGAGGCTGGGCACCACAAAGCGCGTCATGCTGTCCACAGAGCTCTCGCTTTCGGTGCGCTCCCCCAACCCGGTCGGGGCCTGGTCTTGCTCCTGCTCCTGTTTTGGTTTGTTCTCCATGTTCTCCTTGGTTTTTTTTATTTTTTTTCTTTGTTCGGGGAAACTGCGACGCAAATTTATTGCCTGTGACTGTAACTGTAACTGTAACTGGTTTTAACCAAATTTGACTCTGGCTTTGCCTCTTCCGCCGGGCAGCTATTGCACTTTTGCCTGCACTTTCTTTGTTAGAGGTCAGCTGAAGCTCGGTTCGCGGCTGTAGCCTGTGTGCAAAATACGCAATGAGATATAACCGTTAAAAATATGCTGTGTCTGTGTGTGTGCGTTCTGTTGCTGAACAAAGAGAACGACTTTCAGATACCCCTCCGCAGTTTCGTTTCTTGTTGTCGTTGGTGCAAATCTAATTCGAATTTAAGTTCGTTTAAGTATGGACGAGGCAATAACTTGTTTTCACCATTCTGACCATATTAAAAACTCCAATCGGAAAGAGTTTAGTTACATGGGTTGATAATGTCTAAATAAATATGTACGCGAATATGTACATATGTGTAAATTATTATAATTATTAATTACAAAGAATACTTGTTGCTTGATTTTATTGCGGTGGGCTGAAATTTGCCTATGTATGCTCTCCACAAGCGCTGGCTATATACTGACGGAAATTGAATATTAACGTGAAAATTGTTCGTGATGCTGCAGCTATTGCAGCATCTCATGACACAGATTCCAAAAGTAAAATGCGGAAAATTGGAGCAAATTGCACAACGAACTGTCCGTTCCTCTGCTTTAAGTTTTGAGGCCCCAGCCAGCGAATGGGCGACATAAACAAAGAGCGCAATAAAGCAGAAAGTGAAAACAGAAACGAAAAAATGTTTTCTCTATTGCGTAGAAAATCTCAGCTGGGAACAGGGCGCACTGGTTGGAAGGGGAGGGAGGGAGGTAGCGTAGGTTGGTGGTAGGTAGGGAACGTTGCGAAATGGACACAAGGACAGCGAACGGTGGGTGGTGGGGGTTGGTGTTGGGGTTGGGGTTGGGGTTGGAGGCCCTCTAAACTATTACTCGTATTTGTTTCGAGAACTTACCAGACTTTTGCGACTAAAGAATGTTCCAGAAAGAATTCCAAAGAGAACCGTCACTGATTAATTTATAAATCAATTGAATTGGTTTTTGTGATTTAAATTTAATTTTGGAATTTTTATGTTGTATCCGAGCACCCACTGCACTGACAAATCTCCAATAAGTTATAATGCTTCACAATTCAATTTCGAAACTGGCTTCCATTACGCAGCGCCAGCTTTGTTTGTTTTCTTTGTATGCCTTGCCCCCCACCGCCCCTCCAAAACATTTCTTTTCCAAACACAGCTGTAACAAATATCGATATCTCCCTATCGATACTTTTTTGTAACATGTAATTTTCCGCTGCTAAAGTGCTATTAAATAGCTTCACAAGAAGCGTTTGCAGCTTACAAAAAATCCTGCGTCCAGAAGCAATAAACTAGACAATTAACAAACGCCTCAAATTTTATTGTACGCGATGGCTGGGCTGCATCGATAGTATCGGCGATTTAACTGGCCCTGCCGGATCGGGGAAAAAAGCGCTGAGCCATCAGGAGCAGCAGGCAAATTTTTCTGCAGGTTCGACAGAAATTATCAGAGATTTCCTAATTCCTCTGAATACGGCGATTTACAGTAACGTTGGGCAGGTGGTTTGAGCTCAAGTATCTCAGTCCGACCACCGTTTTGCCACCATAACGCCAATCAATGGTTTAGTGTGGTGTGTCCTCCCGCCTGTCAACCTAAAGTGTCTGCAAGAGCGAAATAAATGGAGAGCGAGAAGATATTGATGGCTGCTGGTGTGACGGTAGCTGCCGTCGTAGGAGCCTTTGTACTCTGGGGACCTTCAGGTGAGTGGATCCAGGTTGTGTTATGGTTATGTTGATGCAAAATGCTCACTCCGTTTAGGCTCCCGGTTGCGTCAGCGTCGTGGCCAGATCGCAGGGCTTCACAACTTCGGACGTACATGCTTCCTCAATACGCTGCTCCAGGCACTAGCCGCATGTCCGCAGTTCATAGCCTGGCTTCAGCTCTACAACGGAGCCTCGCCGGACCGGAAAAGCCTAATCAGTTCCATGCTGAACACCCTGGAGGTAATTAATGGCACCCACGCTACACTGCGCGGCGACCCGCATTCACCGGGCGCCGTTCTGCGGGCCCTTAACACCTTGGGCTGGGTGATACCCCAGGAGGAGCACGATGCCCACGAGTTGTTCCATGTGCTGCTGTCTTCGCTGGAGGAGGAGGCCATACGGCCCCATCCATTGGGTTGTCTATCTGATGCGCTGCCCGGACCACCGGGCCATGAGGACGACAGCTGCAGCAGCGTTGGTATCGAAACACCGGCTGGCGGCGGCTTCAGGCCGCTCAATTCGGTGGCCGTGGGCGTCGGCGCGAGCCAGCGGATTGGGGAACAGCCGAATCGACCATCCAGCGCTATGCTCACTGACTTTCTCAACATGGACTACGACGAGTCGACCAATCTGACGCGCCTGGTGCGCTCCGAGGCCCACACCCCCGACTCACCGGCGTCCGTGTGCGAGCGCGAGGGCAACGATCGAATCGGATCCCTGCTGGATGCCATCTCGCCCGGCACCTCGTTGATGGGGCAGCATCCGTTCGGATTTCCCCTTTGCAGCGAGCCCCTGGCTATTGATTCGCTGACCACGCCTACTGTGGGTGGTGGGGAGCGTTTGTCGCGCCCTCGACAGCCACAGTCGCAGGATGTGAGCGAGGGGCTCAATAGGCGGGTGTCGGCCTCTTGCCGGTCCCTCGAACGGCTCCATCGTGGGCCCGGACGAGTATCGATCTGGTCCAGCATGATGCCCAGCCAGGTGGCCCATCCCTTTCAGGGAGCAATGGGCGCCCAGCTTGTGTGCAACGGCTGCGGCTCCAAGTCCTCGGTGCGCTACGATAAATTTGATAGCGTCATCCTCAACTTGCCGGCACAGCGCCGCACCGGCCTGAGCTTGGGCCACCTGCTCAGCGAATACATTACGTCGGAGGACCTGAGCGACGTCAAGTGTGACTCGTGCAACGAGACCACCACACACACAAAGTCTGTTACGTTTGCCAAGCTGCCCGGCTGCCTGTGCATCCACATAGCCCGCACTGTTTGGCTGCCCACGGGACAGGTGTGCAAGCGACGGGACTATGTTCACTTTCCCGAGAGCCTATCAATGGCACCCTACAGCTTCGTTCAACCGCACCTCAACAGCCAGGTGAGTGGCGGCTGGCAGCCAGTCTGCCAAACTGCCAATCTGCATTCACATCTGATGGTTTTTTTTTGTTGTCTTTTGTTTTGCTGCAGGCCACCACACCTTGGGGATCAACGATGTCTCTATTCTCATCAAGCCTGCCGATGAACAATGCCATGAGTGGTGGCGAAGGCTTCGGCACCATGTTCCCCAAGAATCTGTACCGTCTGCTGGCCGTGGTGGTGCACACGGGCGAGGCCAATAGCGGACACTTTGTCACCTATCGGCGTGGCTCGCTTAGGAATGCCCATCGGTGAGTGTAGTATCCCCTGTCTCGCTCTAAATGATGTATAACCTTTTTTCGGTCAGTTGGTTCTACACATCGGACACGATTGTGCGCGAGGTGACCATCGATGAGGTGCTCAGTGTGCCCGCCTACCTTCTGTTCTACGATCGAGGACAGCAACGCCCAATGCGCTAGTAAACCCATGGTTAATGGCGTTCATTGGGATCGGAATAGTTGTATTTAATTATATATGTACACTTGGCCTAGTCAAACACTCAGCCAAACACACAAACTTGATGTGATGGAAAACCAAATCCAAATTAAAATCCAAAATAATTCGTTATTATCGAAACAGTGGGATACAAATACAAAACAAAACACACTCACACACATAATAATAAGCTTACATACATATTCGATTATATATGTAGTATGTGTGCATGTATGTACGTACGTACCCCCAATTTATATACTCATTAAGACATAGCATCAATATGGTCTCTGTAGGCGCATCCTGGAACTACTCTTTACACTTCGATTGGTATCGATGCATTTAACAATTCGTAATGTGCTTTTAGCTGTCTATGTTTAGCAATAGAACACACACACACACACATGCCTGTACACTCTATATACATATATGTATAAGTCAACTTATAATTATTTGTGCGTTATTTCCATAGGATAAAAGTTCAATAAAAACTCGAAAAAGGTACGCCTCTGGGTTGGTTCTAACAACAAACAAAAAAACCCGATCAAAGAGGCATCACGATAAACCGACCGCCATAGAACAGCCTTTTCGGTGCCTCAGATAACATCTTATAATTATTTAAAATTAATTATAATTAAGTTAAAAAAAAAAAAAAAAAAACATCTCTATGATTCACCATATATTTTGGCATAGATGCCGATATCATTGGTTCGATACCAAATGTCCTTATCGGTGACTTGGAGCAAACGCAACGCCTCGGGAGAACGATCCCTGATCCTGGGGTCATCGTCGGCAAATCGAACGCAGCAGGTACCCGTGCAAATTTTTGACTCGTTAAACTCGTAAAACTCCAAGTAGAAAAATGGCTCGTTCGGACATGCAAAGCCTTTGCGTATCACCAGATCTGTTGTATATTTTGTATATGGCTGCTTCGGGGAAGCGGAGATCTCGATATTCTCTTCTTCTGCCCTGTCGTTTGGTGGCGGTGTTTCGTGAGGGGGGCTGCAGGATGCCCGCTGGAGGGATTCGAATTCCATATCCGGTGCACCAGTAGAATCAGCGCTCGAGAGCACGGATAGTTTGGGTTCTGGCTTGGCTTCCTTATCGGACTGGGAACCAATCTGTGTCTGGTAGTTTGGGTTCTAGTTGTTTGCCCCACCTTCTTATGACTGGGATAATCTTGTTGTATTGGGTTTGGCTCGCAGCCAACCTGATCCTTATCGGACTGGGAATCAATCTCGATGATCTCGGATAGTTTGGGTTCTGGCTTGCTGATTGACGGCCGTACAGCCAGACCTGGGAAAAATTCCTCATCGGACTGGGAATCAATCTCGATGATCTCGGATAGTTTGGGTTCTGGCTTGCTGATTGACGGCCGTACAGCCAGACCTGGGAAAAATCCCTCATCGGACTGGGAATCAATCTCCATGATCTCAACTTTCTGAACATCGAGGTCATTTTTTTCGACAGTGGCTCCGCAGGATGAGCGCTGGGATGCAATCACTGTTATCACGCTGGCATCCGAACTGGTGATACTCTCCTCGTCGGAGAAAACCGGCACTGCATCACTGTTCAGGCGCATCGATATATCGGGTCCTGACTTGGTCACATAAAAGGACATCTCGATTTGTTCCGCCGTTGGGTCAGTCATTGGGTACGAAGTTGTTGACATGGTACGCTGATGGCTACTCCTGATCTTCTGTTCCATTTCCAGACAGATCTCGCACTTGAAATCAACGGGCTTGGAGGCACGCGACAGTCTCGAAATTCCTGCAACACACTTAAGGTGTGCCCCGGTCGAGGCGCACAGCTTGCAGGGGAATATGGTCCAGCTGCCTTTGTTGTAGTCTCGTCCGTTGGGGCATAGACATTTTACTTGAATGCATTGCATATGCTTGCGGTGCAGTTCCTGGTAAGCGTCTTTCTGCCTCTCCCAGGTTGCGTCACGGTCCGGCACAAATACCGACTGCTTGCGAATGATGTCGCGGAACTTGTCCGTGCGACACCAGATGCAGCGCAGATAGTAGCCCGAGGCAAGGGCGTACTTCCGCATACAGATCCGGTGAGCAAAGCCCTTCTTGCAGCAGTCGCCATAGGAGACGTTATACAGCCTGAACGGTGTAATCGGCTTAAAGCAGATGTCGCAGATTTGGTTTTTTGGTGGCTTCTCTATCAGCTGACGCTTATAATCGTCCAAGGGTTGACAAGCTTCGCAATAGTTTCGAAATTCGCCAAAGAACTCAATTGTGCTGTGGTTATCAAAACTGCAGGTCAAGTGGGAGAGTCTACGGCACTTGTGGCATTCTAAGCTGGCGCCCGGCTTAGCGCAGTAGAAACACGTTCGTTTCTTAGCGGCGATGGATTCCAGGCGAATGTCGCGCAGCAAAAAGCCGAGAATGCCGCTTGAGTCGCCGCCGCGTTGGGCAAGGTTTGTGGACAGAAGCTAGAGAACCGAAACAAATATAGTTTCCTGTTAGCGCCACACCACACGTGGATTTAAACTTACCAAGCAGAAGTAGTGGACTGTCAGTTCCTGCCTATTCATCCAGTCGCCTAATACCAAGGTATCATAATCATTGTTGCCGCTACTTTTGCCGCAGATATCACACTTTTTGTTTACCATATTTCAATAAATGGCGCGTATCGTGATAGGAATGGAACTTAGTCAACTTGGCTGCAGACGAATATCGCAAAAGCGGCAGCGCAGTCAATCGATAGCTGCAATACAAGTCGAGTGAGAGGTATATATGCTCTGTACGACTTTTGTTATTGAATTGCTTGCTGCAAAAGAGCAAATAAACGGTAAATTTACACTCAATGAGTGTCTTTGAACCAACAAACCACCAAAACTGACACAAATTTTTTATTGTGTTCGTGTCATGCCTTACCACTAATATCGATACAAAATGCCCATCTCCATGACGTAGCAGAGTGTGTTATGTAGAGGGGGGGGTGACAAAATCGAACAAACTAGAAAAGTCTATCGACCTACTATGGTACTCTGCTGTTTGGCATCTCAAGTCGAAGCATTTTTTTCCATTGACAAATTTAAATTGGAAATTGGTAAAACGGACTGCCGTTAGCGAATGAGCGAAAGTGATTTTTGTAAGATGTCCGAGGGGGACGTGGAACACTCGCGCGGGGAAGAGTACAACGAAGAACGCAGACCGCGCGAAGAGGAAAAATTGCGCGAAAAAATTAGCTTGAGCGACGAGCAACACTCCCACGACCAAGAACACTCGCGCGACGCGGAGCAAGAGCACTCTCGCGAGGAGGACAGGTCGCTCGTGGACGTGGACCATGACAACTCGCTCGAGGAGGAGCAGGAGCCGGAGCAGGAGCAGGAGCAGTCGCGCGGTGAGGAGCAGGAACACTCTCGCGAGGAGGAACACTCTCGCGAGGAGGAGCAAGTCTCGCGAGGAGGAGCACTCGCACGAGCAGGAACACTCTCTCGAGCAGGAACACTCGCACGAAGAAGACCCTTCTCGCGAGGAGGAGGAGGAGCACTCTCGCGAAGAAGACCACTCTTTCGAAGAAGGGGAGCTCTCCCGCGAGGAGGCACCCCCACTCGAGCCGGAGCACTTGCCTGGCGAGGCATACTCCTGCCAGACGAAAAACATGCCCCACGAAGAACATTCGCACGACAAGGAACCCTCGCGGAACGAAGAGCATTCCCGCAACGAGGAAAGCTCCGTGGACGAGGGGCTCTTGCGCGACGAAGAGCAGCAGTCGTGCGACGAGGAACAGCTGCCCGTTGAGGTTGAGGCTGAGGCTGAGGCAGAGGAGCACTCGCGCGAAGATGAACCAGGAACCGAAGATGGCCAGGAGCACTCGCAGATAGAAGACGTGCAGTCGCCAGACGAGGTAGACATGCGCTACGGTGAACAACCGCGCGGCGGCGGATGGGTTCAATACGAAGAACCTTCGGCCTACGAGGTACCACCCTACGAGGATCCGTCGCGCCCACCGCATTACGAGGAGCAGTCACGCTATTTGGATGTCACCACCGACTGCTATATGGTGGAAGTTGATGCTGCGGCGGAAGAAGAAAAAACTACAGCGGTGCGCGAGGAGGCCGAGCTGAATGCCATCGATATTATCGATCCGACAGGCACGGATGGCGTCGAGGTGGTCCATGATCAGTCCATGGACCTGAGCTGTGTCAATACCGCACTGGATGCCGAGGAGAGTGGCGAGCCGCCAGCTAAGCGGGAGAAGACCCACTACGAAAACAGCCCCGTGACGGAGGACAGCAGTAGCAGCAGCTCGAGCACGTCCAGTAGCGGCAGAAGCTCGCGCTCCGATGACTACGACGATTCAACCAAAGACGAAGCATCCGTGGACACGGTCATCTATGTGGAGGATCTGCCCCGGCCCATTAGCTACCCCATGATGGATCCAGACGCACCCACCAAACCGATTATCACCGAGGTGGTGACTATTCCCGCACCGCGGGTGAATCTTTTGCGTTATCCAATGCCGAATATGCCGCATATACCGCCTATCCAGCACCATATGCCCCCGCCACCGCCACGGCGGCCGATCGACTCCGAGCCCGAGCTTGATCCCGATGAGTATGATGGAGCGGTGGCAATGCCGGGCCTGCCAGCCAAGGATTGCGGTGACAATATTAATCTGCCTCCCTATATACCAGATCACTATGCGGGATCCCCGCGGGCCGAGCAGCAGCCGGAGCAGGAGCCGCCACGCCAGCAGTTTATATATCCGCGCCAGCCGCTTGACTGTCCAGCACAAGCACATCGCGCCCAGGTGCAGCAGGTGCAACAGGTGCCCGATAACCAGCAGTTTGTCTATCCGCGCCAGCCGCTTGACTATCCAGCAGCAGGCACAGCGCGCCCAGCTGCCGCCGGATCAGCAGTTTGTCTACCCGCGCCAGCCCCTTGTATTTCCGCCCCAGGCACAGCCGGAGCAGGAAAAGGATAAGTATCCGCCGACGCGGATACCAGCGCGTCAGCTGATTGATTCATATAAAATTAAACACCGTCCACCATCGGGCGATCGACGCCGCATGCCACCGCCACCCATGCGCACTGTGCTCGGTGCGGAAATGGAGAACATTTCGGATGATGATGATGAGATTAGCGACGCTGACCAGAGCAGCAGCAGTGCCAGCGGCAGTGGCAGGCGGCGGCGGCAGCGGCAGCGGCAGCAGCAGCACCGAGAACGAGTCGGAGGAGGAGGATGATGATTACATACTGATTGAGCATGACAGCAATTCCGCGGAGACGGAGACAGAGGCAATGGCGGGATCGGGTGATCTGGGTGATGGGATCGTAGTCAACGAGGATTCCGAGAAGGTGTACTACATTCGGCGCGAAGACGGCACCGTTACATGCCGGCCGCGTGCTCCAGTCGCGCATCACCGAGAACATTCTGATGCCCAACGAGTACTACGTCCACTATGTGGGCCTCAATCGCCGCCTGGACGAGTGGGTGGGTCGCCATCGGCTCTCGGACAATGCCGATGACCTGGGCGGCATCACAGAAACGGCCAGCAGCCTCCTCCAATTGGACAGCGATCAGCCGGGCACCAGTCGTGAGATGCTGCAGCAGCAGGCGCTTCTGGCGCAGCAACAACAGATTCTGTTGCAGCAGCAGCAGCAACAGCGGGAGCTGGAAAAGGAGCGTGCCCTGCGCGAGGGCAACAAGGACTACTATCTGTCGGCGTGCGAGAATAATCGCTACGATTACAGTGACCGCAAGATGACGCGCTACCAGAAGCGACGCTACGACGAGATCAATCACGTGCAGAAGAGCCATGCCGAGCTGACCGCCTCCCAGGCAGCCCTCGAGAAGGAGCACGAGTCCATCACGAAGATCAAGTACATCGACAAGCTGCAGTTTGGCAACTATGAGATCGACACCTGGTACTTCAGCCCCTTTCCGGGCGACTACGGCAAGGCGCGCACCCTGTATGTGTGCGAATATTGCCTGAAGTATATGCGAGTGCGGAAGAGCTACAGCTACCATACGTATGTGTGCCGCAAGCGGCATCCGCCCGGTCGTGAGATCTATCGCAAGGGAAATGTATCCATTTTCGAGGTGAACGGCAAGGAGGAGCCGCTCTACTGTCAGCTGCTCTGCCTGATGTCCAAGCTCTTTCTCGACCACAAGGTGCTGTACTTCGATATGGATCCGTTCTTCTTCTACATTCTGTGCGAGGTGGACAGGGAAGGCAGTCATATTGTTGGCTATTTCTCCAAGGAGAAGAAATCCCCAGACAACAACAATGTGGCATGCATTTTGGTACTGCCACCGCATCAGCGCAAGGGCTTTGGCAAGCTGCTGATCGCCTTCAGCTACGAGCTGTCCCGCAGAGAGGGCGTCATTGGAAGTCCAGAGAAGCCGCTGTCGGATCTCGGTCGACTGAGTTATCGCAGCTACTGGGCCTACACTCTGTTGGAGCTGATGCGCAATCGCGTTTCGCTGGAGCAGACCACCATCAAGGAGCTGAGTGAGGTGAGCGGCATTACCCACGATGACATCATCTACACGCTGCAGTCAATGAAGATGATCAAGTACTGGAAGGGCCAGAATGTCATCTGTGTGACCACCAAGACCATATTCGACCACCTACTGCTGCCGCAGTTCAAGAAGCCCAAGCTGACCATCGATCGCAGCTATCTGTTCTGGAACCCCACCAACATGCCGGCGCCAGCCCGGCCACCGCTACCCATCAATGCGATAGCACTTGGCCAGATTCCGACATAAGCTACACTTATATTAATACGCGTAAGAACACTTTTTTTTTTTTTTGTGCCTAGTCTCGTGGTCTTTGAGGATAATACCTTTTCGTCACTTTATTATCCTCTATTATTATGTATCATTGGTTCCAAATTGTCTTTATCAATTATTATATTTAACAAAATTGTCTAAATTATTAAGCAAAAAAAATTCGATCTGAATTATGTATGTACATGGCCAGCATGCAAATTGTATTTAACTTATGTGCACAAACATTATCCAAAATTTCATGTTTTAAGTCTTTAAGCAAACAACAACAAAAAAACAAAACAAAACGAAAAACAAGCAACAAACAACCGAATAATGCAAATAAAATTGAAAAGAAAGCTATGTGTACAGCAGCGTACATAAATATAGCACTTTTCGAATCCCCGAGAACAATTGTGTGACCATTAATTTCGGGGACTTGTACTTGTACTCTGGGATAGTGCAAGAAATTACTTACCATGCTCTTTCCTTTGAAAATGGGCGTAGCTTCTAATTCTAATCAGAATCAATTATCTAGTCGGCAAGCTGGCTGCTTTGGCTGGCTGCTGATTCGACAGTAGGCCATTAAAATGAGCAAATAAAGTCTAACTGGAATATAAAAAACGGCGCCAGCTAACATTTTTGTGAATAATAATAAATAAATAAAATAAAACAAAAGATTTGTTGTAAATATTCAAAACCGATTGCTGTTGCACATAAGGATCGATAGTATCGACTGTGATTCATATATCGATACATCGATAGTGACATCGATACTATCGAAGTTATCGGTATCAAAATGAAACTATCAATGAAATAAGAATAGTTGTAGCAGTAGTGTTGGGCAACGTTTTTGCCGCCAACTTGTTTTCAAAGCAGCCCTTGTTTCATTTGTTTTTATGGAAATTGTGATATTGTGAGTGAGTTGCAACGATAATGGGCCTGCTTTCGGATCCGTCGATTTCGACGCAAAACAAAATAGTAGATAGTCTGGCAAAGCATGTGCGCAAGGTGTGCTGCGGCTTTTATGTCCTCGGCGTGGCTTGGCTCGCCTGCCTGGCCCTGCCCGAGTTCAACCACGGCACATATCTGTCCGAGAACGCCCTGTCGCCAGGTGAGTGTCTCTTGCCCAAGTACTTGAGAGCGATCTGAGAGTGGTTTTACTTTGGCTGACCTAGGTCTGGTCTACCCCGAGATTCGCATCGATGCGAATCGGCTGGCCATCCAGCTGCTGGAGGAGCTGCAGCGCGAGCGCAAGGAACACATATCGACGACGCCGCACGCCTGGATTGCGGCCAAATTGAACGAGTTCGGCCTGGAAACGCACACACACAACTACACGCTCCGCTATCCGTTTGGTGGGGGCAAGGAGTATCACGGCAAAAACATATACGGCATTCTGCGGGCACCCCGCATCGCTTCCACCGAGGGCATTGTTTTCACAGCACCCTACCGGGCCCCCTCCTCCGTGCACCCAGACATCTCGCCCAGTGTGCCGCTGCTGCTGGCATTTGCCGATTTCGCCAGACGTAAGTGCCTGTGAGCTGAGATCTGCTGCCGCATGGGAGCGTACAAATTAACTGAATTAAATCATTTACGCAGGCAAGAACTACTGGGCTAAGGATCTGATATTTCTGATCACCGAACAGGAGCAGCTGGGAATGCAGGCCTGGCTGGAGGCCTACCACGATGGCGATCGCGTGCTGAATGTGAGCAAGGCCTACCTGCTGCCGGGCAATTTGCCAGCACGTGCAGGCTCATTGCAGGCGGCTCTCAACATCGAAGTGCAAGATCTGGAAATTGGTTAGTTATTCCCATGGCAACAGGCAACAAGCAACAAGCAACAAGCAACAAAATCTAAATCAATTGCCTTTCAGACTATGTGGATGTCAAGATCGAAGGCCTCAACGGCAAGCTGCCCAACCTGGACATGTTCAATTTGGTGCAGCGCATTATGGCACGGGAGGGCATCATTTCTGGCTATAAGCAGACCATTCGAAAGAAGCGTCGCTCCAATCCGTCTGTCTTCGAGAAGAATCTGCGCCAGATGCTGGCCATGCTGGCGACGCAGTCGTCAGGCGTGCCCAATGGCAATCACGGACTGTTCCATCGCTATCGCATCGATGCACTGACCATTGCAGCTGCCAAGCGACAAACGCATGCCACTCTAAAGGGTAACGCCGGCTCGGCGGCTGTGCCGCTGCTGAAGGCCATCGAGGGTATTGCGCGCAGCCTCAACAATCTGCTGGAGCGCTTCCATCAGAGCTTCTTCTTCTATGTGATTGTGAACAATGATCGGTACATCTCCATTGGTGACTATATGCCTGCCCTGGTGGCCCTCGTCGCCTGCGCTTTCTTCAAGGCCTATCTAGCCTGGTCAACGCTGGACTCTGAGGTGCAACAGCCAGAGACAGGGACAGGGACAGCGACAGGGACAGAGACAGCGACAGGGACAGAGACAGCGACACCGGCTGAGACACAGAGTGGGGCTGAGCCTGACACAGACACCGACAACGACACCGATACCGATCTCGATGAGGGACTGCCCTATGGCTCCGTGCTGGTCTATCTGACGGCTGTGCTGGTCATCGGGTATCTGGGAAATGTGTTGCCACTGCAGCAGTACTTCCTGGAGATACCGATGGGCGCTGCGCCACTGACCACCTCCGTGCTGAGCTTCCTGACCCTCATCGGTTTCATTCTGCCCTTTGTCGTTGTCCTGCCGGCGGGCGGCCTGGAACTGCTGCACGTGGGTTTCCTGCTCATCTTTGGCTGCTCTCTGATCATCGTCGGCCTGCTCAACTTTGCCCTCGGCTTCTTTGTGGCCGTGCTCACAGTACCGGTGGTAATAGCATTGGATACCAGCGAGAAGAACTGGAACGGTTCAATGCGTAATCTGACGCGTCTCATCACTCTGCTGGTCAACCCCATGGTGGTTGTCTATCTCATCGTTCTGTGCATGAGCTTCTATCAGTATCCCGAGCTGAAGCTTGACAAGCTGCTATTGCGCGCAGCCACCGCCGCCATGGATGCCTCCGCGTATGGTCTCATTGACTGTGTGGTAAGTTATCGCCATTAAAGCATTTGTTCTGCCTAACATGCGCATTCCTCTTGCACTAGATCTATGGCAACTGGCTGTACTTTGTCGTTAGCACGGTTTTCCTGCCCCTGTGGATTCTCTGTTGGACACTGGCCCTTTCCAAGCGTCGTGACATTGCCGACTATTCCGACTATGAGGAGTCGCAACAGCACAAGCCCCAGCCACAGCCTCAGGCCAAGTTTAAAACAAATTAAACTATAAAATTGTATTCCATTATTTGGCGGCTGAGATTCCATTTATTAATTTAGTTTGTTTGCATTAACTTAATGTCCAAAGAAATTACATATAAATATTTAAGCTGGAAAGCAGCTGTCAGCAATCAATCGCTGCATTAAATGGGAAAGTGGGAATCAAAAAGGGAATTGTGCTTATTGTAGCTGTAGATCCACTCCAAGCTGTTTGCGCCCACTCGCTGCAATACACGAATCATAATATCATTTATTAATCAGTTTTATTCGAATCATAGTCGCTTTAGGCGCAGTTCGTCCTTCAATGGCAACAGCACATGTGACTGACTCACTTTGTACCTAGCAACTTGGTAACTTCTCAATGTAAAAATATGCATGTTTTTACTTGCTTCAGGCACGGCAGGTACTCAGTACGTTTTTTTTTGTTGCTTGTGTTTTTTTTTTTCCATGCTTGTGGATTGATACTGGACCCATTCCTGGATACTAGAAGGCAGAGCAGAGCACGTTCTTCTTTTGAATAAGTGGAAAACTTTTCGACTATGACACGCAACTTAATTTAAACTTTGCAATGCTGCCAAAGGCGACTTAAGATGGCAACGGCAACTGGCGATGGCGAAGGCGACTTCGTCGGCTTTGGCAATTAGTTATGAGCATGGATTTGGCTCAGTTAAGGGGATGAGGAATGCGAGGGGCTTCTCTACTGGTGAACTCGCCTGCCCTGCCTCTCAATTGACAAGAAAAGTTTGCTCCCACTCACATGCATCCGCGTTCTTGCACCACGCCCCGCCCCCTGCTGTTGGATAGGAAACTTGTGAGTCAAAGTTGTGCACAGTGTGTCGAACGTTAACCAGAAAGTACCTGCAACAATTATTGATTTTTTGTGTGGAATATTGCTTGTGTCCTTGGAGCCCTGGCACTTTGTTCTTCGTTTCGGTCTCCCGTGCGATCATTATTTTATGGTAGGCTATATTACGGTCGCAGCGTGCACAAATTTGTTCGTGGCTCAACTGAGTCTCTGGCGCGACGTGGATTGCCGTATTTCAATACAATTTCTTGGTGCTTGGCCCGGCAATTGTAATTGTTCAGGATCTCACTGAAGTAAGGGTCACTTTTCATGGTCTGCTCCTCCGAGCTATCGACGTTCTGACTGGAGTTCATATTGACTATTGCCGCAAGTAAGCGTACAAGTATGCAAGTGTTTATTTTTAACTTTTTAAATCACTTACCCGGTGTGTTTAGATTCTGTTTGTTTTACTGATATTGTGTTTATTCAAGGTTTAGTTTAAGACAGAGAGAAAGAATCTTTGTTATGCAGCTGACAGCCATTTCGAATGTTTTCCTTTTCGTTTCAATTTTTTGATTTAATGTTTAAATCATAGTTTGTAGTCTAGTGTGCTGTGCCCTGTCCACCTCCTCGTCCAAGTACTTTCAGACTGCAGCCAGACTTGACGCAAAAATTGGCGAGTCGATGTCACATAATTGCCCCATAATTTTCGCAAAGTGCTCGATGAGAGACGTAAGTCCAAAGTGCTGATGAAGAGATAGTGAAATGATTTAAATGACCACAAACAAACCGTTAACGCAAAGGCTCACCTCTCCTCCAAGTGCCGAGCAAGACGAATTTAGTGATAAGTTGACGATGCGTCGTCCGCTATGCTGAGGACCATCGACTTTTTCAACTCGCTCTCTCGGCTCTCAGAGACACAAGATCTAGTTTCTAGAAAGAGATAGCAATCGTTGTTGTTGATGGTCTTTGAATGAGAGCAGATATGGTGATGTCGTCACCGTATTACTAAATACACCTTGGTGCTGAGTACTTGAGTCAATTAGGCAAGGAAGTAACGTACGGTAACGGAGGCAACGGACACACACACACACACATCCCATCAAAGAATGGTTTTAGTCGTCTCTCTCTCCCTCTCTCTCTCGGCTCGCATGCACTCACCACGCTTGTGCTCTTGCTCCTGCTCTTGTTTGCCATCCATCTAAACAAGCTTATCTTCCTCTATTATACTTCTGCTTTCTTTCCTTTCTCTGCATTTGCATTGCTATTGTTTTAGGTGGGTGGCGTGGCGTGGCCTGGGCCTGGACATGGTGAATGTCAGTTGCGAGACGGTGGATGGCAGGAGAAAGAACTAGATGGAAGACTGTTGAAGGCGGCTCTGATTGTCTGTAAATAAAATCGTGACTTTTATATTCGCTGTGCCAACTTTGATTAAGAGCAGCGTCAGAGTCGTGGAGTTTACTTGCTGCCAGGGACGGGAGGACGGGGAGTGTCGGGAATTTATGCAGATACGAGTGCCGTGCCAGTACAGGTACAGGTACAGATAGAGTGGTAGCCAGTGGTGTACACAGCGTACATATGTACACAAATAAAATTCAACAACAAACTTTACAAATTGAGAGAGATATTGGCAGTTTTTACGGCATTTTTATTCGGATGCAATATTATATCCCGTTATTTGTTTACTTACACACCCTCACATCCACCATTCGCTTTCCGCTTCCACATCTGCAGGTACCGCACATCCGTCCTGCGCTTTTGTTTTTTGCGACTGTTTGGGCTCTATTTGCTTTGTTCCCGCCTTTCTGTGCGTTTGTTTTCCATTTCACCTGAGCACACACATATGTATGTATGTATGTACACTCTAAAGTGGGTACCATGATTTCGACCAGATGCTTGTAACACAGAACACAGAACACAGAACAAAGCTGATCCGACCCCATAAGGTACATATGTACATTTATTCTTGATCAGCCCATCAGATGGCAGGATTAATGGAAACTGTTTGTAGCTATCACACAAATGATCACATATGTACATATGTATGTACGCATCTTTAAGGGGCATCAAACGCGTCGTTGCCAGTAACAGTAACTAGCCATTCTCTCTTATCTTTTTGTTGTTGTTGTTTGCTGATGCTGCCAGTTGCAAACGAAACGTGTTTCGACAGCGTGGACAAAAAGCACGCAAATAACTGTTAAAGTTGATTTTCTCATCAAAAGTAAACACAGCAAAACAATGCAAGAGAATGGAAGAGAACATCGGCAAAGCGAACAATTTGAAAGCTCGATGGGTAGTCGGCTCTCTCTCCGCACGCAGCACTTGTGACTAAAACAAAGAGAACACAGAGGATCCACACGAGTTCTCCGCGCTTTTTAGCAACAGCCAAAAAAAAATGCCTGGCATCAATTTCTATTTTTCTGATGGCTTTTATTTTAATTTTATTTTAAATGAATTCGAGTATTAGATTGAATTTTATTTAATGTGTTAAAACGTTGAAAAACCTATAGCAAGAGATAGTCCCAGTGCGGAGCTCTGGTCTCCGGTCCAAACTTTGCCTTCAATAAGAAGATTGGTTTGGGACTGTTGTTACTGCCAGTGGCTATACTACCGCAGCCAGGTGACGATCAAGACATCAACCTGGTGGGGATTCCATCAAGCTTAGTCCTTGGGTTAACCCACGTGGGTTAGCCATTAAAAAATGTGCCATTTCTTTCTGATATTTAAGGCATATTCGTCTAAGCACAGCGCACAAGCAGAACTATACTTATGAACTAAAAAAAGAAGTCACAATTTACGGACTTATGTATTTTCAAAAATTCCAACAAGTTGAACATGAGCCAAAGACAATTGTTTCACATTTAAGAAAGTAACAAACGAACACTTGTACCAATAGCTGATTCTGTGTCTGTCTTTCCTTCTGTCGTGCTCGTCGTACAAGCCTCAGAGACTATAAGTGCTACAGTGGTCGGAATTTGTGTTCGGGCTCCTGTGATATCTCACACGGAATCAATTAGGACTGCAGTGTCAGTACTCATATCATAGAGCAAAAACAAAATGTTACCAACGACCCGTAAGATTTCAATTACAAATTTATTGCCAATACCAAAACTTTGATCCACTGAATTTATATTTTGGCTTTTGGGCTTCTTCATTTTGTCTTGTGGAAGCCGCAAATGTATACCATAAAGTCGCAGTGTTATTCAACTCGGATATTTTCACGGTGGTGGAATCATCTGCCTCGTCTAGCGGAGTGATGCCTGACGAGGCACATGACTCTCGTATGTGTGTCTCCGTGTGCTTATCCCCAAACTTTGTCACAGTTAAATGACAATAAATGTCACACAAAACGCCATAAGGACACACACACAAACACACAGTCGCACATCTCTCGAAGAGATGAGAGAGGCAAGCCGTTACTGATAGGAGACGACGAACATGGCGACAAGGAGACAAGGAGACGGGGAAAGGACATGCTCGTAAAAGGCAAAAGTTGTGTACGCCAGCTACATCAGCATCGTATAAAAGTTTGCCTTTTCAGTCGCCCTCCACCTTGTTGGCCAACATGGTCGTATTTTTGTATACCCTTTGCAGGGGGTATGTGCCCAACTATACCATCCAAATACCATATCATCCATATCCAAGCGAATCTATCTGTAATATCTGGAATATTTAGCGTTTAGTTTGGGGAGCTACCGATCCACCAAGATCCTTGTACACCTATGCATAATCCTCCAAATTGTCTGAGTGCTGAAATTCGAGCCCCAGAAAGTAGACTACACATTTGTGTTTGCCATCATATAAATGGCTGCCATACGACCAATGAATCATTGAAGTGTATCTAATGCTTCGGCTCGTCTCCTCATTGGCCTTCTCTGCTTGTTCTCCTCTTTTTTTGTACATACTTAAGCCTCTGAATGAGGCACGTCATAAACTAGCCGTAAAACAGCTGACAACAGAGAGGGATGGGCTGCTCACCCTGTAGGTTGGGGACCACAGGCCCTGTGGTATGGAACCACCTGCCCAGCAAGAGCACGACATAAAGTGGGGAATTCAATGCCAGCCGAATTAAAGCACTAAAAAAGCGCACTCGCACTCCCCTCCCACTCCTGCGGTGCAGGGACATGTTCCTTGGATAGAATGTCTCCCCCAGCTCTATTTCAAAGAATCTACAAGTGGTAGGCAACAAACATAGCTTCAGTTTTCTGTTGAGCTCCAACCACTTTAATCCATGGATAAAACCGTGGCGATATTCTTGGCTAGAAGGGCAACTAGCCCATCGGTTTTTTTTCTTTTATAAATTAAGTGTGTTATTTGTAGCATGTACAAAGCTTGTACAAATGTTAAATGTTGTACCAAATAAGTCTTGGGATATTTGCACTTTCCGAACTCAGGCCACTGGAACTATGAATAATGAATGAATGATACGCTCTTAATTTCAATTCCCTTTCCATTCGCACTTTCCATTTCTTTGTTTCATTCCCCTCTACCCTCTGCCACTCCACTGTACCGAGGGCAACATCCAAGGGCAAACAGACTTATGTTCTGAGGTTCTCTTTTTCGAACGTTCTTTGTGCAAATAAAGTTTTGGCTTTTGACTTGTGGCCTGGCTTGATTGTTGCACAAGGCTGCTGCTGCTGCTGCTGTTGCCATGTCGCCTTGTAGCCTTGTAGTCTTGTCTGTCTCACTGGTGGCAGGGGGCAAACAGAATTGAAGATGAAACCACGCACGCAGCAAATGCACAGTGCAATTTTGTTTCTTTTCTGTTCCGTTCCTTATTGCACGTTGTCTATTGCAGCCATTACTCAGGCGACAGCAGCCTCCCACTCATTCGTCCTCCCGCTATCTGCCGCTCTGTGTTCATGCAAACACGTTTCTGATTAGAAATCAACAACAACGACAGCAGCAGCAGCAAGAATAAGAACCCAAGACCACCAGGATACGCAGCTGGGAGTTGGCTTGCAGAGGAATTGGATGCAGGGGTCTTGGATGTTGAGAATGCAAAGAAAGGCGTTGCCATAATGACAATGCCACAAGAATGAATTGACAGGAGAGATTCAGAAAATTGCAGCTATTGGTAGAGACTCAGAGCTGCACAGAACAACGCAACTTTAACCAACTCATGTCTGAATTTACAAATAAGCATTTGTTGAAAAATGTATTTCAAGAGTCTCAGTGCACCCGTAAATCGATCAACTTGTGTAGCAATTAGCAAATACTAGCGAATCTTAAGTGTAGAAATTAAAACGGTTCGTGACGAGTAACGAAGAAGTTATATGGGCAATGAAGCAGGAAATTGGCTTGTATCCACGGCTGATCTCTGGTCGGATATGTGTATGGGTTCATAAGGGTAATCTTCCAGTTATTTGCCCGTGCATCTAGTTGGGAGTGGTATTACGGAAAAGCCAGGGAACGGAAACCGAGGGAGGTGATAAGATAAATAGGATAGAGTAGACAGGAGTAGAAATCTACCGACGCACAGTGGGGCCTCAGCCGCAAAGAGGTGGCAAAAGTCAATGAATTTTTTGAACGCTTTGAATAAATTCAATACACAAATCTGATAGAGATTTTTCCATTATAATCCCAAAAATATATATACTGACTGAGTACGGGTATAAGTAGAGTCGCGTCCCCAGAAGCGACTCACACGTTCCTACTCGTTTTTTTTTTAGGTTCATTATGAGGTTTATTGTAAACAATTATCAGAGACAATAAAGTACAATTACTTAACGTACTGTTACTTTTGATTAGCAACTTTTGTTAAGGGTCAAGGATTTCTTTTTCTATTTATAATTCACTATTTGAAGTTAAATGCGGGACCAACGGACGAATACGGGGATTTTGCAACAATAATTTATATGTTCCTGGTTGCCAAATCGGACGGATGGATGCGATTTAACCTTCGCCTGGTTCTGCTCCCTACCAATCTTCTAGAGGGGACGTTCGGGTGGCTCCTTAGTTTGGTCAAGCATCTTGTGGCTTGTTCGTTAATAATGTCACCGACTGAGGGGACCCCAAGGTCTTTGGCGATGTCTCTATTACGGACATACCATTCAGCACCACAGATATTTCGGGGGGTCTTGTTCTGAAACATCCTGATCTTGTCCAGGTTCGTTTGCCATACCTCCATGCAGGTGCCAGGATTACGTTATATATGCGGATTAGATTTGAATAAAAGAAAATGAATTCCAGTGTCTGAATCTCCGACGCTCACAGCGCCTGCTATCTCTTTCGCTCTTCCCTGATCAGTGTGCGTGCGCCACCTGGCGGAGTGAGCGAGATATAACGGCCGCATGCTGATTCTTTTTGTTGGTAAGGGTCAAAAAAAGAGCTGTAGAGGTAGCTAATAAATATTCAAAAATTCGAATAAAATCAGTTGCGTGGAATGAGTACGAACCAAGCTTAACCAGCGCTCTCTGTGTCACCCATCTGCGTTGTGTCTGCTGAGATGCGAAGTCTACTTGTCCCTGTCCCAGCACAATCAACAGTGTGCTCTGCCCGCATATGTAAATTGATTCTCTGTTGCAAGCAGCCAGACAGACACTTCGATTCGAGGTTTTTGTCGTTCTGAGGACTCTGATTGAATGAAACTGACTGAAGAGGAAGGACCAATCTCAGTCAGAAGAGCAGCCTCAGCCTCCCATATATATTAATTGCAGTATCCATTTCCGAAGCAGCTGGCAATGATTTTCCTTTCATTTGAGAGACATTTAATTTCTGTCGAGCGTCTTGGCAATAACTCCGAGCCCGTGTCTGTGCCTGTGGGAGTGTGGAGTGTTCTCGGGAAGTGTGTTGCCTGTGGGAGTTCTCTGCCAGCTCCCTCGATTGGCAACCACAAATGCGATTGAGCTAAAGTTGCTGCAGGAGTAGAAAGGGAGCTGGAGAACAGGAGAAGCAAGGGAAAAATGAGCACTTTGAGGCTGAGTACACCATCAGCTCTCTCAGTCCCTCAGTCTCCTCCGTTAGCTGCTCAATTTGTCGAGGCTCGGGCCATATCGAGCATTCTTGATAAATGTCAAGGGCCATTGTGCAAGTTGTCAGTCACCCTCGCCTGTGCCTCCTCGATATGTGTAGGCCTACAGTATCGATTGCTAGCATCATGCCAACGACTCATTAAACTTGTGCACAGAATTAACAATTTATGCATGTACAAATGAAGTGTGCGTATGTGTGTGTGTTTGCACTTAGTGAGCGCTTCTTCATTCAGCTAAAGCCCAGCCCAGTTCATTCCAGCCCACTCCCACACCAAAGCTCCCTTTGCTATGCAACCCTCCATCTGCATCTTACAGTGAAAACTTGCAGCTTACTGTCCGTTGTCCGCATCTCCACTGTCCGCTGTCCACTGTCCGCTGTCTGTTGTTTCAACTTCAATTATAAACTTTAAATAATTCAGCCTCGACCTGCCACGACTGTCCTCAGCTTCTCCCACGCCCCGATATACATATTTCAGCTCACTTAAGCCGCCAGCACAGCCAAAAGAAAGAAATAAAGAAAGCTCTGGTAAGTTTCCGTTGCTGAGGCATACTGCCAGATACTTAGCCAGATGACAGACGGTTGTAAATGAAAAAAAAGTCACAAGAATCCCTCACAACTTCAAACATCACATAGCTGGTAGGGAATAGGGAATGGTTGGCTAATACTCCGATAATCCTTGAGATATTGGTGTATACTCGTAGCCGAAAAGCTTACTTAAGCGTGCCCCACGATATATCGGACTGGGCCTAGTAGCCGGCCTGCTATACCTCTCGACTGAAGACTGAGCTGCACTCAATACAAGAAAAGACATTGATCTCTGATCAGCCAATGGTTGGCTGATTTAATCAAAACAAAAACCAAAAACAATTGCAGCAAATTTAACCAAAATGTTTCATGTTCGAATGGGTGGGCGTGGCATCAATACTGGTGTCCTGCTTTTCCTGCTGATTGATAAACTCCTTGAATTGCTCGGCATTCTCCTTGAGCGCCATGAGCAGACTCTGCTGCGTGGTGGAAATGTCCATAGCTGGGGTGCGAGCGCAGGGGCTCTGCAGCGTGAGCTGCAGCTCCTGTTCCTTTAGGATTTTCGCCTGCCTCTTGTTGCTCTTCTGCAGCCTGCTCATTTGAATCTCAGCACTTCGAATTTCAGCCAACTTCTTCGCACAGCTACTGCAGTTCTCTGGCTCACATTTCGCCTGCAACTGCTGCAGCTCGCTCTGCAACTGCTGCAGCTCGCTCTGCAGACTCTTCTTCTCCCGACGCCAGCCTTTTGGCCTGCTGCTCTGCATTGAACTCTACGCTCTGTAGACTTTGCTCGAGCTTGGCGATTTGTTCGCGCTGCTCCTGCAGCTCGTAGCTGAGCACATCCTTCTCGTGTGAGGTCTCTGAGTGCAGCTGGGTCAGTCGATCCACCTCCGTTTGGGCAGCCACCAAGAGGCCTTGGTGCCGATCCAGCTCCAGGCGCAGCGCATCCGCTGTCTCCCGCTTCGTGGACATGCGCCAGTTGTCCTCCTTCAGCCGATCACATTCCTGTTTGAGATGCTTGTTTTCCTCGCTCAATTGCAGCATGTCCAGTTGAATGCTCTTCAGCTGGCTGTCGGCCTTCTGGCGGCGATTGCGCAGCGCATCCCGTTCAGCTATCAACGGATTAATTTTCTGCTCTAGCTGCGAATAGGTTGTCGCCAAATTTTGTTTCACTGCGCCCAATTCCTTTTCCATTTGCACAAGGCGCAGCTGCAGTCGCGTTTCTCCTTACTCAATGTGGTCACAGTACGTAGTGCCTCCTGCTCCTGCTCACGCAGCAGGAGCAGCTCCTTGTTCCGCTCTTCCAGTAGCTTTTGCAGATCATCTGTCAGGCTTTGGGGACTGCCCATGGCCCGAGGCAGCTCCTCATTGAGTTCGCCAATGCGATCGGCGCGACTGAGGCCCACGCGAGACATATTATTCTTGAGCAACAGATCATCGAGGGAACTGAGCTCAGCCAGGGTCTCCTCCATGTGGCTATTCAGCTGGGCATTGCCGTGCTCCAAGGTCGCCCGTCTGGCCTCCAGCTGCTGGATGTACTGCTGCTGGCGCACGTTCTCCGGCTCCAGCTGCTGGCATCGATTCTGGGCCAGTTCGAGCGAGACCTTCAGCTCATGTATCTGGACCTCCTTCTCCAGCACCATGGCCTCAAAGTCCGACTCCAGGGCGTTGTATCGCTTTGTGATTCTATCGAAGTCGTTCTGTTTCTCATCTTCATTCTCCAAGTCAAAGAAAACGGCCTTGGACCCTTCATCCAGCAACTTGCTGCCTTCTGGCTTAGCCTTGGGCGCCGGACTCTTGCCCGATCCGCTCGTGTCGCTCATTTTCTACGAAAGTGTTGAAATTATTTAATACGAATTTAATCTTATTTTTAATTTATTTCGTACCGCTTTAATTTTTTTTTTGATTAAATCATCGCATGGATGACAGGGGTTTGATCGCAGCTGCGTTGCCACATTGATCAGATACTGGTGTGTGACTTGTTGTCTAGTTTTGCAGGAAAGGACGCTTGATGGGCCCAAGGTGTGTCTCCAGAAATATGTGTTTAGTGAGATCTTGAGAGTTTGACAAACAGATCGAAGTGTGTAAACCTCCGAATGTTTTGTTTAAATCTTGTTTGTAAAATTTGTATCTTTTTGGTAGTTTGGTTGTTGTTTATTGTTATTTATTTTATTTGAAATTTGGCCTGCACAGACTTCCTGTCAGCGAGCTTGACAGGCGTTATATTGCTTGTAAAAAGTCCCTTCCCTATACTTTATTAATCTAAAATGATTTATCACAAAATGCTTAAAAGTCCATATTAGCGCTTTTTATAAACTGTGCCAGTTCTCTGAGGTGGAGTGGCTCTTTTTTGATCAGGAGTTCATTTAGATCCTTATAATATTTAAAAATTCGATACTTACCCCTGAGACGGACGAATCTTTGGCATTTAAAAAGCAGATGTTAGCGGATTCTGTGACATTACATGTCTCACAGATATCCGAATCAATCGCTTCCATTTTGTAAAGAAAGGCTTTGTCGTACGTGTGTCCTGTCATCAGTCTGTTTATTGTCTTTATGCTTTTTGCATTCCATTTTAAATTATAGTGCCATGGTTTTTTGGGTATGTTTGGAAAGATTTCGATTAAGCTGGTGCACTTGTTAGTACATTTTTGTTTATACTCCTCGTTCCACTTTGTGTTCCAAGGAGTTTTTAATTTCCCTTAAGGCTTCTTTTACACTAAATTGTATGTAAATGATTTCCCCTTCTCGTATGGCATCTTTATCGTTACCCCTTTGTGCCCTGGAATCCATAGAATATCCAGTTGTTGCACGCCTGATGTGTCGATAATATTGTGAATTTCTCTTACTATGTATGAGTCTGTTTGTTTATTGTTTACTAGTTTTATCGCTCCTAGACCACGGCTTTCTTGTATCCATTATTGGCACATATCTCACTCGCTTTTTTTATACCTATCAGTTCGGCCCCTACTGATGAAAGCCTAGTTACTGTTCTATATTTATATATATTACCACTAGGTAACTCTACAATTCCTATACCACACCTGTCCTACATGACCGATGCATCTGTGGACAGAATATTCCAGCCTTCTTTTGAATATTTTTCCAAGATTTCAGAGAATCTGGCTCTGATTTCACTACTCGACAAAATCCAACTTTTTTTTCCTCAAGGATCCAAACCGACTTTTTCTGATAGATATGGGGCTTTAAAATTGTTTAAAGAATTATGGTTTTTTTTCCATGGCAGAACTTTTTTTTTTGAAGAATTTTTGAAGTCTGGTATTTTTTTTAAGCTTTTTTCAGAGGTAGCGCTTGTTTTTTTCACATAACTCTAGTATCTTACGTCTGATGGTAAAGAACTTTGCTATTTTGAAAAGACAATTAAAACAGCTAGAAGTTAAGCCCAATCACTTTGTGATTTCAGCTTACCGTCTGGGTAAGTTGGGCCCGCAACCTTCCAAAAGGTATTTTTTGTTAAATTTTTTCATTTTTTAGGTTTGGTTAACGAAATTTAGCTCCAAAGTCTTTCATAGATTTTAATGACAAACCTTACACGACTCCTACTCCTTTCCCCCAAAAAAAAAAAGGGGCGGAATCTTTTTTTTTTTTCTTTTTTTTTTTTTTTAAAGTCAAAAATCGCCATAATTTTTGCATTTCAATGTTTTATATTTCCCAGACGGTAAGCAGAAATCACACACAGTTTAGCTGTTTAATTGTCAGCTTTTTCAAAATCATCAAACCAGACTATGTGAAAAAAAAGCGGCACCTCTGAAAAAAGCTTAAAAAAAATCCCAGTTTTCAAAAATTCTTAAAAAAAAAGTTTGGCCATAGAAAAAAAAAATATCATCAAACCATCAAACCAAACTAAGCCCCAAATCTTTAAGAAAAAGTTGGTTTTGTTCCTTGAGGAAAAATCGTGTTGACTAGTGTTTCCTCCCCCGAGTATTCTTCTTTGTTCTTTGTCATTTCTTTTTCTCTTACATTAATCTTTTTACAGTGTTTATAATTAATGTTTAATGTGTTTATAAGAAAGTTTTAAATTCTTCTAAGGTACCAGTGTAACTCGTCTTTGTTAGCGAGAAATTGCCTGCACAGTGAAATTGTAAAATGAGAACACACGACGAACGATGTGAACACGACGAACGTTTTATTAAGAGTGAGTGATAAAGTGATACTTCAGATAATGGTGTATACTCGTAGCCGAAAAGCTTACTTAAGCGTGGCCCCACGATATATCGGACTGGGCCTAGTAGCCGGCCTGCTATACCTCTCGACTGAAGACTGAGCTGCACTCAATACAAGAAAAGACATTGATCTCTGATCAGCCAATGGTTGGCTGATTTAATCAAAACAAAAACCAAAAACAATTGCAGCAAATTTAACCAAAATGTTTCATGTTCGAATGGGTGGGCGTGGCATCAATACTGGTGTCCTGCTTTTCCTGCTGATTGATAAACTCCTTGAATTGCTCGGCATTCTCCTTGAGCGCCATGAGCAGACTCTGCTGCGTGGTGGAAATGTCCATAGCTGGGGTGCGAGCGCAGGGGCTCTGCAGCGTGAGCTGCAGCTCCTGTTCCTTTAGGATTTTCGCCTGCCTCTTGTTGCTCTTCTGCAGCCTGCTCATTTGAATCTCAGCACTTCGAATTTCAGCCAACTTCTTCGCACAGCTACTGCAGTTCTCTGGCTCACATTTCGCCTGCAACTGCTGCAGCTCGCTCTGCAACTGCTGCAGCTCGCTCTGCAGACTCTTCTTCTCCGACGCCAGCCTTTTGGCCTGCTGCTCTGCATTGAACTCTACGCTCTGTAGACTTTGCTCGAGCTTGGCGATTTGTTCGCGCTGCTCCTGCAGCTCGTAGCTGAGCACATCCTTCTCGTGTGAGGTCTCTGAGTGCAGCTGGGTCAGTCGATCCACCTCCGTTTGGGCAGCCACCAAGAGGCCTTGGTGCCGATCCAGCTCCAGGCGCAGCGCATCCGCTGTCTCCCGCTTCGTGGACATGCGCCAGTTGTCCTCCTTCAGCCGATCACATTCCTGTTTGAGATGCTTGTTTTCCTCGCTCAATTGCAGCATGTCCAGTTGAATGCTCTTCAGCTGGCTGTCGGCCTTCTGGCGGCGATTGCGCAGCGCATCCCGTTCAGCTATCAACGGATTAATTTTCTGCTCTAGCTGCGAATAGGTTGTCGCCAAATTTTGTTTCACTGCGCCCAATTCCTTTTCCATTTGCACAAGGCGCAGCTGCAGTCGCGTTTTCTCCTTACTCAATGTGGTCACAGTACGTAGTGCCTCCTGCTCCTGCTCACGCAGCAGGAGCAGCTCCTTGTTCCGCTCTTCCAGTAGCTTTTGCAGATCATCTGTCAGGCTTTGGGGACTGCCCATGGCCCGAGGCAGCTCCTCATTGAGTTTGCCAATGCGATCGGCGCGACTGAGGCCCACGCGAGACATATTATTCTTGAGCAACAGATCATCGAGGGAACTGAGCTCAGCCAGGGTCTCCTCCATGTGGCTATTCAGCTGGGCATTGCCGTGCTCCAAGGTCGCCCGCCTGGCCTCCAGCTGCTGGATGTACTGCTGCTGGCGCACGTTCTCCGGCTCCAGCTGCTGGCATCGATTCTGGGCCAGCTCGAGCGAGCCCTTCAGCTGATGTATCTGGACCTCCTTCTTCAGCACCATGGCCTCAAAGTCCGACTCCAGGGCGTTGTATCGCTTTGTGATTCTATCGAAGTCGATCTGTTTCATATCCAGCAGCTCGCCGCTATGGGCGCATTTTTCATCGAGCTGCTTGCACTGGATGAGGGTCTGCTGCAGCTTGGACTCCAGCTGGGTATTGCACTGCTCCGCCCACTTCTTCTTCTCGCTCAGTTTATCGAGGCGGCTCTCCAGACTCCGGCGTATCACCTGCGTGTCCGCCAGTAAATCCTTCGATTGCTGCTTCTCCTGACAGGCTCGCTTCAGCTGCTGCTCCATGCTGCCCGCACGTTTCTGCTCCTCCTCCAACTTTTTGCGTGTCTCTGCGGCCCGCTGGGCCACTTTGACGTGCGCGTGCGACTTCGATTTTATCATCTTCTTGAGCTTGTGTATCTGTGCCTGCTGCTGGAGTCCCTGCTCCCAAATATGCGACAGCGAATTGCTTTGCGAATAGCTGGTGATCCCCTCATCTTCATCCTCCAAGTCAAAGAAAACGACCTTGGACCCTTCATCCAGCCACTTGCTGCCTTCTGGCTTAGCCTTGGGCGCCGGACTCTTGCCCGGTCCGCTCGTGTCGCTCATTTTCTACGAAAGTGTTGAAATTATTTAATACGAATTTAATCTTATTTTTAATTTATTTCGTACCGCTTTAATTTTTTTTTGATTAAATCATCGCATGACAGGGGTTTGATCGCAGCTGCGTTGCCACATTGATCAGATACTGGTGTGTGACTTGTTGTCTAGTTTTGCAGGAAAGGACGCTTGATTAGACGAAAACTATATCTCCAGATTTTGTGTTGGGTGTAATTAGTGTGTGACTTATTGTCCGATTATTCAGGTTCGGACGCTTGATGGGCCCAAGGTGTGTCTCCAGAAATATGTGTTTAGTGAGATCTTGAGAGTTTGACAAACAGATCGAAGTGTGTAAACCTCCGAATGTTTTGTTTAAATCTTGTTTGTAAAATTTGTATTTTTTTGGTAGTTTGGTTGTTGTTTATTGTTATTTATTTTATTTGAAATTTGGCCTGCACAGACTTCCTGTCAGCGAGCTTGACAGGCGTTATATTGCTTGTAAAAAGTCCCTTCCCTATACTTTATTAATCTAAAATGATTTATCACAAAATGCTTAAAAGTCCATATTAGCGCTTTTTATAAACTGTGCCAGTTCTCTGAGGTGGAGTGGCTGTTTTTATACCCGTACTCAAAAAAGAGTTAAGGGGTATATTAGATTTGTGGTAAAAGTGGATGTGTGCAACGCAGAGAAGGAAACGTTTCCGACCACATAAAGTATATATATTCTTGATCAGCATCAATAGCCGAGTCTATATAGCCATGTCCGTCTGTCCGTCCGTCTGTCCGTCTTGATGAGCGCCTGGATCTCAGAGACTATAAGAGCTAGAGAAACCAAATTTGGTTTCCAGACTCATGTGATATCACACTGCTACAAGTGTATTTCCAAATTTCGCCCCGCCCCCTTCCGCCCACACAAAAGACGAAAATCTGTGGCAGGCACAGTTTTAAAGATACGATAAAACTAAAAACGCAGTATCGTAGAGAATGCCCATATCTACCAGATTGCCACATCTGAATCAGATCGGATCATAATTATAGCCAGAATGAAGAAATTAATTTTCAGTTGCTTCCCCTCCCCCTCCCCCTCCCGCCAACGACAACGCATCTCATTTTCCTTCTCGCTCGCACATTCTGCCGTTGTCAGTAAAATTTAATGATACAACATTACGCATCGAAGGAATTGGAGGTCAGTCAAAGACCAGCAGAGCACGAGTAAATGTTCTAATAAAATCACTTCACGGCGGATTTACGCAAAGAATTGAAGCATTCGTACTACCTCAGATAATTGCTGATCAACCAGCGCAGGCACTCGATGAAATGAACTTGAACATACCAAACAATTGCCCATTGGCAGATCCGGATTTCTATAAACCGGGAAAGGTCGACATGCTCATCGGAGCAGAACACTATTATTCGCTACTACTCCCAGACCAAAAACAGCCAAAGTCAGGAGGTCCGTTGCTGCAAAATACAAAATTGGGATGGATTGTGGCAGGAAAAATCAGGTCTGCACACAACTCCGCATCCATTTGTGCAATTGGACTCAACGAGCTAATGGAAAAATTCTGGACTCTGGACAATTTAGAGACGGAAGAAAAACCACGCACGCCAATCGAAGCACATTGCGAAGCTCACTTTATAGAGAACTTACAAACAGCATCGGATGGCAGGTTGATAGTAAAACTCCCTTTTTCCGAACACTCTTCAGCCCTGGGGGGGTCTTTGGAAACTGCAACGAAACGATTCCTGGCATTAGAGCGACGGATTTCACCAGACACCTGGAACGGCTATGTGGAATTTATGAATGAATATGAAGGACTTGGACACATGAAGATGGTCCCAGCAACTCAAGTGCCGGAGAGACACTACTTCATACCACACCACTGTGTACTCAAACCTGAGAGCACCAGCACAAAGTTACGGGTCGTGTTTGATGCATCATGTAAATCAACAAGTGGAAAGTCTCTAAACGACATTCTGCATGCCGAACCCACAGTTCAGAGTGAACTTATGTCCATTCTACTACGTTTTCGTATACATAAGTACGTATTCACAGCGGACATCGAGAAAATGTACCGACAAGTGTGGATAAGTCCAGAGGATCAGTTTCATCAGATGATAGTCTGGAGAAACAATCCATCTGAAGATATCAGGTACTATCGCTTAAAAACAGTCACATATGGGACCACATCTGCTCCATTCCTGGCAACGAAATGTCTGGATCATTTGGCAACTCGGAGCCAAAACAGATTACCTATTGGATCTGCTGCATTGAAGAACGATTTCTATGTGGACGACTGTCTTACTGGCGCGGATACCATTCAGGAAGCGATACAAGTTCAACAAGAACTTAATAAAATATTGCTACCGTTCGGCCTTAAACTTCGCAAATGGTGCTCCAACAACGACCAGCTCTTGCAAGGAATCCCTAAAGAGGACATTGTAAACGACGTCAAACTAGGTGAAACATTAGAGCAATACAGCGTGAAAACGCTGGGTCTCATTTGGATGCCAAAACAAGACCAACTGCGAGGACGAACCACAAAAGGCCAAGCAACACGCATCACCAAAAGGGTCGTGTGCTCAGAATTGGCCCAAATCTTTGACCCATTGGGTCTCTTTGCCCCGGTGATAGTCAAGGCAAAAATATTTATGCAACAGCTGTGGGAGATTAAACTCGATTGGGACGATGAACTGCCATTACAACTCCAAAACGAATGGAAGGAGTACCGGGAGGACCTACAATCATTAAACTCAATGGAGATTTTCCGGCACGTATATGATGGAAAAGTGCCAGTCACCCAGGATCTACATACCTTTGTAGACGCATCGGAACGAGCCTATGGCGCGGCAGTGTACGTACGAGCCACCTACAAAAACAATCAGGTCTCTGTACGACTATTATGCTCAAAATCTCGAGTAGCACCCACCGCCAAACAATCCCTACCACGTCTAGAACTGTGCGCTGCAGTTTTAGGTGCCGAACTCACCAATCGAGCTAGAAAGGATCTCCATATGAATCTTGACACAGTATCAGGAAGCTTCTGGACTGATTCCACCGTTGTACTGTCCTGGATTAACGCATCGGCGTCCACATACCACACATTCGTGGCAAATCGAATCGCCAAAATCCAGGCATTGACTAACCAATTACAATGGCGTCATGTTTCATCAGCCAACAACGCAGCAGATGTCCTTTCAAGAGGAATCCTAGCAAGCTAGCTAAGGGATCATAGTCTATGGCTATACGGACCATTATTCTTGCACGGATCAGGAGATAAATGGACAAAACCACCCATCATTGAGCCCAGCAATCTCGAGAGAAAGGCTAAGCATGTCAGCTTGCCAGTCGCATCTAGCTCTCTCGGAGAAGAGTTATACACATGCAGACATAGCAACTCGTTCAACAAACTACAACGTATTGTAGCGTACATGTTTCGCTTCTGCTACAAAACTAATAGGGCACCTACAACGACACTTTGCGCAGGAGAACTAAGGCGTGCTCGCACTTTGATCCTACGAACGATTCAACAAGTTGAGTTCACAGCGGATTTAAAACAACTAAAACGCTATAAAACAGTGGATAAAAAGAGTTCGATCATTTCGTTATCTCCCTTACTAGGAGATGATGAGCTCATCCGAGTTGGCGGAAGACTCGAAGAAGCTCAAATTCCGTTCAACGCAAAACATCCAATCCTGCTACCGTACAACGACCCAATAGTCAAAATGATTATGCGTGAGCTTCATGAGGAAAATCTGCATTGCGGTGCCCAAGCATTAAGGGCAATTGCAAGACAACAATATTGGATTATCAACGACAAGACGATGGCTAGAAGCATCATACATAGCTGTATTAGATGCACCAGAGCCAGACCAAAGCTGATGCACCAGATCATGGGCAATCTTCCAGCACAAAGAGTCACGCAAGCACGCCCATTCCTTAATGCAGGCGTTGACTACTGTGGACCAATTATGATCCACCATAAAATCCGAGGAAAACGGCCAGATAAGGCATACATTGCCGTATTCTGCTGCTTCTCCACAAAGGCTGTACATCTGGAGTTAGTAAGTGACTTAACCACAGATGCATTCTTGGCAGCACTCCGGCGATTCCTTAGCAGACGCGGGAAGTGTCAGACTATTCATTGCGACATCGCAACAAATTTCGTCGGCGCAAATAACAAGCTAAAGGAATTGAAAGAAGCAATATTTAGCGAAAAGGCACATGCTCTGATCACAAATCATTGCAACAAAAAACAAGTGGATTTTAAATTCATTCCTCCTCGGGCCCCATCGTTTGGCGGCCTCTGGGAAGCTGCGGTAAAATCAGCGAAAAGGCTGCTAGTTACAACCACAGAAACAGCATCCTTGACGTTTGAGGAGCTGAACACAGTCATAATCGAAATTGAAACAATTCTCAACTCCTGACCCATAACTCCAATGTCAAATGATCCAACGGATACAAGTGCGCTTACTCCAGGGCATTTCCTGATCGGTGAACCTTTGACCGCAGCACCTGACGTCAACACCGATCGTCAAGAGAAAACTCTGGTTAAGCGCTGGGAATTGGTTTCACGCCTAAAACATGCATTTTGGAAACAATGGTCTACGGAATACCTCCACGAACTACAAACTCGCCATAAATGGAAAACCACCGCTCCAAACGTGACCGAAGGATTATTAGTTTTGGTGAAGGAAGACAACCTTCCAGTAATGAAGTGGCCAATGGGTCGCATCATCAAAACTTATCCTGGGCAAGACAACCATGTACGAGTGGTTGATGTCAAAACATCGTCCGGCGTATACAAACGCCCCATCAGTCGTCTCGCCCCATTATTCTCAGAGGAGGTAGCAACAAAACGCTCAAAAAATGCTATTCAAGACATTGCGGAAATAAAGGAGCCACCAACACAGCGAAAAAGGTTATCATTACCTACACTAACATCCACATTGGTAGTGTTACTTCTCATGCTGCCATTAGCATTTTCACAATCAATAAATGTGACGCAATTTGCAAACAAGCCTGGAATATTCTATGAGAAACTTGGAACCTCAAGAATGACCACTTCCGAATGGACCATGATTGTATACTACGACTTGGATCCATATTGGAAGGATATGCAAGTCATGTCAGCCGGAATGTCCGAGCTAAGACACATGTGCCCTGAACTAAAAAATGTTCCAGCGTGCAACTCCATATTTCAACACTTTCAACATTTGTACAAAGAACTACAAACAGGAAATATGCTAATGAAGGCCTCTCGACAACGCAGATCACCGCTGGATATAGTAGGAAACGTGGCACACCAGCTATTCGGTGTACTTGA